ATGGACATTTTGTCTAGTACCTTTTAATTAATGTTAACCCAAAACAAGTGTCACGAAATTGTTACAATAAAACCGCATACAAAAAAAAAAAAAAATCAACAACATCAACATCCGTGCAACCGAGGCCCAGAGCATGAAAACGAGACTGACATTTGTCAAACTCCGCAACATGCCTCTATACCCCAGCGAAGAAGCACTCGTCAGAGTGCTTAACCAAAGTATGGCTGCTTTTGGAAAGGTCAAGAACGTTTCCATCTACAAAAATGTGGTAGGCAATGGAAAATTCCAATGCTATGGTGGAGAAGGATTTATCCTTCTCGATACCACCAATGCCAACGAAACAACCTACCAAGAACTTAAGCCATTCATCTACATACCTGAATGGCAAACAACCATCCAAGCCAGGTGGGACAATGCCCCTCCGGCTTGTAACTACTGCAAACAAAGCGGTCACCTCATTAAGGACTGCAATGTGAAGCTTAACTCAGCAATGGGTTTGCGCACATGTTATCGCTGCAAACAAGCTGGCCACGATAGCAAAGATTGCGCTAATATAAACACACATTCAAACCAACCTTCATCCCAATCAATGACGACTCAAGAGACGGTGCCCACTCCGGAGTTTGAAAGCCAGCTCTTCAATACGGAATCGGAAACTCCATCCGATCTCCTCATCAGAGACGACGGGCCATTGCTGACACAAAGCCAGCCCACTGCCTCCGAAAAGAACGTCCCTAAAAAAAATCAAAAAAACAAATCTTACAACAAACCCAACGGAACGATCGCTGACTACGCTGAGGCAAAAACAGATGATGAAGACGGGGACTATGAGCCCACGGACGAGGACATGAATACCGATTCGGATGAGGCCTCCTCAGAAGTAGACAAAGCTGATAATCATATATCAGACTCCGAAGCGGATGACATCGAGTTGATTAAGATAATGAATTATCCCAAATCAACCTCATCACTCGACTCGATCCACGCTCAAGCGCAGAGATCGTTTAGATACCAAACAAGCTCGCGTAGTACAACATCTACACAAAGTACTAACCCATCCACAGAAACAACAATGTCAACTCAACATATGATACCCGAATCAGTCACAGACTCGGAGGACACAACCATGGATATTTTATGAAATCACTACTAAATATATCTACCCTCAATGTGAGAGGCTTACTAAACGCCAAAAAAAGATCAAACATATTCAGATATTTAAGAAACCACAAATCAGACATTTACTGTCTTCAAGAGACACACACAGAAACTAAACATCACGAAATCTTTCACCAACAAAGCCTATGTCAACAATCCTTCTGGACATCACATGTGGCAGTACTATCATTCTCAAACGAAATCACACTTTCTAATTTTCAACAAATCAATGACCGAAGTATCTCGATAGACATAACTCCTAATCAACAAGACTTATGGAATATCAGCAAAATTACATTAATAGCCATATATGCCCCTGCAGCAAGGCAGGAAAGACCACTCTTCTTCAACGCACTTGAGAATCACCTGTCAACCATAGAACCCCCCGAATCACTCATTATCACGGGAGACTTTAACTTTGATTTCAATAAGAAAGAAGGAAGATCTCATTATGCAAGACAACTGCTGACTTATGCTACCCCAATCCATAACAACACCCCCACCTTTCACAGAGGTGACCAACACACCAAAATAGATCACATCCTGATGGATCACGACTCTCATCACCTCCTCAACCATCTCAAAGTCACTCCTTCTCCGCCGTCACTAACTGACCACAGTATACTGACCATTTCTCTTGAAACAGGAGCACCAGACCATGGACCAGGATGGTGGAAATTAAATACGAATATTCTAGCAAGCCCAACATTTCAAAGGAACATTCGTGACTTCCTCGAATTCTGCTTCAACCCAGAAGGTCCATTCGGACACACCACCCCAAAACTCCTAGATCATGATGAGTACGACTCACTCAAATATATGCTTCGAAAACTATGCATGGATTACAGCGCGAAACAGCAGCGCAAGAAGAAAAAACACCTACTGTACATTAACTCCGAGATAAATCGTATCTCTGAAATTATCCCTACAGCGAGAACCTCGCCACAACAACAACTCTTGCAATCACTCCTGACCGAACTAGATAAAATAGAACTGGAAAGACTTGAAGGCCAAGCCATTCGAAGCCGTATCCTATGGAGGGAGCAAGGAGAGAAGTCGACGGCATACTTCTTTCGAACACTAAAAAGTAGGCAGGCTAAAGCCCAAATGACATCTATTGACCATCCACACACAGGTGTATCCTGCGACACTACGACAGAAATTTTGGAGGCTACCACAACATTCTACAAAGACCTCTTCACACCATCAGACATACCAATCACTGAAACACGCTCTTTTCTCCAACATACACCGGCCAATGTGTTCTCGGAAGAGGAAAAACAAGAATGCATACGACCTATCCTTCGCGACGAGATACTAGATGTCGTAAACAGCTCCCCGAATCAGAAAGCCCCGGGTAACGACGGAATCCCCTTCGAATTTTACAAAACCTTTCAAAACTCCATTCTTATAGATATCCTTACCAGCCAATGCAATCAAACATTGAAGAAAGCGCATATACCAGAAAGCTGGAACTCGACAAATACAGTTCTGATCCACAAAAAAAACTGTCGCAGGGACCTCCGCAACTGGCGCCCGATCGCGCTAGTTAACGCCGACAGCAAAATCTTCTCAAAAGTGCTTAGCAACCGAATACAACAAACGATATCACTGTGCATAGATCAATACCAAACAGGCTTCGTGAGAGGACGATATATTGCCGACAACGCCGCTGCTGCGCTGTTGCTCATGGAACATGCGGAAAGAACACAAAAAAAAAAAAAAAAACGAACTCCCACCCTGCATGCTTCTTCTTGATCAAGAAAAAGCCTATGACAGGGTACACCCTCTATATTTTAAAACCACAATGGAACACTTCGGATACCCCCAAAGTTTAATCCAGTGCATTTCAACCCTGTTCTTCCAAACTAAAACAAGAGTAGCAGTCAATGGCTATTTGACGAGACCAATCACACAAAGGAGAGGGCTGCGGCAAGGAGATAGTCTTTCACCTATAATTTACAACTTAATGCTGGAACCTTTGCTTCGCAGCTTCAAAGCCAAACTGCCAGGATATTGCATGAGCCAACACCTGTCTCTGAAATACCTAGCGTATGCTGATGACACCCTCATCTTTTTGAACACACCTGCAGACCTAGAGCAAAGCAAGGATCTGTACCACAGATACTCCATCGTCTCCAATGCCAAACTCAATGACCACAAGACGCAAGGTGTTATGCTGGCAGGCAAGTGTGACCCCTGGAAACTCAAATACCCAGAGTACCAATGGTATGACAGCTATAGCTCAGACTGTCCTATTTATCTTGGATACCCAATTTCACTCCAACAAAGCCACCACAAAATGCATTATGATCAGATTTTGCGACGCATACAAAAAAGTGTGGATTTTCTCAAACTACGCTCAATCTCACTGGCCGGGAAAGCCTTGATCATCAATTCAATTCTTACATCCAAATTATGGCACCTAGCCAGACTCTTCCCGCCCACCCATCACCTAAAACCACTAAACCAAATTCTTAGAAAATTCCTCTGGAACGAAAGACACCCAAGCATATCTTGGAAGATCCTTTGTGAGCCAAAACAAAGAGGAGGCCTCGGAATTATACCGATTGATTATCAAGCTCAAGCTCTTACCATGCGTCACATCGTGCCGCTGTTTGTTGTTTCCCATCCTTTCCGCTCCTTTTTTCATGATATACTAGAAGAAACCCTGCGCCAACTGGCTAATTCAGAAGACCACAGGCCTTTCTTCTTAGCGGCAACCAAATTTCCGCAACTCTTACAACATACCAAATTTCTCCAAAAAAGCATCATGCGACTGACGCCAAAAATTCACCTCACATATAACAATTATAATCTCCACTCATTCGACTTTTTGGCACTACCTCTTGCCACAGCCATTTGTCCCACCAAGGATCTCGATAGTTCATGCCTATTAACACCTCTGAATCATTTTATAAAAGGCTGGCCCCCATATCGACACAATATGATTCCAACAACCGACGATCATATCCCCCAACGAAAACGAAAAAAAACTATTCACTTCTCTCCGTCGACAAAAAACTAAGTGGGTAACAGACCTACCTTTCTCAGTCGATTGGTTATCGTCTGCGCTAGAGGAAATTCAGCCACCTACCACAAATAGTTCAAATATACAAAACCTAATGAACGAAGCTTCACTAGGAGATATGCCAGTATCATCTCTCACAACCAGCGTTGTAAGGACTAGGATACAAAATGACAAATATGACATAGCAACACGAATACATATTTCTTGTAAACAAGATTTTTATACTAATCTATGGAAACTGCAAATACCCCAAGCAGATAAGGTGATCTGGTGGAAGCTGTCCCTCAACAGATGGCCAAGCCGGTCACGCATGCATAAAATATATCCCAATAACTGTCTCTCACCCGCTTGCGAGGTTTGCTCAAACACAACCGAAGACATCGACCATATGCTTTTTGAATGCCCACCAAAACTTCGATTCTGGAAATACACCCTCACTCTCTTTAACATATGGCTTGTCAAAGATCTCCCAGTGCCAAGGAGATGTTTGACACCACAAAACATAGTAGAAGGCTTCCAATACCTTTGGAGCAAATTTAGCCTAAATCGCAACCCTTCCAGCATCATTATACTAAGCATGGCCATAGCGACCATCTGGCGCTGCCACTGGAAATTCGTCTTCCGCGATGAAGAACAAGACAGACTGACTTATGAACAATTGGTGGAGTCATTGTGGCACACCCTGTCGACAAGAATACAAGACGACGCAAAAAGAAAAAAAGAAAAAAAGAAAAAAACAATTGGTTGAGAAAAGGAGTGGTGGAGTGGTCCAATGGCTCTGTCCATATCATCCGCCCTCGCATTTTCATACCCCTATAAGCAGTACATTATATCTCACAATTTTGCGACTTCTATTTTGCATTGAAATAAACATTGACTCTTGTATAAAAAAAAAAAAAATATAAGTACATGAGCTTTTCTGAAGGCAATAAATGGAGCGGTCAGCAATTGCTGGTGAAAGCATCTACTATGGAGCTGAGGAAACATTGGTCTTCCATAGATAATTAAAGCCGTATTTGGCATGTCCACCACTGATCGGACTCGGACAGCATTTTGAGAAGTAGACAAACGACTGCGAGCGAGAAACGCATGGTGGCGTCTGTATAGCATCGGTATAGATAACAATCAGTATTCTAGTCAATAAAAACTAAGAAATAAAGCAATTCTCTGAATACACAAAAAAAAAAAGGCTCGCCGACAAAGCCTAGTCAACCACTGCTGTTGTCCGACTCTAAGAGCGTTGCACGGTCATACTGGTGGTAATATAGCAGTTCCACCCGAAATACTGCATAGAGTAGAGATATGTACCCCCGGTGTATGCCTTCGGGCCATACCGGCGCAACAGATAGTGCAGGTCCATGCTGCTACACACTGAAGCGGAGGCTAATGACAGCTCTGAATACCAAAAAAAAAGTAGTAACAGCTCAGCACCAAATTGTGACATAACCAACCATGGCAAGCAGCATCTACGGACGACAGCGTAAAAACTTGTTGAGATTCTGAGCAAGGTCTCCCGAGAATCCTAATAAACACTGAGATCTATACCAATACACACCAAAAAGAAAAACATCAACGCCTACTAGTTTCCAGCTTCGAGTAACAGCATACATCGTAGAGATGACATAGACGTCTTTGCGGGATATGACACAATCCTACTGATGCAATATATCTGAGCACCTGAATGCCTTTTTCCAGACAGGCTATAGTTTCTCTCTAAAAATCGACCTAAAGCCCTCCTTACCTTAATTTTTTGCTTTGCTTTTTTCTCACATTTGTACTCATTTACGAAAATACCAGTCACTGCTACGGAAGGTCTATTACAGTATGCTTCAACCAAAAACAGCTTGGAGTCGAGATAAACTATCATGGCGATCATTGGCATTTTATTCTATCTAGTTTAGATTTAGTTTAGCTTGATAAAGTCACCAGCAATACCAAAAGATCTAAAATGCGCACAATTGACAGTACGTAAATTCATAATACTCTTTCACTCTTAGTCATTTACGTTTAGGATCCATTCTGAAACCTTTTTGGCCATACTTTTAGCATGATCTTGTTCTAGAAATTTGTGTTAGAAAGTTCAGAGAAGATGGACAATACTTAAAAGATACTATATCATACCGAGAACGAACGCGTGTGGCAAGTTTTCTTCGCAAAGTGTGATGTTGGCTGCGAAATAATTATCAGTTATTAGGTATATTGCTCAATTCCAATTGCGATTTGTTAACTACCATTTGGAAATCTACTCTTCATATCGTCGTAATGGTCCTGAGGTGCCCAGCTATCTTTTGGTGAGAAATATATAATGAACTTTTTAACGTGAGCGTGGTAAAAGTCGTAATCAAGCTCCTTTATGGACGCCATTTCTTGTCCGGCCATAAACAACGCATTGTTCACGACATTTCTCTGTAATAGTTGATCCGAGGTCACAGAGAGTGAAGGATCGGGCTGTTTGGTAATGTACGATACAATAGTCTTACGAACTGTTGGGTGTATCCAGGACAACAAAGATGCTGACCATGATACTATTGTACGTGGAATTACTGGGAATATAGGCTATCCAGAAGGAATTCAGTTATGAAAGAGTTTGAGTAAGTCTTCGCTAAAGGTGATTTTGCTTACGGAGAGTGCCACACCATTTGGTGTCTTCGCGATATGTTGCAGAGTTGGAAATAGTGCGATAAGTCGTACTATATTATGGTTCGGTCGTGCTTTCAGGACTTCCGTGCAAATGAAGCTTCCCACAGAATGGCCGATCAAAACAATTTTTGTTTCTGGTCCATACTGTTTGCGTATTATATCAAAGCACTCTATTTTGTGCTGAATTTGTTCTTGAAGTGTGAAAAGTTGCTTGGTTGTATTAAGGGGTTTGCTAGAATGGCCAAGGTGGGACACTATTTCGGAGGGACAGAATGAACAATGCAATCAAGATAATGTTCAAAGAAAGTGGTTTACCTGCGATAATATCCAAAGATAAACTAGAGTGTGAGAGAGCATCGTGAATTTCCTCACAGAATGTAGTGTAGTAATCAACCAGTCCTGGATTCCCTGGAACCAATAAAACCACTACCTTCTTTCCATCATGAAAAGCCGGCCAGTAAGAGGTATCTGTAAGCTTTCCCGCAACATTCCATGTTGCTTTCAAAGGTGTTTGTAGCAATGGCAGTATCCGTGTAGCCATTGTAGAGGTGTTAAGTTCCTTTTTCGAGATTCTCTGTGTTGCTGCTGATATTTCCAAAGTCCGACTGAAAAGCAGCCCGGTACGCTTTTCAGTTGTCCAAGATCAAATAATGATTACAATTTGATAGTAAGGAATAAAGTCAAGTCATTCGTGTTATTCACTAATTGGTGATGCAAATTGGTTCTTTCATTGGATAATGTCGATTCGCAAAAGGATGCATACTCGTTCAGCTGTCAATGTTACAGCCATCAGGTTTCGTTACCTTCTGCTCCATGCTTGTACATTCAGAAGACAGTCGGGCTATACAGTTTTGATTGGACGAACTTTCATTGTCCGACAATAAATCTTGACGCTTACTTGGAGTGTCGCAACTGAGTTGTCAGAGCTGACTGCAAGAGTTGGATCTCGGATTGACGCTTGTTTAACATGCCCCAACTACGACGAAATAAGCAGGAGGAAAAGGACTATCAGTAAGTTTGTCAATAAATGAATTTTTTTTAAAGCGTTGCTGATTTATGCCTTGCGCAGGATCATACAAGCGTTGCTCAAAGAACCTGCGAACAAGAAGTGCTTCGATTGCCCCAACAAGGTTAATATTATTCGCTGTTTCTTTTCTTCCACTCATGAAGCTGACATAGTATTCAGATACCATCATACGTTAATTTAAGCATTCAAACGTTCATTTGTTCAAGATGCTCCGGTTTGATGTAAGTGGCTGTGCCAGGACCTCCATTCCAAACTCAATTTACTCACGCAGATCCATAGTCGAGAAGTTGGCCACCGCGTCAAATCTCTGACTGCAAGTAATTTCTCCGGGCCGGAAACTGTCGCCCTCCAGAATGGTGGCAATGCTGTGGCACAAAGAATTTGGCTAAGTCACTACAAAGGCACTGCACCGGAACCAGAAACCGATTCCGATGTTCGCTGGTTCATGCGACAAAAGTACTACGACTCCAAGTGGTGTAACCAGGAGCTATTGAAATCACACATGGAAAAGGTGCAGAGTGAGATAAAGGAGCTTTTCAATGCAGTAAGTCAAAAATGAACAACTTGTATCCCAAAGATCACCAGACGCAGCATACTAATTTGATTGTGCAGGATGGTCAACGTCGGCCTATAGCAAAGCTAGCAACACGGCGTCAGTCGGAAGCGATCGAGCCTCCTCCTCCTACACCTAAGAACAACATACCTAAACCGCACATAAATACGAACGTCGCGGACGAGAATATAAAGTCATGGATTGATGACAATATACCATTAGGTCTATCTCAGACAACACTGCGTCAGAGTAGCGTGAACTCGCCTATAGATTTAATTGAAACATCCGCTTCTACTCCGCGTAAGTCTCTTCATCTCTCTTCTCCGAATTGATGGTCTGTGCGCAAGCAGCTTATACAGCCTTAACCTTAGCCCACTCACCTATCGGTCCAGTTTACTCTCAAACATTTGCGTCAATGCCGTTGTCAGCAAGGGCCATACCAGTAGCTTCAGTACCACCATCTCCTTCAACGAAAAGCTCGGAAAGTAGCCTGTTTGATGATCTTGCATCGTTGCAAATTGGAACTCAACCCAAACTTCCAGCGTATGAAGGTGGTATGTTGAGCCCTAGGCAAATAGGACAAGCTACAACATCTCATCTCCCAAATGTTACATCAAAACTATCATCCAACACAGCATCATCGACATCAATAAGGTCAAGTAACGGTTGTAAGTAAATTTTATACGTCAACGCATGAAATATATCTAGCATTGATCAAAGCTTGCTTTCAGCATCAAGTACTATAAATGCAAGTTGGAATCATAGCGATCCATATGCAGAACTGCGTAACTTCTCTGAACTAGATCAAAGGCCCACCACAAATAGTGACGCTAACTCGCGGCCTTACATGAGTATATCGAACGCGGGAAAACAAACTTCAGCATCATTCATGATGCCAGCAGGTATGTTTAATGTCCAATATGCCATGATCTTATAATTTCATATGAATGACGTGGATATACTTTTTGTCGCTAGGACAATCCCGCACATCGAAACCACCAGCTGCTCGTGGAGATAATTTTTTTGACAGCCTAGATCCTTTCAATATGAAGATTTGAAAAAATGATAGTCTGCCGTCTCAAATCTTTCATGCTTAATGTAATTTATTTAGCCAAGCATACCTGCTCAATGTTTCTTATTTATTCAAATAATGTGGATTTCTTTCTTTCTTTGAAGGATTGCAATGATGTAGAGATATTGAATAGATCGAATTGAAGTGTATTATACAATTTTAGGGCTATGACAGGAAAGAAGCTAATATGCATGTAGTGCTAGTAGACATTTATGGAATCACCATTCAAAATCGCCATTTGCTCGATGAAATAAGTAGTCCCTGCCATTGACTAGCATTATTCCATCTTTAAGAACACACTTCCATTTGTTCTTGGTACGTGTGACCTAATCATATTGGTTAATCTTCGCCTTCGCTTTTTCAGCATGAGGTAGCAAAACAGCACAAACCTTGTCGTACAGACATAATATAATATGTTCCAAATCTTCCGCACCTTCAGCTTCATCATCATCCTCGTCGCTATCATCTAAGTCCGAGTTGATTTCGTCTTCGTCAGGCTGATACATGGGTTACATCAATATCAAGGCATATTTATGATTAGAGAGGTTATAAGTTTTAACGCTTTACCTCATCATCATCTCCATCCAATTGTGGAATCAGGTAAGATGGGTCCAATGCGCCAGCTGCAACAGCGCGCTTCTTTGCTTCGTATATTAATTGCTGATACTCCTCCGGCAGTGTGTCAACTGGAATTAATGTACCGCCTCGGTTGAAGGCTGTCACATCGATGGGTGAGGTAGAATTGTCAATCTCTTCTGCGTGCTTGTCTAGTATGGATTTTTCCAAACGAGCGTCAATTTCCTATATGTGATAGAGGAGCTGTTAGGAGATCCATGGCCGCAGATACGCAATCAATCATCATATGACATATGTGATACCTGAGTAAAAAGCTCATCATTTGCACCATCATGTTGAGGGATGTTGTTGGATCTGCCATTGTTATTTGTTAATTGCTGGTTTTGATTCACTGAATGTGGTGGCGTTGACATATTTATATTTGGAACTGCAAATTCTCCATTGGACATGTTGTGCGGATGCATAAGACCACCTAAAGGATTAGAGTTCACAAATCCTGAATTTCTGTTTTGCACATCATTGTCAATCATATCTCGTCTTGCGGTTGCACTGCCGGATGCCATTGTGGCGAGGCTCGCAGCAGCTGCGGAAGTAGAAAGTGACTTGCAGGTGTTAAGCGTTAGCATGGCAACGTAGTTTGAAAATAGAGAGCTATAAAACCCTTACTTCGTGTATAGTGACAGGAGGATATTGTAAACCAGTGTCTGAGATGAGTCCAGCATGCTGTGATGCCTCAGTGTCATAGTACCCTTCCTCACCAACAATAAAGTTTGCGACGCGTGAGCGCGCAACTTTTGTTTCCCATGACTGTGGTCAAGAATGATGCGTTTAATGTTTCTAATTTATATAGGATGAATAGATAATCAGTTAACACATACCCTTTGAAGGTCATTCAAAATGTTATCGTCAATGCCCATTTCATCAAAATCACCGCGCACTTGGTTTATAACGTCGTCGATGACTTGGCGATATACCGTTGACTATTATAAAGACATATTAGAGAGTGTCAAACAGGCAGATTCCACAAACAGAGACATCATCCTACCACAATGGTGTTCGACATCTGCAGCAAAATCACACAATACAATTAGAATATAGACACAGTAGTGAAGAAAGCATTAGTCATTGAACGAAATAATGAAAGTTTATTCCAGTTAGCTGCAGCAACGTTGTAAGCTTGAGATGTCATTTGCAGGAAACAACTCAACAACAATCGATCACGGCACTGGGAATGTTAATGAACAGAAATAACTAGGTAGGCAATTTACCTTTTCAAGTGATGGATAGCGGAAAGAAAGGCGACTTTTATACTTCGTCATGTAGACATTCGCTGTATTTATAAGCTTTCAAAATTGGCGTCATATGTTTCATAAAATTGAATTGAGTACAGTAATTTGCTCTCTGTAACCTCGGGTTATTCGTGCCCGAAAAAGAATTAAAATCAACACAATATAAATGTGTTGTATACGAGGTGTCATAAAAGAGCCCTTGTTTCGGTGTATTTTACGCAAAAATACAAAATGGCCGGTGCGATATGTCGATATCTGAAGGACCTCGCGAAATACAGTATTTGAGAGATAATTGAGAGGAGACAGAGAGAGAGAGAGGAAGAATATACATAAGTATGGATGCAACATTTGACGATCCACGAGCCGCATAGGCTACAACTTCTTCGTTGACTGCAAAAACGGCATGGGCGACCATATCTACTCCTTTATTGAGTGTTTCTTCCTCTTCCACTCGACTGTTCGACCCGACAGAAGATTTGATTCTTCATCAGGCATATAATCGGTAAACGAAGCGGAGCTAGCTTCTGGTGGGTATATTTTGCTCAGTAGCAAGCTATCTTCTGGTGGGCTTCCATAGATGATTTCAAATCTACCCTTGCGAACAACTATTGGCTTTTCCTTCTTAGTCTTGCTGATGGGTTCAATAGGTTTGCGCGATTTTTCATCTTTCATTCTCTCTGAAGCTGCTCGCTCGTCGATTGTCATCGATTTTTCATATATCGATGGAGTTGATGGCATGGGCGAACTATCTATTCGTCGATGATTGTTGCGTAGACCATGATGGTAAGGTTCCAACTGAGCTGATTTGGATTTAGGGAGCTGTAGCATACCGTTTTCAATCTGATAACCTTCTTGTTGTTGTAATGAACTGAAACATAATGGCATTGCTTGCAAATCTTCTGAATTTTTCCAAAATTCTTGCTCCCATATTTGCGGCTTTTTCAACGTGGATGAAGTCCTACTATGACCTCCAAATGAATTCGCAGTGATATGATTAGAATAAATGGTTGTATGAGGTGTCGAAAATAAACTACTTTGTGAGATAAGTTCTTCATCTGATTGGCATGTTTTTTGTGGGGTTGAAGCACGTTCAACTACCAATTCATCATCCAAATCTTCATCATCGCTGCAAATGCGTATGCCCGTCATATCTGCAAATTCTCGTGCCGTCAAATTCTCTGAATTTACGGTGAAGTTAGAGGTTGATATACAAGATGAATTACGCTGATGATCCATACAGGTGGTAGCAGAGCTTTGACATCGCCTTCTCTCTCGTTGTTCTACTTTTGCTGGGGTTGGTACTGCAAAGTGCTTCCGCTCCAAAGGTGATATTGGTGATTTGATTGACTGGCCGACTACTAATATTCCCGAACGATTGTTTCCAAAAGGTACCGTTACGTCGGCAATTGCGGCATGATTAATTATAGAAACCGGTGTGGTTGTTGGTACCGATTTGCTTTTTTTGTGCAGCTTCTCTCGTCGATGACTGTCACGTCTTCGAAGACTCAAGTATGACCTTATTCCAGAAATCCATTTTGTTTTTTCTCCGTATACACTACAAGCAAGTAAGGGCTCGTTGTTTTCGTCCGCATAGTCAGAATTTTCCGAATCCTTCCGCCGTTTGCTTCTAGCATCAGCCATCATGTTAGATGACTGTGTATGTTCACGGCGCCTATGGTACCTTAAAAATTCATGTCTGGTGTCAGATTCCATTATCTGCTCAGTTTGTGCCTTCAACTCGGTATTGTATCTTATTTCACCAAAGCTAGTGGCTGAAAAAGTTAACGATCCACACTGAGATTTTGATCGACGCAATGGACCAGACAAGCGAGCGATTAAGTTATGGCCATCCGATTTGAGTCTGGATAACGTTCGGGAGCGAGCACACGAGCTCTCAGATTTGGATGGTGATAACACGAGTGGATTGCGAAAGTTTAGCGATTTTGATGTTGGACGTTTCATGATGACTGTCAGTAACAGTATAGTAAATGTCCACTTGATTGAACGATGTGTAAATAACAAGGTAGACTCCTTTTACTTCATATACTTTAACAAAACTTCATTTAAAAAGGCATCCTCCGAATAAAGAAATTACGTTTGGAGTGAAGAAAGAGTGAAAGAAAAGACTATTGCGAAGAACACAAAAAAAAGCTCAAGGTCATCATTTTTAAATTTGACCAAGTTGCAAGAGTTTGAGACGGTTCTATGTCACATTACGTCCCTGTCCTTGAACCGAAGATGATGACTGTGCATCATAATGCATGTGTACCTTATGACACAGAAGGCAAAGTCAGCCGTTGTGGTCTGTGTTAAATTACATATAGGAGTGATGTTTATAGTTAGTGGATTAGAGAAATCTGCTAAATTACAGCATAATCCATGAAATCTAACGGAGTCACCTAAGGCTGCACAATCCTGAATTTCTAATAGTGGCGACAAAAATATTTTATTTTAGCAAAAGCAAAGCCGTTTCTTTGAGAAAGTAATGGCACAGTCGCCGCACAATGTAATAATAAATATCTTGAAACTGCCCCGCAATTGGTGTAATCAGGACAAACAATTCATCATTTGATAGTGTCGTCGACTGCGGTAAGTGAGAGTAGGGTTATCGACATTGATAACCCGCTCGGATGGCCTCAATCTCATTAGTGGAGTGGGATTTTTATGATTGAGTACACCAGCATGGTGTATGCGTAAAGAGGAAAAAAGGAAATGTAACATCTTAGCAGAAAGCAATGTTAGTAAATACACATAAGCGTAACTTCCACGTCCGTTCCTTATCGAAATAGATCTTTCTCTGCAGCTTTTGGAAATAATTTAGAAGGTTCGTCAACATCCAAGCAGTGCTTCGGCGAGCGTAATTAGACGTATATTTCTGTTACCGGATTGGACCGCTCACAAAGTGGAAGGCTTCAAATCAGTTGGCGGCGATCACATTTGTTGAAATGTAAACTGCACTGCCGAAATTATTATTTTCCCTTGTGTTTTGAGTTTAAGCTCATTTATCTCAAAGTCTTGGAATTGATAATTGTTCTCAATGAATACGTTTGTCGATAGATTCACGGATCGCTCGCTTAGCCGTCCAAAATTGTAGTATGCTGTTGGAAAGATGAACCAAATAAAGCAGTAGGCGTATTGTACCATGCAGCAGTACTAATACACCACGATAATACAGCTACTACGAGCAGCAGCTTCATCACGGTATTTTTTTGTCCCTCAGTTAGCTATGCCTATTATGAAATGCTGTTAAGATTCAATGTAGCTGAACTGCTAGAACTAACGTTTACTACTTTTCAAAGTCGACTTGTCTCACATGTTTCTACAATGTTAAGAGAAACTATTGGATATGCCATATGAATAATTTAGACAAAGACGTTTGGTGTCGACTAAAATACTATTGTAAGTTTGTCGTATACAATAGCTGATCCCCTATGCACACAGACCTGATCTTAAATTGATTATAGCCACTGCTAACGGCATGATCTGGGGAGCGGAATTCCCGCCATTTTGAGAAAAGGTCGTCTACTAATTTCAGCAACCTCTGGTGAACAGCACGATAACTACGTATCATTATATGGAGCTGAAGGTAATATTGGCTCACCAAAAGTTATCATAATGAGAGTAATACCAAGATGTTGCATAAAGTAATACTAATGATTAAAATTCATGATAAGCGACATCGATTTCGCTTTACAGATAATGTCCTGTGGTTGCTGATAAAATCAGAAGCAGGAGTCTCCACAGCATCACTTAGGTATTGCAATTCAGTTCTGCAGGAACGGTAGTCTGATGATGGAGACTCCTGGGAGTCCCTTGAAAGGACAAAAAGGAGAGGCATGATATTACAAAATGCAAGCTATCGCAATAGTGTTTTCCAGTCTCTTTCATTTCCAATATCTATCATGTCTCACATTCGCGTATGTAAAGTGACTATTTATTTATCTTGCTTATTCAATTATGCTTACCTATGTTTAGAGATTGGGTGGTGGTCGCCGAAAGAATGTCAAGAAGGGATTTCAATTCACCTTGATGGTTGTTGGTATGTTTATCAAATTTGGCATTTCTTTTATGAACGTGAAAATTAAACTTAAGTGTATCATTAGGTGCCTCTGGAACTGGTCGAACAACATTCGTTAACACCCTCTGCGGTTCAAAAGTACTGAGCAGCAAAACATGCGACAATCCGGAAGAGGCTCATATTGAGGATGGTATCAAAATCCGACCTATTTCAGTGGGTATGTATAGTCTACTTCGTGGCCTGCAGTTATGCAGCTCTAACCAATTTTCTGTAATTCAGAACTTGACGAGGACGGTGTCAGGTAAGGGAACGTTTCATATATGCGACAAAAATAAGTGTACTAGTTGTGTTAGGGAGAAAGGTCGCGAAAAAATAGGGACTGTTAGGGAGTGATTTTTAACTCCTTCCTTTCATGGGCTTACCAATTGGACTCCATATCTGGTAACTTAGAATTTCACTCACCATTGTTGATACTCCTGGCTTTGGCGACAACATCGATAATGAAAAGTGGTGAGTACCAAGCTATCATCAAATTCTTCTTGAAATAATAGTAAGCTTATTCTATACAGTTTCCAAGAAATTGTTGGGTACCTCGAGACTCAGTACGACGATATTTTGGCTGAAGAATCGCGCATCAAGCGTAACCCTAGATTCCGTGATAATCGTGTTCATGCTTTATTATACTTTATTCAGCCAACAGGGCATGCGTGAGTAAATTAGGTATTCATCGAGCGTAATAGGATATACCGTTTTAACAACTTATTTCCATAGTTTGAGAGAGATCGACATTGAGTTGATGCGCCGCCTGAGTCCACGCGTCAATGTCATTCCTGTCATCGGGAGAGCTGATTCTCTCACTCCACAAGAGCTAACAGACTTCAAGAAGAGGATCATGGAGGATATTGAGCACTACAACATCCCAATTTATAATTTTCCTTTTGATATCGAAGAAGACGATGAAGATACCGTTGAAGAGAATAGCGAACTAAGGGTAAGTTTCGCATTAGAGGGGGATCCAACGTAACGCCAATTCTTATGAAAGTAACTCATTACTCTTTATATCACAAAATACACAGGATTCATTGCCTTTCGCCATTATAGGCAGTGACGACTTCATTACAATGAACGGTGCTCGGACCAAAGGACGTCAATATCCATGGGGTGCTGTTGAAGGTATGCTTACTTTATTGCATTGTTGAATGAAGTGATCTTCTAGTATTGATTATATAAAAGTTGATAATCCTGAGCACTCGGATTTCGCCAAGCTTCGATCTGCTTTGTTAAGGTAGGTACGATTCACAGAAGCAACTAACGTATTTACTTGTCTAACACAAAAACTTTAGTTCTCATTTGCAAGATTTGAAGGAGATTACTCACGATTTCTTGTACGAAAACTATCGAACCGAAAAACTGAGCAAGAGTGACGACCAGATCGATCAACCGTATGTATTAATGGTATGCTGTTATCACTGGTGGTTATGACAAATTTTTTAATTTTTCTTTTCTACAGAGATACGTCTTTCAAAGTAGATGAAATTGCGAATCAAAATGTACGTCTGAAGGAAGAACAGCTCAAGAAAGAAGAGGAGAAGCTGCGTGATATCGAGTTCAAGGTGCAAAGAGAAATTCAAGAGAAGAGGCAAGAGCTACTGGCAAAAGAAGAAGCTCTTCGTTCTCTTGAAGCTCGTTTAGCATCTACTCAAGTTGCTGATGCTTAGAGAAATGAGAAAATTGATTGTGTAGTGCAATTTGTGAGTCATGAACCCAATTTCGAGTACAGTTTGCTTTATGCTATAACATTTTTACATAATTTTTGTGATCATTGCCTAAACAATAAAGGCAATATTCATCTATGGGTATTTTAGACGTTTTTGAAAAGTGTGCACGATCCTATTTCTCTTCTTGCACGGGATCGAATGGAAATAATGCTCCAAAGTAAAAGTGTTGTACTACAGGTGCTTTGCGCAGTACCTCTGCTATGAACATCTTAATCATTCCAGAGTTCACCTTCGCCCAGCCAGGTACTGCCGAAATATCATAAAGCATCGGCGAATGTTCATGGAAAGGGCCACGCTTTACCTTTGGAATGCCAAGTAAGAAAGAGAGCTAGAGTAAGAATACAGAACATGCAGGGTTTGTACTTCAATTACCTCGTTAATGGATTGAATGCATCGAAAATAGAGATAATCCTTAGCAACGCTATTGACAATATCCTCGCTTAGGATAGACTTTGGCCGTAGATTGGGGTCATCTATTTGGAACTCATAAGTTTATGGCTATGGTCGTATTTAGCAGATTACAGTTGCTTACTGATTAGTTGAGCACTTCCCCATAAATATGGAAGAAATTGGTAATCGTCTAATCCCCAAACGCCATGGCTACCCGCTGGCTCCAATGTATATGTTCGTTGTAGCTTCCGAACAACCTCCAAATAACTTTTGATATGTCGAATGAGTTGGATAATCATGACTGTCTTTTCTTGATGTTCGATGAGAACCTACCTTGTGAATACTCGAAGTACGAGTGCTTGAAAGTCTTCTTTTTCAAACACCTTTAACATCGCAAGCCCACATAGCCAAGCACAGAAGCTCAGTTCATGGCCAGAACCATAGTCGATACGGGTGCCATTTCCGAAAGCGTTTTTAAAATACGCTTTTAATTCCGGGAGAGCAATATGAACTTCTCGAGGTAAAGCGTCTTCCATCAAGGCCTCTGCATTCTATACAAACAATTATTCAAAAACTGAATCGTTACCAGATGCAGCATCGGTATTGCCTTGCATCTTACGCACCTCTTCGACCTTGGCCAACCAGATACGAAAAGCTTTGTTGCCAAACCGTTGGGCATTTGAGGCAGGCGGTATATCGTCTATCCAACTGGAAAGGGTATCAAGCAGCTTTAAAACTTTCTTTATATTCTAGAAACAATCGCGTCAGACAGGAATGATCGTGTTTTGCGTTAAGGAAAGAATTCTCACTTCTGATTCATGGCATGGATCTGTTATTTTTTTGTTTGAAACGCTGGTGTTGAGTAGCTTTACAAAGTCGACGATACGAGCAAAAGCTTCACTTTCCGTGAAAGGAGCTATATCTTTATCACTGAATATTCGTTTGACTGGCTCTATTGGTGTGTAATCTTTTAGTAACGATTCATGAGTATGTGTCGCCATCGGCAAGAAAGATTGTTGGGTTGAGATCAAAGTTCAAAGTGAGCTTGCAAATTCGTGGAATAGGATTTACCAATTTTGGAAACCTTGATTGCTGGCTATCTTCATGGCGGCCACAAAATCGTTGCCTTTACAGCAAGTATCTTCCACAAAATATGTAGATGTCTAGCTGGAATACTGTTACGACTTGTTGACGACCCCATCATACTTCATGTTTCAACATAAAATACCAATACCCAAAAAAAGTATGAAAAGACATCTGAGAAGACGGAAAATGTGATTCAGGAGCTGGCGTTTGACACTTCTAATTGAGATTCTTTTCACAATCATTCTGTCGGTAGTCGATGGCGATAAGGATAGGAGTGTAGATATTAGATCTTTATTCTTCGTTTGCAGCAGTGGAAATGGCTTCCCTTCCTTTCCTTATTCTGGAAGCACTTTTAATATTGCCTACTTCCACAACCACGTACAGTTTTGAGCAGTAGAAATACGGTATAGGGATTTTGGTTCAGGTTTTGAACATGTTTATCTGTGATAGCTGTTTGTAAATGCTTTAGATACTATTTTCTACCATTTAGTACCGATCTGCACTTGGTATTAACTTCTCAAGTTTTGGTTGACCAAATCCGTTACTGATTTTTGTCACTGTCAACTCACAAATCTTTTTTGCAACTGCGAGTATGTTCTTTAACGAATGACAGCGAATTTAATGCTCCACACATCAAATATTTTCAAATTTGATGTTGTAGCTGCCTCAAAATTTTATTTTTCGAAGCTTGCATTCTTAAAAGCAAACCTATAGTCTATAATTAGTGCGTTTGATTCAAAGAGATTAAGTTTCGCTCCAGACTGCTCTATTGCTCATGCTTGATTTTATATCACAAATCTGCTACGAAACTGTCTTCTTCGTTGCAAATTACTTGTTAAGAAAGATGACTGAATATCATTCTTGTTACCATGATTTACTTTCCACGGCTGATACGGCTGCTTTGAATGCAGCCAGAATTCATGCTTGAAATGTTCCATTTGCAATTTCGATGTCCCTTCTACTTTCTGCTGAGGTTATTGAAAAGTCTGTCGCTTTTATGGCACTTGTGCTTCATCGTTTGAAACGACTCAGTAGAGTGCTTGTCAATTATCCAAAAGTGATTAATCCTGTATATTTACTCTGAATAATTCTGAATAGCAGCTATGGGATAAAAATATTCAATAACAATCGCAATGTTAAACAATCCATTTCCAGTTTTGGCGGATGACAGGCAACAGTCAGCCACCCGTTGCAAATTTGACGAGTTGCGGAATCTGAATTTTGAGCGATGTGCTCCTCGCTGCGCTGGCTTTTTGGCAACCTTTGCCTTTCCAACCATTAAACTTTTTCATACCTACATTTCGCTCATTTAGCGCACTTCGCCGCATGATGACCGCTCAAGAAAGCTTCAATAACCCACTGAGAAAGTTCAAACTGGTCTTCTTAGGAGAACAGTCGGGTAAGACTAGGCATACTTCAATGTCACTTCCAGGAGATCATCTACACCAGATCACGTTCTAATCCTTTCTCGCTGATGCTTGCTTATAGTGGGCAAAACATCTCTAATTACTCGCTTTATGTATGATACTTTCGACAACACATATCAGGTACGGGTCCGGACATATGAAAGGCTATACTTACGACCGGCCACGATAACACATTCAATAGGCAACGATAGGAATCGATTTTCTCTCTAAAACTATGTATATGGAAGACAGAACTGTTCGCCTCCAATTGTGGGACACGGCAGGACAGGTAAGCTATCTCTTCCTTTCTCTTGATATAAACAAACAATCCTGTGTTGTGGACAATACCTTTGAGGGCTAAACAAACACACTCCTTAGGAGCGATTTCGCAGCTTGATTCCCAGTTATATTCGCGATTCCTCAGTAGCTGTTGTAGTTTACGATATCACAAGTAAGTTAGGCGAGCTTTCGTTTCCGATTTGGCAATGCCATATATATTGACACCATTACATTTCGTGCTGATTCATAGACCGAAATTCATTTTTGAATACCGCCAAATGGATTGACGATGTTCGCGTTGAACGTGGTAACGATGTAATTATAGTTCTCGTAGGAAACAAGACTGATTTAAATGAGAAACGGTAAGCGAACATAGGAAACAAAGGTCTTAACTTAACTGGTTGCTAATCAAATCGTGTGTAACAGGGAAGTCTCAGTCGATGATGGCGAAAAGAAAGCAAAGGAGTATGGAGTGATGTTCATTGAAACCAGCGCAAAGGCGGGCCATAATGTAAATATGGAATTGCTTTTTTTTTGAGTCTTCCGTGCATTGATACTGAACTTGGTAATATTGCAGGTGAAAACCTTGTTTAGAAAGATTGCTCAAGCACTACCCGGCATGGATAACACTGTTGGTGATGCTTCAAAAGACCAGAGTAAGTTTAATACGTTGAAAAAAGCGAGCTTTTTAATGTCTCTAATATTCTTTCCTTTTGTTTAAATAGTGCAAAAAGTTGATTTAAGTAGTACAACCACCGAAGCGAGCAATTGCTCGTGCTAAAACCTTTAGCTTTTCTTTTATGATATCAACAAATTTAACTATCATAGCCAATGAGATGAAAAAGTTTTCTTTTGATAGATACAGCTCTCATAAAGCAAGAATACCAGATATGACATTTAAGCGACAGAATACACTCTATGTTGTACTGACATTTTCATTGTCTGCTGTCGCGCCACTGGTGCAACTAATATACCATGCTTGAGAGGCAAAAGCAGGGCGATATCGGAACAAACGAAGCATAGACCTGTCCGAATAGCTTGGAAATGGTATTCAGTTCTAATGTGGCAATACAGATCTTTATTGCAACATTAATCATGTTCCTGTCCTTCTCAGCTTCGAAATAACAGTCCAATCATTTTTATGTCATTAAGTTGCGCGAAACTGTCTATTTAAACTTCACGTCCTTGCCGATTCAATCGAAATGCCCGGTTATAAAGTGTTAATCTCTAATGATGATGGTGAGTGGTTTTGTGAAGCAATGATTGTGAAACAAGACCGCGGACTAAATCAATATATCTACAGGGCCGCCTAGCGCAGACGAATCCCCTTTCATTCTGACTTTCATTGAGCAATTGGAAGCTCTTGGCTGGGAAGTCAGGTTGGTCTTAGAGTATTGTTTACGAAAGGCGCATGAAAGTGCTGTTTGATGTTGATGCACCCGAAGCGTATGTTTGCCAGATACTCAAAAATCGTGGATATCCAAATCTTTCATGATCAAAGACCACATTGGAGTTAAATATTACAACAGACAGACCAACCGAGTTCAAGCACATAAATCTGCACCGAATGATTTTGTGTTGGTAAGCAGAATCATGAGTGAAATCTATAGGGCTAACCCGCCACTCACACTTGCCAACAGCTAAGCGGTACGCCGGCTACCTGCGTAAATATTGGTCTTCATCACGTCTTCAAAGATACCGATTTTGACCTTGTCATAGCCGGTCCTAACTTTGGCCGTAATTCAGCAAGGTAAGTTGCATTCTGTGTGTGTGCTTCTATACTATATGTTTTAACCAGTATGTGCCATATAATAGCATCTATACGTTGGCATCTGGAACTATTGGTGCAGCTCTGTAAGTCGATATATTGCCTCTTGTCATGCAAATTGTACTCCCGCCATTGACTTGTAGTGTGTTTCTCTTAGAGAAGCGACTCTTTGTAATAAGAAAGCAATTGCTCTGTCATTTGCATTCTATGATCGCGATATCAAGCCTCCAAAAATCAAGAACGCCTGCAACATGGGTAACTTTCCTTCCTTTCCTATCATTGTGTTGATGGAATGTTACTCACATGTCGAATATCTAACAAATTAAATGAAGCTATCAAGGTTATCAGCAAATTGATGGAGATTAATGAATGGCAACCTGCTGGCCTCTACAATATCAATGTGCCACTTGTTGAAGAAGAATGCAGCGTCAAAGTCACGAACATTTACAAAACCAGTTACGGAAGTCTATTCAAACCTGTGACACTGGAGAGCACACCGCAAAATGCAACTAATGATGAGTCTGTGGAGCTGAGTCTAAGAGATGAAGCTGAAAGAGGAGAGCCATTGGAATATAGGTTCGCTCCAGATTTTAAGGTGCTTAGCGGTATTGCTGATGCTGAAGTTGGCACTGACACATGGGCTGTCCACAATAAGCATATCTCAGGTGAGTTGAAGTTGGAGGCGAGTATACATCATTGACGCGTTACTTACTGGTTTGGTGGACATGACAGTGACACCTTTGATTGCATCATACGCTTGCACACCACTGGATAAAGTCCCTAGATTAGAGGCACTTACAAATCTCAACAAACTCTAGATACAGTTTCGCATACATCTGGCGATGAAAGGAGTCTTTCTGACCCCTATATTGTTCATTTATCATAAGAAACAAACTACTCTAACATTATCAACGGCATGGTTTGCCTATGTGTTTTTATCAATGTACAAAGGGTGCATAGCGTCTAAAGGAGGTCGATGATAACTAGAAGAATCGCTTGGCATAGTCCAAAGCGAAGGGAACTGCAGAAGAAATTTAACAATTGCGTTAGCTTTCAAATTTCAAAACTTGTCGAGGAACTCGCGTTTGGCGAAATATTTACCAGCACGGATGGCAACAATGACGGAAACGAAGTTAGAAACATTGCTGATGGTGCGCATTCGGAGGAAAGCCTTCTCCTCAGGAGTGAGTTTTTGCTATATTGCAGTTACTGGTTAGTCAAACATGATGATTTGCGTGATAGATCTGATGGTAGCTGCCTTTACCTGTGGCATGAACATTTCGAGGTGTATGTGTGCAGGTGAAGATTTCGGGGTAAACAAAAAAAAGCGCTAATGTGTGTGTCATTGCATCGGTGGCAGTCACTGAGCACCAAAAAAATTGGCTCGAGGTATGGAGAAAAGATGGTAGACGTGCAAATCGAAAGGTACCACTAGACAGTAATTTTTGAAGAGAAGGACTCTTTCCTTACAGGTATAGCGGATAAAAGGTATACTTTAAGTAACGAGAACGGATTTACCAAGGCAAAATGCTTTTATTAATAGCGGTTTAATTTGGATCACGTTAATTGACGCATTGATTCAGCTATTGTTTGAGATGAAATTTTCTTTCAAAGCTGGCTGCTAACGCCAGTTTTTCCTCCTTCTCTTTATGTCTTACCATATACCTATTGAATTGCCGGGACTGACCTCCATAGTGTCTAATCCTGTGAATGTTTCGTTCGTTGGATTATCACTGGAGACTAGTGGGTTGAACTACTTCTTAGGAAATGTGTCCCACCCCAACGTATTTTTCAAAAACCTATTAATGCAATTGGGTCACACCAGCAATGTAAAATCGCAGAAAGTAATGATCCGAATACCGTGAAGATGTCTAACATAATTTTTTCGCATTAAATGTAGAAGCAACTAACGTTACGCATAGGTGGCGACACACAAGATTCAACCTGGTATGATGCACATCTCTCAACGGATATCATTGTGATGCGAAACTTAAGTGTCGTTCCGAACGAGTGGGTCACTGTTGGTCCTCTTGCATTTGATCAAATGAGCACCCTGTCGTCTACAATGCCTATCAATTGGATCATCGGATTGAACTTCAATGTGTCTTCTGTAGAAAACCCAGAGAATGCACTGGCAATGGCGACGGCCGCGGAAAGCTCGATTGGCGAAAATATTTATGCATTTGAAATTGGAAACGAACCAGATAATTTTGTAACTGTAAAACAACGACCACCAGGATGGAACATGGCTGACTACGTTGAAGAGTGGGCGCCATTCGCACTCAAACTACAACAAACTGTTCCAAGTACCAGGCATCAAGGCATAGAGGCTGCTGTTTTCGGAGGAGGTGGCTGGCGTATTACTGACCTTCTCAACTATGACATTAACGGCAGCACCTTTATAGACACTTTCCAGACTAGCATCAAAGGAGTATCGAAGCACCAATACCAAACAAGCAACTGCAATCTACTTAATCCTCCTGTCCTACAAGATTTGCTCAACCACTCGAGTATTGAAAGCAAAGTTAAGAATGCTGTGAGCGGGTTGAGTTCGGACGACCTAGCCACGTACGCTTTTCGCTTAGGAGAATTCAATAGCGTAAGCTGCGAGGGACGTAACGGTCTATCCAATAGTTTTGCAAGTGCTCTTTGGGCCATTGATTACATGGTAAGAAACAGCGAATTGATTGTAAGCTTTGTAGTCTATTGCGAAGTTCTAAGTCTAATTTGTTGTTCAGATGCTTTTGGCCTATAATAATGTAACCGCATGCAACATACATAACCGTTTTCCAAGCTATTACAATATTGCTGACAGGGTCGGTGGAGTATGGAAAGCACAGCCAGTCTGGTATTCACTGCTGTTCATCGCTCAAGCTTTTGGTGGCATTAAAGGAAACGGCGTCTCTATAACCAGCCTAGCAACAGAAGACCCCGATATGCCAGCATACGGTCTATACAAGCAAGCCATTTTAACGTCTATCATTGTCATTAATCTGAAACGGCCTTCGTCTGGATATCAAAATCAGACTATAACTTTAATAGTCGATACTAGCAAAAACCAATACTCTACCCAACCACTCTATTTATCATCTCTTGTTACGAAAGCTGCTGAATATCAATCCGGGATTCGTTGGGCAAATCAGACGATGGATGGATCGACTGATGGTAAAATCCAGGGAAAGCCATATGCAACTGTGCTGCAGCCTAATGTTTCTAGTTCGTCCATTACCTATTCGTTCGTTATACCAGCATTCTCAGCACATTTACTGGAGTATAGGAAATCTGTCGTCAAAGAAGGCTTTGCTTCTGGTTCTTCTGGGTCTTACGGAAACGTCAAGACTATAACTCGGAATATATTACTATTGATGCTTTTAATTTGTCATTTGAGATGAAACTGTATTATATTATTATATTTACAATGAGAAATGGTTGTTGCGTCTAGAGAACAATCAAAGTCTAATCAATCGTCTATTTCGACTATAGTGAAAGTCTCACTTGGTTGCTGTGTAGCGGTATCCGATCCCTTGCTTGATGTGCGATATATGGTGGAAGTTGGAAAGTCAGGATCATCAGGTGTAGAATCAACTATAAACTCATGGGTTATCTTATCCGTCGTTTGGGTATCTACACGAAACTCTATTTCTGATGCGCGGGTTGGTATGTTTCTAAAGATGCCTTGAAGATATAGATCATATACCAGTTTCTTAGGTGGAGTGTACAAATTGCAAAGCGGGCATTTCCAGTCTGCCATTCCTTTGTTGACCAAAAGATACGATTCCAGATCAAAACACTACATTATATACAGTAAAAGCGTTGAGATTCAGGGGTTCTCTCTCGACATAATCTAAGTTGCAGGCATATTTTTATAACTTACATCGAAATGCTTGCAATCAATCCCTCTTACTGGCGTTTGTATCGTTCTTAAAGTGATTGGACATTGCGAACTTATCCTTAAGGAATCTTGAGAGATAAATAGTAGGTCTGCTTGCTCTGGTACTTGACTAATAGGCGTTAAAGAGCCCGGCAATCCACTCGTTCGAGAAGGTGCGTCAATTGGTGATGTACTCGCTAGCATCTTTTTCAAGAGATTTCGCCAGACGTTTTCCGGAAGGCTGTTCTGCTTCACCAAATCAACAACAGATTCTTCAGTTTCAACCGAATATGTTTCAATTAATAGATTGATATCCTGTAATTGTCCATTGCGGTTAAACACCATAATCAGGGTGGAAGATGTTATTAATCTCTAATACAATACGTACCTCTGTCTCTTTGCTGTCTCTTTGCACCAAAAGTATGTTTTTCCCTTTTACTATCAATGGGGTGATATCCATACAACCATCTTTGCTAATGGTGAAGTTTACTGTCGATTGCTTTGATTTCGTCAAGTGACGCCTCTGCAATGATGATAAAATGTCTGAGTAGGAGCGAAGGTGGTTATCTCATTATGCCTTTCTCCTTACCATTCCTATACTCAGAGTAACGCCGTTCAACATGATGGATAAGTTTTGGGGCCAGTATGTACGCGAAGAATGCGAGTTGGCCTTCCAAATTTTGAGAACAAGCAGCAATGCAGATGGTCGAAGGTCTCCATTTTCCACTTTTAAATTGGTATGTAATCGGCTAAATGCATTGGCGCCGATAAAAAACGGGTAGCTTGTCTTCATCTTTCTCGCAATCAGTTTGACTGGTCCTAGTGTATGCTCAGCATGCAGCATATAATCCCACTTGTTTGTCAGCACGGGGGCTACCTCTAACAATGGATTCTGAAACTTCGATTGTCGCACTTCTTCAGACCAATTGGCTATGAGTACTGTAAAATCTATCAGACATCAAGAATATACCGTCATTAATTTCTTGGAGGCGTTTACTTACATTGATGCTCGGGTGCCAGCTTGTTGCTATCATGAACTTGATCGAACACCTTGAGGGCAAGATCAATATGAGCAGGTCCTGAGTTTTCCTTTACGAGCTGACATATTCTGAATGATTAAAAATATACAACGGGGAGGAAACTGAATTGTATCATCATACCTTCAAACAAAGGAGCATACTCTCCTCATAGCCTGGCTGATAGTAAGGGTGTTCCTTGACAAGGTCTAAAAGATTGCCGCATGCATCTTCAAAAGAATTTATTTCTTGAAGGTTCAGCGATATTCGAGCAAATGCACATATCTGCTCAATAGCTCGAAGAGAATGATTCAATTGATTCACGTCCCGTACTCCTGGTTGCATTGCATGTTTAAATTGAAAGGAAACGGTAATTTGTACAAAAAGTCGCTGACCGCCACTTGCCAGCAATTTTATTTCCCCAAATTTCATACGGTAAAAATTATTGACAAAGGATTAAATGGCAGCAGTCTCCTTTGCCAACCACTTGTAGCCAGGGCTATCCTTGGAAAGCAAAGCACCAACCTTCTCGAGGCACTCAACATGATACTCGTTGACCCATTGCTTTTCTTCAGGGGAGAGTAGGTTTTGGTCGATGAGCTTGTTACCAATGGGAACCAAAGTGACATGCTCAAAGCCTAAGTAGCCGCGGTTACCAAAGTTATGTGGCGTGTCCGCTTTACGGACAAGCAGGACGTTCTCAATACGAATTCCAAACTTTCCGTCTTCGTAATATCCAGGTTCTGCGAAGGTAAATGTGTTTAAGACAGCATTTAGTACGACGGTTGACTCTATTCCACTCCTTCGCATCATTAATTTCAGCTTACCGTTGGTGACCGTCATGCCTTCTGCAAAGGGGCTGTCATTATAGCTGGTACGAGTTCCAATACCGTGGGGACCTTCGTGCACATTCAAAAAGGCACCGACACCGTGGCCGGTTCCATGACGGAAGTCTAAACCATCTCTCCACAATGCGTGTCTGGCAAAAGGATCGAGGAGGTAGCCTGCGAATGACATATGTGAGTCAACCGACAACGTACATTTATGCTATGCTTACTCTCAATAATAAGTATATTACCTGTTGTGCCAAGTGGGAAGACACAACGGTCAATAGCAATATGACCTTGAAGGACTCTGGTGAAGCATCTCTTCTCATAATCGTTGGGTTGACCAAAGTGATAGGTTCTTGTAACATCTGTAGTACCGTCTCTGTATTGACCTCCAGAATCGCAAAGGTAAATGAGCTTAGGATCAATTATCTTGCACGATTCAGGCTCAGGCTTGTAGTGAATGATAGCGCCGTTTGGTCCAGTGGAGGAAATGGTATCAAAAGAAAGTCCAACAAAGTCCTTTTGTTGGCGGCGAAGATTCTCGAGGTAATCTGCAGCCTCGACTTCAGATAACTGCTTGCCTTGTCCAAGCTGATCCTCAAGCCATGCAAAATAGTGGCAGAGAGCAGCTGCATCACGAAGATGGCATTGTCGCATACCTTCCAATTCGGTGGAATTTTTGATAGCCTTAGCATCATTAACCAAAGATCTGTCCATCAAGGTATTTTGCTAGCAAGTATAAACAGCGTCAATATACGAGACTGCATTGACAGCATCCATGGATAGCCATTGAATCTTACCTTTTGGATAGCAACCTCTACAGCCAAACTTGTCTTTGAGTTGATGAGAAGCTTTTTGTTCTCGCTGTTCAATGTTGCAGCCATGTTCTTAAGATCAAGGAAGAAATCGTTATATGGCTTGATGGAGACCTGGTCACCCAAATGTTTTAAGACGTCATTGCCAAGCTTAGCATGATCGACGTACAGAGTAGTTTGATCAAGAGTGACAATAGCGTATGAGAAGAACACAGGATTGCATTCAACGTCGGAACCTCTAAGATTGAAAAGCCATGCAACTTCGTCCAAGGCTGAGATGACAGTACCATAAATCTTCTTCGCTTCGAGATCCTTGCGAAGTGATGCTAGCTTATCAGTATGGCTAACACCTACCAAAAAGAAAACAAGGACGCATCATTATTTGTAGGGTTCGACAAATTGATTGGAATTTACCCTGTCCTCCCAAATACATACCTGCATATTCAATAGGCTGAACAATGACGGGGTCCGTGGGGGGAGCAGGTCTCTCTGCACCCCAAGCAAGATCGACAATGTTCTTTTCAAGCGGAACAAGGACAGAGCCCACAGATTGCAGTTCATATTCCAAGGAAGAAGCGTCGCCTAGTAGGATGAATGCAGAGAAGGGTTGGGTTTGTTTAAGGAATTATTACTTGATTTGGACAAAGGCGGACATCATTTTGCAGTATTGAGCTTACTGGCGGTAATCAATGTGGGGTCGACTCCAATTCGTGATTTAGCCGGTAGATTTTTTACGAGATATTCTTGCCACGTAGGCACCTTAGGTAAACCTTGCTTCATAAGCGTCCAGTTTTCATCCAATTGTTGCGATGCTTGCAAGAAATAGCGACCATCGGTGAACAAAGCTGCCTCCTTTTCAGAAACTACAGCACAACCTATTTGAAGTGAATGGATTATAAGAAAAGACTCAATGCAAGCAAGTGGGTAACAAAAAGGTCAATGGAAGAGAAAAAAAGGGAAGAAGATTCTACTTCGCAGCGAGGGAGAATGCAGTAGGTTCACGCCCACTAGTGCTACTCTGAAATGCTCCGTACCTGCGGATCCAGTGAATCCAGAGATCCAGTGACGACGCTTGTCGCAATCTGCAATGTACTCGCTCTAATGTAGATAGGCGTTATGACACATTAGTCGATTCTGTTAGATTTGCAGGACGTGATCTCGATGGTGAGATTTACCTGATGAGCATCCTCAGAGGGGACGAAGCTGTTGCACGAGAAATAAGGTGAGTGGCAAAGAATGAAGGGTACATTCACGTTGGTAGAGGTACTACTTACAATGCTTGAACGTTATTGGCTTTAAGGAAGTGTCTTGCCTTCTGAAGACGATCGCTGGTGCGGACAACCATATTCAAGATTCGCACGGTCTGTGAAGGAGAACGCATAAGAAGGCTGCCAGGGCCACAAAAGTGTTATTTTGTAAAAGTAGCCAATCAGAGGACATGGCCATTGGTTTTTCAATGGCCGATCACACCTGGAGAACGTTTTTCTTTCCTTTCACCAACATTTGGCTCTATTATCAAAAAGAAGCCTGTCACTTTTTTTTGTGCTATTTGACTTTACCCGTGCTGACCTATCGCATTCTACGAGGCTCTGTCGACTTTGAAGACATCTATTTACTGGAGTACCACCGTGTCCACCAGTAGATTGAATATCCTCCTATTGTGTCCCTGCTATTCTATCCAACCCTTTCTTATATCCAATGCTTGCGAAATCGGAAGCCAAGCCCTCTTCACGCACTTCTTCTCGTGCACAAAAGCAACAAAACTCTCCTTCCAAGTCTTCGAAACGTCCAAGGATAGACGATAAGGCGACGGAAGCCAAGATTGCTAAACTTCGGGTAGCTCAGTCATCTGTAGCCGGATCTCAGAAAGACGACCCCGCATCACCAGACAATAACATCACGTCTTCATCCACATCATCCCCTGAGCCCAACACTCAACACACCACTCGCACGACTACGCGCTCCAATTCTTTAGACTCTAGTAACAACGATACTCCTTCACAAACGCAGGAGGACCTCCCTCCACCAAGACGTACCAGCGCCAGGCGAAGGGTCACCGTCCAACCTACTGCTACCAATACTACTCCGGCTACCAATGCTCGAGAGTCTGCTGACTCTGACAATGAATCCGAAAACCATGCTGGTTCAGACGAAGATGATGCGCATGAAGAAGAAGTGAATTCAGACAAGGAAACGAACAAAAAATCCAAATCTAACAAACGAACTTACACATCTGAAGCAATGAAACAAAGGCAAGTTTGATGCCTTTCCTTCACTTTGCCACTTTTTTTTTCATGTTTTCTTCTCATAATTATTTCGACCATCGCTTCACACACCTAACCTCCCCGTTCTCGCCCCTTTACAGGTTTGAAAATCTGGATCAACAACAAATCCAAATTCGCGAAGGTTCCCACCCACAGTATATACAATTGCTTGAAGATATAGAATCCAAACGGTCTGAAAAATATGGAAATGCTGAATTACGGCGAAAATTGGCTCAAGGCGCCATTACGGCTTGCTACGAAGCAGACAAGAAACAGGCAAACGATCAATACTATGCAAGTGGTTTTTTCTTATTGTTTGAGAAACCGAGTGTCGGTTCCTGATTGATAACGTTAAAAAAAATTAACCTTTTTTTTTTTTCAATAGTTCGGAAGAGTATCGATCCGCAGAGAGATGCTCGATCAAGTTCAACAAAAAATATCAGCACTGCATACAGAATACATCACACTCAAGTTTGGCCAAGGTAACAAACATTCTTTTATAAACTCGGTTAGCATTGACATCGGATTCTGACAAAATGCCCCATTGATGACGTTTAGAATACTCTCTGGCAAAGGCCAAGCTGATTGCGAACTGGGTACCACCGGAGCGACCAACTATGATTAATATCCTTTTTACTGCGGGTTTGCATTGCTTTGGGGGGGAAGAAATTTTTTTTTTCTCTGGCTTTTCCTCTGTTAACAAATTGAGAACGAGCCAGAATTTTTTTTTTGAATAAGGCGTATGTTTGAGCTTGTGTCTGTGACACAGTGGTACTGAAAAAAATGCGAATGTCCTTGACCCATTTCCTTTTTTGGCGTGTTTACGCTCTTTGACTCCAGGTTTACAAGATGATGAGATAGCCCAAGACATGCACTTCGCACGCAACATCATCGACTACGAGCAAGAAGAAGAGGACGACGACGAAGAAGAAGAATCTGAGATCGACCATGAATACGAAGATGAAGTCTTATTTCCAGATCCGAAGGAGAATGAAGTGTCGGAAAATGAACAACCATTGATAGAAAGCAACGATCAACATCATCATTATCGACCTTCGGCACTGTATGCGGTGGGAAGACCACCAGACTCTCGGTACGAACCGCAAATCCCTGACCATAAGAAACCAACCTTTCGTTATATTCCCCGACCACTTGCGCCTCTTCCTCCGCCCAGCATGGCACATCACGAGCACGATCCTGTTCCCGCGTCGAATGGTATGTCACCACCGCACCCTCATATGGCTGCTCCGCGGCCACCTCCAATACCGTCCTCCCCACCCGACAGAATGAATGGTAAAAGCATCGTTCAACGTAAACCTCCCGTCAATATTGCTCCAGCATGGGCTCGTCCGCCACCGCCTCCTCAGCCATCTGGTCGTATTGACTTTGACTTGTCGGGCCCAGATTCCCCTCCACTAGAGACCCTAGCTTCTCTTGCGGATGAACAATACCGACAATATTATTCCAAGCGTTCCTTCATAGTACAAGAAAGAATCAAAGATTACACTGGATCCAAGAAAAAGAAGAAGAAGAGCCATCGACATGGCAAGAAGGCCAAACGTGTGCACGCTGACGGCAAACCTTCATCCAGCAAGGATGTTCTAGTCAGCTAGATTGTTTCCATATGGTTTTTTCTTCTTCTTTTTGCTCTGACATGTTCCAGAGCCCCACCCTGTCTTTTATCCCACTCCATCCCAAGTTTTTCCTCTCTTTCACTCAAATCCCCAGTCCCTTTTGTTTTCTTTACACTTCTGCCCCTTTCTTTAAATATCACTCGTTGCTTCTCTCAAACCATTCCTTTCATGCAAAGTTCCCATCCCTTACCCAATTTTTCTTCTTCTTTTCCTACGCGTTCTTTTTCTTCCTCGAAGGATATTTTGTACTCTATACCCTGTCTCTCTAGAAGGAATAAAGCTTGAAATGACAGCTTGCAAAATATCATTGTACATGCGGCTGTTTTCGGTATTACTTTCGATGTTCAAGACCACATGACCCTCAAATTTTGGTTTTTTTAAGAAATGCTAAAATAATCACCCACCGCCACAACAGATGTGGTCCAGCCCAAATATCACGCAACAATAGGAAAAGAAGTACATAGAAAGAGTTTACATACATTAAGAGAAAACCGAATTTGTAGAAGTGCTGTAGTAGACAAATATGCACACCAATGGGCTATAATGCGCATAGCTGTGAATGTGGGGTGAGTGTGGGGAGGTGCTTCTTCCAGTCCGGTGGAAGATAAACAAGATACAGAGGGAGAACTACAAGGGTGAGAGTAGAAAAAAGGTAGGATAAGGAAGCACAAAATAAGAGAGAGAGAGAGAGACTAAAAAATTCTAGGCTATTGCCAATCGATGCCATGTCTATAACTACAAAAAATATTGACCGCCGGGTCCCACTCCGTTCACACCGAATTGCCTTTGGTTATTCGACAATCTTTCCTGATCAGCTACTGCATTGAAGATCTTGAAGCTTCTTTCTGATATTTCGTCACCATCTCGAATTTCCATGATAGAAGCAACGTTACCGCAACGATAGCAATAGTTAGGAGCTGACCACACCGTCACCAAATTTTCGTCCGGGAACATATACTTGTAGCCTTCTTGTACGAGCTGATGGGCACGGGCGATCAACGAGAGTCCATTGACATGATTAAACTACATAATGTGTTAGGAAAAACCCTGTACTGGCAATTGTTCACTCTCAGTGTAGGGCCATTCAAGGCTCACTTACTTCGCTTGTCACTTTGCCTCCGAATAGCCATCCAGCACCTCGAGGGCTGACAGCCCAGGTCTCAATTTCTTCAGGATCGGACCACATCAGATCACAAAAAGCTCCTTCATGAGGAATTTCTTGTAACCTGTGAATGGTTCGAATCTGATCCAGCGTTCGAACATCAGGAGACAACCCACCGTGTACGCAAAGGACAGTTCCATCAACAATCTAAGGAAAATGGAGAGTTCGCGGGTGAGTTGGGTCCATGAGGCTGATACAGTGCTCATGAATGTACTAACCGCTGCCAAGGTCAGGTAGTCAAAAACAGAACAACAATACTTCCACACATTGGCACTGCCGTATTTTGATTGACATTCATCTACCGGGGGTAAGTGAGTGTCAATAAAGAAAGTACGAGGTTAAACCTTTGAAGAAATACAGAAAGTAACCATGCCATACCATAGAAGCCATATACTTGAGTGATTTGTCTGCTTTCATGGTTACCTCTGAGAAGTGTGATTCGGTGAGGATATCTATTGAGGTTGGAAAGAGAAGACAAATGAATTATTAAGGAGGCTTGACGTGACCCGCAGTGTATGACAAACATACCGGGCTTTTAATGCCATGAGCAGTGTGAATGTTTCCAAACTGTGATGGCCACGGTCAACGAAATCTCCCTATATGAATGGGTAAGCACAGGCAGATGACGATGCCTACGAATTGGAAATACTTTCGTACCATGAATATGTAGTTCGTATCAGGAACATCACCGCCGACTCTGAACAATTCCAACAAATCATAAAATTGACCTGAACGGCAAAAACACATCAGATAACTCATACGTACAGTCGATACCACATTATCAATGCGAGCCTTACCATGTATATCTCCGCATACGGTCACAGGTGAGTGCACAGGCTGTATGTTGGATTCCTCCATGAGTAGTTCTTTAACCTAATCATAAGAGATGCGTGCATAGGTTAGAGAGAATGCTTTCGGTTACTGCATCGCTTCCACTTGAGATGCGCATAATCACAGAGTGCGAAGTCGAAAAAGCCGTCAGGCGAATATGCTTAATCTTGGGGGGCTTTTGGAATGTTGAAACCGGTCAGGATGAACCATCGTATCTAATCAGAAACTCGAGTCGGTTCGGTCTGTTGAGGTGAAAGTACAGGTCGAAGTTCGCTGTGATACTCAAGTGGCAAGCTAGAAAGGTTACAGTGAAACGTTGGAGTTATACTTACCATCTCACATAACTGTTTGATGTCCTGTTCTGCAAGATACTCGCCATTTCGGACAGTCTCAAGCCATTCTTCAGGATTTCCCATAACTATATATTAAAGTAAAGCGTTGGCCAAATGTAAATAGCCTTAGCAACTGGAAATCGTGATTAGATCTACAATCGCTATACGCAATCCGTTGACTCCCGCTCTACAAACGGAAATCCGCCGCTTATAGAGTCACGTGTAAATTCACACGTGACTGAAATGCCATATTTAATATTTTAAAGACCGATGAATGTTTTGCGTTACAATCCTGCAATCTCGATTTGCCTGCAAATGGTCGCATAGAGCTGGTATATCATCATCAATTACGACTACCGAAGTTATGTTTTTCATTATCATAAAATATATTGCATACGTATGACCTTTTTGATTGCGTAAGAGGTTCTTTCTTACTCAGATGAGCTCAGAAAATTGTTTGTTGACCTGAGAGCGTTGTTATACAATCGAGGTCCGATGCTGCTCGACTTCTGACTATCTGTGAGGCATATATGCTGTATTGTACTTCAAATGCCATTGCTCAATTGAAGCTAAATGAAGAAAACTACAGCAAATGATGGTTAACAGGTAGATGTTTCAATATGCACCAAAAAAAACAGCCAGGTTCACAAAGGGCTGCTCTAAGCCACAGTTTGCGAAACATTACGGTGTCGACACTCAAAGCCAACCCTCTATGCAAGTAGTTATCTTTTCATGTATAGCACACAGTCGCGACAATTCAGATAAATGATTTATGTACTTTCGGTCACCTTTTCATAATACAAACAAACATCTACATATGCAGATATTGGTACAGGGTAATATGTAAAGAAGCGTAATGAGTGCTATAAGATACTTGATTTTGGGTTTGTGAAGGAGAATACAGTGGGTAAATAGTGTAGATAGAATGGTGAAGAAACCTGATTATGCCGTAACATCATTAAGCATTAGACGTCGGCCAACTTTCCGGAAGTTGGCGGGAACTTCCTCAACTGGTTTCTGGTCATTCGCAAGTTCTATATCCCAGTATCCATAGCCATTAGTTAAATTAGCGGATTCTTGCATTGCCAGCAATCTCTGCTTCTGAGATGTACCAGTAGGGTATCTCTCATTCATGAGCATTTGCTTAATATCAAGCAAATACTGCTTAAGAGTAGCGAGGTATCTAGCCGTTTGTCTGTGCTTGGAGGACACACAAAGCTGCAAACAAAGGAGTTGATGAGCATACTTGTAAATGTAGATTCATTAAAAACGGATGTTTAACTTACCGCAATACCATCGTCCTTGATAATATAGCCTATTCCAAATCCATTACCAACAGTGGGCCCAAAGCCGAACAAACGAAGCGCAGGATTGCCACAGTTACTGGTACTGATAACGGTGTGATTCATAGTAGTCCAACCTGGATCGGTAAAGATCTTTGGAGTTTTCTCATCCTTGTGCAATCTATCCCACAGCGAGTTAAGTGCATAAAGATGACGATCGTGTCCTAAACCCTTTGAGCAATCTCGAGTGAGCTTTGAATGCTTGAGAATGGCTTTCCTTAAAGAATCCAGAACGCCACGGTTGTCACCATTGCGCTCAGAAAACTTTTTGACGAAGTCAGCAACTTCCGGTGTAACACTACGAATGGCCTCAGTACGTCCGTGTAAGAAAGTTTTGGTCATGGCTACGGCAACATTTTTAGTGACATGAAACCCCCATATGAAAGTTAGCGAATGAATTTACCTGGTTCATAGGTACATTCGATTTTGCCGTAAAGATCATAGTAAGCGGCTTGGAAAGCCATCTGTGGGTGAGAGCATGGATAAATATGATTGCGTTATTTGTACTAAACGCAAGGGGTCTTCAACATTACCTGAACGAAAGCATCTGGGCTGAGCTTCATATCGACGATGAAGCTCTTGCCATAATCGCCAAACTCCAGAACGTTGACTTCATTTTGCAGAATCAAATCGCTCAAACGAGTCTCAGCAAATCGAATACCCAGCTTAAGCTCCTCATTTAACTTCCACTCGATCTTACGAGGGTTAACATCTTGTATGTGATTGGTACCGTTGCTAGAGATGCTGCTTGATCTACGCTTATCACCATTCTGAGTCAAGGAATGGAAGATAGACTTTGTTTGGCTGTTGATTGTTTGGGCAAACCGCAGAATAGTATCTGTGTAGATATCAGATACAAATCGAAGGACAGTGTGACCATCAACACCAGTGTGTTCAAAGTTGATACCGGCACTACCATTCTTACAGACGATAATCTTTTTTGGCAAAAATAAATAAATACAAAAGGCAGTTAGAGGAAGGTATCACATGAGAAAATACCCCGGAGTGGCACAAAATTCAGGGTCCACTTTAGGCTGTGTACCTACCTGCAGCTTATCGTACCATCTATTGGTACATGTTCCAACCTGTACACCCTGATCAATCTCATAACTACCACAAAGCATGTTTGTGCTCAAGTCATCCGATGTCTGGGGGGAAACGTGGTCCAGGCATACAATGAAGAGAGCAGAGTCCACCACCTGGAGGGCTTCTCGATTTTCCTGTCCCTCATTGAGTCGGTCACGAAGTCTTGCCCATACAGGTCTGCTTTCAGTGGTAAGCACACCTACAGCATTCTTGGCAATGTCATGCACGGCGGTTTTAGTGGCATCGGAGCGAATGGCTTTGAGATTGGCCACAATTTCTTTTTCCGTCACAGCAATGTTACCGTCGTCATCAAATACTTCAAAGTGGTAGAATTGTGAATGGGCCAAAACAACAATATGTTTGGCTTGATCGTCCGATTGTATATAACATCCATTCTCCGTTGGCATACGGGCCGTACCAAACAAGCGACTAAATTGGGACATGCAAAGAGGAGTACCGCGAAAAACATCAGGTTCCAGAGACTTGTTGCGTAACGCATACACGAACTTCAGTGTGGAAGTAATGAGAGATGCGGCTCGTACAACTTGGTCACTTCGTTGAGGAGTTGGGTCATCTTCCAAAAGGAAGAATGGGTTCAAGTTCAAGACCACAGAGTCAGTATACTGTAGGTATGAGTCGTACCTATTAGATGAGAGTTTTGAAGAAAATCATCATTAGACCATTGACGAGGTCATGCAGTAGCAAACCTATGACCACAGCACAATGCTTACCAAAATTCTTCAATGTACGATTTCTTGTCAGTAGCATAGGACTTGAGTTTCTCTTGAAGATCCGGTCCTTCATGTTCCAAGAAATGCTGGACGGCCAATTTGGTTGCTTCATGTTGTTTAGGCGTCTTTTCATATAAAAAGCAAGCTTTAGTACCGACTTCCTTACGTTCCTATCCATCTCCAACAAAAAATTTCACGTTACCTGAAGGGCAGTCAAGGCAGCCAAATACTTGTCGGTGGTCTCCTTCAAGTCTGGAATGGGGAGCTTTGGAAGCTTATCCTGCGCCTGGAAAGTGATGCCACCGGTAGGATCGGGGGACAAATGAGGTGATGTGTTTGAAATCATTCGGTAACAAAAGTGAAGAGAAGACGATATCGTCACAGGCTCTATTTGAATGAATTGAGGCCACAGCACATGACAGCCGCTAGTTTCAATCTCAGGACTTTCCGAAACTGTGGAGACGTCTCTTACTGGATCACCCCGCCCGCCGGCTAAAATAATTCAAAGCGGGGCAGTTCCTTGGCTTCCATCAAACCGTCTTATTCCGAAATATTCACAGCCCCTCTGAACATTACATTACACTGCATCATGGAAAGGGTTTCATTCATTGGCAGCGGGCAATTCTGCCCATTTTCATTTTTTTTTTATACTTCCTGCATAGGAAGAAACAAAATGGTTGGTTTGATTAACAAAGATGAGAGTGATGGCGACAGAGTTAGAAAGAAAAGACAAAAGGATAAAGGACTGAATAGTGTGCGAATCTAATTACGTTACTATGTTTAAAAGAGATAAAGAAAAAATTATAAAGACATCTACTGAATTTACTCGGGCTTTCTGGCAACGAAGAAGAACATGGGAGTGAAAAGGTTGGCACGAGCACCTTCAACAAGGGCATCGGCAGCGGTCTCCAAGAACTTCTGGGTATCGTATGAGCCCTTGGGAGCAAGACCAACCTTCTCCAAGACGCGGACCATTTGAGTGGTGGTGAATCGGCCAACGGGGGTCATGGCAATAGTGGTGAGGTAGTCACGTGCAGACTGGCACTTCTTAAATTCACCTTCCAAAGGATAGTACCATTGGACGGAATCGCCAACGTTAGCCAAATCTTGGTGGATCTCAATCTCGAAACCGACGTTGCGAAGAGCTTGAAGACATTCGGCGATTCTACGCATCTTGGGGATACCGTTACCGATCTCAATACCGTGGGCAATACGGTGATGATCAGCGTTGGTCTCATCATAGTCATCAGTCATACACCATTCGTAGCAACCGAAGGCACCACCGGGCTTCAAAACGCGGAAAATTTCACCATAGACGCCTTCAAACTTGGGAGCGTGGACAGTAGCTTCGATAGCATAGACAGCATCATATTGAGCCTCTTCGAAGGGCATTTCCATGAAGTTACCCTAAAGTGGAGATCAAACACGTTAATTTTTTTTATCATAATTCACTCTGATCTCCCCATGCAAATATACCACATACCTTGATGAAGTTGGTCTGGTGTTCAAGACCTTCCTTTTTGGCGTAGTGGAAAGCTCTGGCGATCTGGTAATCGTTGTTGTTAAGACCGGTGATGTGAGCACCAGTGAAGTGAGCAATCTCACGAGCGGGACCACCTATTCACAAATCAGTTAGTAAAGCTAGAATAGTACGTGATATCAATTTTTGACCAGATCAACGCGTACCAACACCACAACCAACGTCAAGAACGCGGTAGTTAGACTTGATGTTCATCTTGAAGGCAAGATAATGCTCATGACGAGCGATAGCCTTGTTGAATTCCTCACCGGGATAAAAGCGGGAGAAATGGAAAGAAGTACCCCAACCATACTATATAAGTGAGCAGATGATGAGTATAATGTCCAACCCCTGAATGTCAGTTCCGCAAAATGACAGGTACAGAACAAGATGCTAATAATTACCTCATAGAAATCAGTGGCCAAGTTGTAGTAAGTGTTGGTCAACTGAGTGTATGAGTCGAGACGCTTCTTTTCGTCCTCTTCAGTTTCGTTCTCTGGCTTCTTCCACAAGCTAAGGTAATCACCAGTAGCAGCGTTGTGGACATTCTTGTTCTTGGAAGCCATCTTGGACAAAAAGCCGGTCTTAAGCTCATCACCGTGGAGGGCGCGAGAGAAAGCCAAATCCTCAGAGTGAGAGGTAGAGACAACACCGTTAGACATGTTTGTAGAAGAGATGAAGGAACGAGATGGATGATGATGAAATACTATTATTCTGTATTAAAAATAATTTTTTTTGCCTGGGCGTGAAACAAAGTCCGCTATAGCCAAGGAGTGTCGCACAGTGAGTCCGTAATTCAATTTTGCTGCTCTTCAGTCCGAACAACGTTCAATTTGGATAGACATCTGAGGTGGAATTCACAAACGCTTATACGGCGAACCTGAATACGCCTAAACTACATGCTGTATTATAAGACTCCCTTTAGATGGCAAGTACTTTGTTTGTGCGTTATCCTTGTTCAAAACACGTGAAAGGCTTTCCCAAAGCGTGCACCTACTTTGTTGGTTGTTGGTTGGCTAGGAGGTTCGGACACAATCTTTTTTTGAGGCGAACGTTCCATGGGTTCCTGCATCGACTTCTTATACATATGATGTTCATTTATTTTAAATCGAATGGAGACTGGTCTTGTACTTTACATTCGTTTCATCCTACTTACTTCTCAATTCGGACTTCGCTTGTACGACAATAGGTAGATCCTTTATCTACAGGCATAGGCCATGTAGCTTGAGCTGCATCACACTCCACTGACAGGCGCTATTTGCCTCCGAAAATCACAGTGTAGTGCAACGGCTGCCTTTCAACTTGTCACATTGACAGCTACCAATAATTTGACATACCTCAACTTAATATACAGACGGTTTGAGTTAAGGTTATTTGACTCCTGAAGGTGGTATCATTAACCTGTCGTCTTCTGATGTAGGCGAGTTTCGGATATCGAAACTTGCAGGTCAGCATAATTGACAAAACGTTATCTCTAACGGTAGATTGATCAAGCTCCTAAACTACTATCCATATTGGAAGCAAACTACCTTACTTCATTTACTGGGATTTTATATGTTCACAAAAGTATTTCATAGTTACAGGAAAGTAGGGCCTGCAAAGTAACATAGCGCATGTAATGCATACAGTATAAAGCAAATTTCAAAATTTCTCGAGAAAACTATTATTTTGTAGCCAAAAGCTTCAAACCAACGAGTTTCTTCTATTTTGCACTTACCGTGACTCTGCAAATGAAAAAGTGAAGGACGGTAGTGTCTGAGCCAATCGAACCATTCATACTCCGCCAACAGTGCTGGCTCAAAAGCTCATTGCCAAAGTGCGTAAGCCAGTCTCAGCGGATCATCATGTACAGACAATCTAATCGGATATCGATCTGGTTGCTGATTGGCACTCTGCTTGCAAGCTGTATTCAGATTGCACATGCAGTTTTTGAGGATCAAGCAGGTGTACTTGACTGGTAAGTGGCAACGTCCAGGCAAAGTAGTGTCGAAGCACGACGTGTTAAAATATATCGATGCAGGCATCATGCGTGGATTGGAACTCCAGAAATTGCGACCGAAAGAAACGGCCTGATATATACTGTGACTTCTCGCAATGTGATAGCAGCACTTAACGCTTCGACTGGTGAAATAGGTATGCCGATAAAGTTTGCAAAACAAAGCATTCCGCCTCGGGGCCATTGGGTTAACACCGATTGATTCCGCATAGAATGGAGACAGCTATTGGAGAGACCAGTTGCTAGTTTCAAGATGAACGATGACGGTAATTGTTTGTCTTTTGCTCCATTATGCCGCATATGATATCGTCTAATGACACCAAACATACCAGCTCTCTTCACCATTACCGACGAGAAACTTCCACTTTTGCAAGTTTGGGACTCACCTTCTGGAAAACTTTTGTGGCAGGATAGGAAGGTAGACGACCTATCCAAGGATGCTGCAATTTTGGATGCTGTGTTTTTGTCGACTGGCGATGTGGCTATTTTGACCTCTTCCGGATCCGTTGTCATTCGTACAAAGGATGGTGGCCAGCATTGGCGTTGGGTTCCTGAGCTTAGGTGAGTTGGGCGGGCGGGGAAATACTATGGGCGTTGTGCATTGGTCTAATGAGGTTTGTGTAATGTCTCTTTCAAGCTCTTCAACGACACCTGTATCTCTGGCTGAAGTAGATGGCCATGTGTATGTGATTAACGAACACAAAGGCGTTTTGTCAAACTCCCTGCAAGTGCACAAACTAGATACGCAGCATGGAATTGTTCAAGATGAATACAAACTATCTGCTTCCCCGAAAGATCTGGACCTGGTCAAGGTGATTAATGGCCACGTTGTATGGATCGAGAAAAATCATATCAAAACGAACGCATTGGGATCTTCTGATATTTCGACAGTATCAATCGATGTAAGTTTCATCTGCTTTAACCAAGTTTGCATTCTTATGCCTTTTCTCAATGGTTAACTTGAATACGTCGCTGCCTGTTAGTCTTTTGAAGCCTTCCATTCAAAGGCGATCATCTCCGACACCTACGCCATCACCATTTTAGATCAAGGTTCTAATGAATTCCTTTTGACTGGTCAATTTATCAGTGACGAACAACCCTATCATGTCGCAGCTGTGTTGAAGGTCGATGGAAATGCTGTGAAACTCACTTTGAATTTAGGAACTAGCGTAAGCACTTGGGGTTATTCTACATACACGTTGCTTCATCTTGCTCATAAACTTTATCACTTTAGTTCTACTCACATACTGTCTCTGCTCACGGAAATACTGTAGCAGCTTTGCAACGTCAATCAAAGAATACTCTGACATTGCTTTTGAAGCATACAAAGAGCGATGCTGAAACTGCCAAATCTATTATCGAGCATTCATCTGATCATACTGGCGAAGTACGCTACTTTTCCTTGCTATCAACCGTCCCTTTGCATACCCTCGTTGTTTATGACGACGGATCAATGAGATTATATCATGGATCTGACCTTGCTTGGTCAAGAGAAGAGTCCCTTGCTTATATCGCTGACTCCGAGTTTGTTGATTTACCAGAAGAAAAGCTGTGGTCCCAAATGGCTGATGAAACGTCTGAAGTTCCTGAACAACACAGTCCTATCCAGCGATACATTCATCGATTGCAATCTGATATTGCAAAGCTTCCCGAATTGCCTCAGTGGTTCCTAACTCGTTTCAGCGGTGTCATGGAAGCCTTGCAAAAGAAGCGTGAGCTCACGCCTGTGTATCTTTCCCAACAATCTTTGAATGACTCAGAGACACCTTCCATGATCTACAGAGATAACTTTGGTTTGCGTAAGCTTATCATCAGCGTCACATCAACAGGAAAGGTAGTTGCTCAAGACACGCAGAACCAGGGTAAATTGATTTGGGCCAAGTACTATCCAAATGTCCAATTTGAACAAGTCATTTCCGTTCGTGCTGCCACTGTCAAGATGCCACCGCTTATTGTCGCCATTGGTCGGAATGTTGAAGAGGGTACTATGGTGCTCTACAGATTGAACGCATTGGATGGTGATGAATACTATACTGAGGATGCTTCCATTGCTGAATCTTTTGACCCCATTCTGGAAACCCCTACGATTGCAACCAAAGTCTTCACGTTGCCGGTACAAGAGCCCGATGAACGTACTCAGATTCTTGCTTTGTATGATGCAGGCACCACTCGTGTTTACATCTATCCCGATACTGAAGGTGCCAGATCAGCTTTCAGTGAATTTTTGCCATCCTTTTATTTCTCCCTGGTGAACAAGGACTCAACCGCTATTAAAGGTTACCAAGTTGTCGAAGGTTATCGCGGCAGTTTGACCGCATCAGCCGTCTGGAACTTTGATGTTCCAAAGGGATCCACTTTGGTTGCTCTCGGAAGCCGCTCACCCCACGAGAAAGTTGCTTCTCTTGGACGTGTTTTGGGCAACCGCAATGTCTTGTACAAGTACCTCAATCCAAATCTGTTTGCTGTAGCCATTGCCGATCCCCAGGCTCAAACCATGACCCTTACCTTACTTGATGGTGTAAAGGGTTCTGTATTATATCAGGTCACTCATGAGGATGTCGATACCATACATCACGACGTCCACATCGGAACAAGCGAAAACTGGATTGTCTACCATTACTGGAGCAATGGTGCCATCAGAGGTTCTGCTAAGGCGTATCAAGTTTCTGTGTTGGAATTGTATGAAGGCAGCGGTGAAAATGAGCGTATTGACAGGTAACTCACATATATTATGTACCAGTAAAATTGATCGTATCAATCCACTCAACTTCATGTTCACTCCTTCCATAGCAAATCGCTCTCGGGGTACGATAATCAACGGCCTCATATCCGAGCTGACACTTTTGTGTTCCCTTACGGGGTTCGTACTCTAGGTATCACTGATACAAGAAATGGCGTTTCAACTCGGGAAGTTCTATGTATGGATTTCTAAGATATGTTTGATTTTGCACGAGTACAATTACTAATGTGGGTCGAACAAAGTTGGTTTGAACAATAATCAGATATTAGGAGTCAGCAGACGCATGTTGGATTCTAGAAGACCCAGAGAAAAGCCAAACAAGGAACACCAAGAAGAGGGACTTATTCCGTACGGACCTATTCCAGACGAGCGCAAGATGTTCTTGTCCTATTCCCTTGAGGTAAGGCTAACACTCCAAATAGCATACGACTTTTCGTATACAACTAACAAAAAATCCCCGAACTTTATTTAATATAATAGGTACTTGGTATGGAATCGATCATCACTGCACCGGCATTACTAGAATCGACATCGCTTGTTTTCGCTTACGGACTTGATACTTTCTTCACATACCGTGCACCAAGTCGACAATTCGACGTGTTAAGCGAAGAGTTCAACAAAAGCCAACTTTTATTGACCATTGTTGCTCTTGTTGTCGCTATTTTCGTGACAGGGCCAATGGTTCGTCGCAAGAGAGTCAACACCTTATGGAAATAAGCTTTTGATCCCAGTATGACACTCATTAAAAAACGTAGAGAAATGTTCTGTCACAATTTTTTAAAAATTCCATCGTCCCGTAAAGTTACAGACAGACAGGGGTTATGGTGAAGACACGGGGTGTTGCCAGGAAAAAGGCAGCGCTAAGCTTCGAACTTGAGAACCCCTCTTTTCTTTTTCACTTTTTGTTTTATTTTAAATCTCATCCATCTCATCCATCTCTTACTTCGGTACGTCACGGTACATGGCAGAGATAAAAAAGGATGGCTATGTGTCTGTCAAAGAAGACGGTATTCGATCTTGGATATGGTCCAAGCGTTATGTCATCTTGAGAGATCAGACATTGACTTTTCATCGAAATGAGGTAAATCCTTTCGTTACTTTATGACTGGGGCAGAAGGCAAAGAGGATGCATACAGGGTGCTAAAATAATTAAAAAGAAAAAAATGGGGGAAAACGAGAGGTGTAATGTCCAGCGTCATGAATATAATGATCGGCAGATCGCCATGCCAAACCTGTACATGGAATGTAGCCTTCGGTTATCTTATTAATATTTGTTTGCTTTCTTCTACTTGGTCCGATTATAGCAAATTGGTCAATGTCTGGCATTGATCTTTTTGAAGGAGATAGTCAACGTCCACCGAAACGATCTAAAGCCATACTGTTTCGAGATAGCCACGGCCGACAAAGCATTCAACATCGCATGTAAGAATGATGAAGAGCTATATTCTTGGATGGATGAGATTTATAGCGTACGTCTGTTCTACCAATTTAAAACGAGGAACGTGCCTGTACTGACATTCAAAAACCTCATTCTTGAATTTCTAAAGAACTCGCCATTAGGGACATCCTGTCCCACTAACTTTGTTCATCGTATTCATGTTGGCTTTGATCCTGATACGGGAACATTTACGGTAAGTTGTGTAGTTATTCGGGTATAAGAAGGAAAGGATAAACATTGCCATGCCTCTGTCGGCATGCTCGCTGCATACAAGTACGCCCTCATGCGAGCATAAATAAGCGGATAAATGCTCACTTACTCTCTGTCCGCATTCTTTAGGGCCTGCCAGATCAATGGAACACTTTATTGAAGCACAGTAAAATTACTGAGGAAGATGCAGCAAAAAATCCACAAGCTGTGCTAGATGTCCTTCAGTTTTTCACTGAGCAGGCTAAAGATGACAGTGGTCATTTTGAAGTAGGAGATGTCGGGGAGCAACAGAAGGATTGGGCAGGCCCCTTGCAGCAGCCAAAGCCAAAACCCAAGCCAAGTCAATCATCTCCTACACCCAGACGAGTGAAAACACCACCAATTGAGGCACAACCCGACAAAAAAAAGGTAGTTCCTGCAAATGAACAACCACCCATCCCCGACGAAAACACTCAGCCTGTAAGGTTTCATGCTAATTTATGGCAACGTGACAAATGAATTATGTGGTACCGTATTTACAATACCATGACCCTTTCTCTCTAACAGCGAATAAAGGTGTCTCTATCAACTGCTCCTATACCACCCCTCCCGCCTAGTCCTAGATTACCACAAACACCATACCTCAATGCGGTAGGTTGATCAGAAGCAATAATATCACCTGGCTTGCCCACACTCACACTACCACAGCCTACTTCAGCACCAAAACGTGCACCTGAAGTAGCAGATAATCTTCTTTCGCCAGACAGGGGATCACCAGCAAGATATCGGAAAAATAGTTCAGCCAGGTCACCACCAACACCACAGCCGTCTCTATCTCTTGGACTGCCACAGCGCGTACGACCAACACCATCCAAGTCTGCGGTAACGACTGGGCTACCTTCAGCAAGGTATCGTGATCGGGATCGAAAGCGAGAGAGGGAGCGTGAGATTGAAAAACGAGTAGACAAGATTCAGCCAGCCTATGAGCGTGAGATCAAACTTGCAACCAAGTTCGCTGACACGCCGAGCGCATACGCTCCATTGTCAGAAAACACCGCAGTAGTTCCGTCAACCATCTTTAGGCGACATGAGAAGCGAATAAGTAAGATGTCGGAATCCGAGATCATGGAAAAATTAAGTAATAGCCCATTTCGTTTCCATTCCAGATTGCTTCATGTCTTTCTTTATGTTAACTTTGATTGACAGGATCCATAGTTTCAAAGGAAGATCCAATTACGTTGTACAAACGAAGCAAACGTGTGGGACAAGGGTAAGATAATGGGGCCATGTTCAATATAGACTGGCCATTGCCAGCCATAATGACCATTCATATCTTTGTTAAACAGGGCTTCAGGGTCAGTTTATCTTGCAACCCATTTGGGAAGTAACAAGCGAGTAGCCATCAAACAAATGGAGATAGGCTCGCAAGCACGAAAAGATCTGATTGTGAACGAAATCATCATTATGAGAGAGTCACGTCATCCCAACATCGTGAACTATCTTGACTCATTCTTAGTCAAAGGAGATCTATGGGTTGTCATGGAATATATGGAGGGTGGGCCACTGACGGATGTGATTGCTAAGCACAAGATGGACGAGACCCAAATTGCAACGGTATGCTTGGAAACGGCGAAAGGTCTACAGCATCTGCATAGTCGACGCATTATACATCGTGATATCAAGAGCGACAACGTACTGCTCAATGCATATGGACAGATCAAAATCAGCGATTTCGGGTATTGTGCAAGATTGACAGCTCAGAAAAGTAAACGGGTGACAATGGTCGGCACACCTTATTGGGTTAGTATGAGCTTTTTGTTGCATGCATGATCGGCTCAAATGAAATGTTACTAAATCAATGCAATAACGTGAAGATGGCGCCGGAAGTTGTGAAGGCAAGAGAGTACGGAACGAAAGTCGACATATGGTCACTCGGCATTATGGCCATCGAAATGATCGAAGGCGACCCTCCGTACATGGAAGAGGAACAACTAAAAGCACTCTATTTGATCCGAACCAATGGCACGCCACAACTCAAGAATCCAGAACTACTCTCCAGAGACCTTAAAACATTTCTGGCTATCTGCCTTTGTGTGGATGTCAGAAGTCGTGCTTCGGCCGACGAACTATTACAGGTAAGGATTCCAGTGGCTTGGGGGTTGGCAACTCCGTTACAAATTTCAACTCATTCCCTGTGTCATCTCCGCGCACCTATAGCATTCATTCATGCAGCGGGCGGGAACCATTGAGACTTTAGCTTCGTTACTAAGGACAAGAATCTAAAAGTCGATGTCCAGCATTCATCAGCGACAGAACAATAGAGATCGATTTTGCAGTGCAACAAGTGAGCAACATTTAAAAGTGTTGGCTCACAATTATTTTTAATAGAAAAAAAAAATGTATACGAATGGATGGTTTTTTGGTCTAGTCTCTGAATGATACAAAAAAAGTTGAATACAAGAGCATTCCTTGATGGGAGGGTGGATTTAAATATATGGAGAATGCATCCACAGCTAGTTTACCAACCACGCTTGGCCATCTTTTGGTCTTCAGTAAGCTCATCAAGGTTGATACCAACCATAGCCTCACCCAAATCCTCAGAGACCTCAGCGAGGACCTTGGCGTCATTGAAGTGAGTGACGGCTTGGACGATAGCCTTTGCGCGCTTGGCGGGATCGCCAGACTTGAAGATACCAGAACCAACGAAGACACCATCACAGCCCAATTGCTAAAGGAGAAACATACAATTAGTCACTGACAACACTTTGGAAAGGTATATGCAAACTTTCATGCCAAACTTACCATCATGAGAGCAGCATCGGCGGGGGTGGCAACACCACCAGCAGCGAAGTTAACAACGGGAAGACGGCCCAACTTGGCGGTTTCCTTGAGGAGGTTGTAAGGAGCCTGGAGATCCTTAGCATAAGCATAAAGTTCCTCATCAGACATGCTGGCAGCACGACGGATCTCGGCGTTGACGGTACGGATGTGACGGACAGCCTCAACAACGTTACCAGTACCAGCCTCACCCTTGGTACGGATGAAAGCAGCACCTTCGCTGATACGGCGGAGAGCCTCACCGAGGTTCTTGGCACCGCAAACGTAAGGGACCTTGAAGTTGTGCTTGTTGATGTGGTTGGCTTCATCAGCGGGGGTAAGAACCTCAGACTCGTCAATGTAATCAACGCCAATGGATTCGATGATCTGGGCCTCGACAAAGTGACCAATGCGGACCTTGGCCATGACGGGGATAGTGACAGCTTCAATGATTTCCTTGATCATCTTAGGGTCAGACATACGGGCAACGCCACCTGTAAATGACGAAGAAAGGAAAAAAAAATTATTAGAAACCATCGGTTTCGGATCGACAATTGCTCCTTCGCCAGTCCAACTTACCGTTCTTGCGGATATCAGCGGGGACACGCTCAAGAGCCATGACGGCGCAAGCACCGGCTTCCTCAGCAATGATAGCTTGTTCAGCGTTGATAACGTCCATGATAACACCGCCCTATTATCGAATGCAATCTCGATCAGCCGTCAAGTAAAAAGGCAAATGCCCGGGGTAACGTGTAACTTACCTTCAACATTTGAGCAAGGCCAGCCTTGACACTGTATGAGGCTTGTTTGGAGTCGTTTTGAGAGCCGGCATTACCGTGCAAATTGACAGGAGTAGAGAATTCAGCAGACATTTTCTGATGTGTGAGAGGTAAGAAGACAATCGTGGAGGAGGAAATTTTTTGAGTTTTTATTTATTGCTGAGTGACTCACAAAAGCGTGAGAAGACAAATCGGCCATTGGTTGGGCAGTTTGCTTCCCAGCTTGGCTTCAATTGACTTGCAGTGAAATTTCCCAAAGTTTCGCTCATTACTCTAGCGAGCATTAAGAGCTCGTTAAGAGAAACGCAGATAGCATGTGTTTGTGATATGATCTATGAAGGGAGGGTTGGAATCCGGACCTTGGGGTACCCTGACTGTTTTTTCTTATTTGCACTTGACATGAGATGTACGGATTCGGCTGCTATTTTTTCCGGTCAAAAATACCGTGTATATTTCAAAGTAGCTTTTTCATATTCTGGTCTTTGTAACCACCTCTGTTGCCGTTGACGCTGGTGCCATATAGATTGCTCAGCATGGATCGCTCTCACGATCCAGGTGGTGGAGATGTGCGCCTTTTGAAAAGAGACTCTCACCGATGACTAATGCCTGCTTTTAGCAACGTTTGTTTGTGTTCAGTGACCATGATATAAAACCAATTGAGATCCTGCCTCGAAAATGCGCTCTTTCAATGGTGCAACTTGCTTCACTGTATCCTTATCAGCTGAAAACCGATTGATCGCGGAGAATGATTTTGTTCAGTGACCAAGGATGAGCAGCAGTAGATACACAGAGACTGCGGTACTAACTGCTATTCACCGATCTGCGAGTGGGCCGACTAAAAGGTGGGTATGCGTAGATACTAAACAATTCATGTTCTAAATATCGTATATGGACCATCCAAATTGGAAGCCACTTTATATCATCTCTCAGCGCACAACTGTAGCGAAACTGTTATACTTACGTCAACACTACACATAAATCGTGCACGATGATGAATCGTCAACTTGTGAACGTCTATGAGGGAGATCTAGAGGTGCCAAAAGTCGAACTTGCTTTTATATAACTTTCAATGGCTGAGGAGTTTTATTTCTACAGGGTTCGGAGACCCTTCGGACTGGTTGCACTGAAATGAATCTCTGACGAGTTTTAACTTATACATGCGCTACATTAAGGATCCCCCATTCAATATATGATTTTCGCAGGCCAAAATATCTTATATTATTAGTAACCTATTTCGGATGGATTTGATTTATATAATGATGCATTTGAAGCAAGTGGAGAGGTTTTGAGCACGCTACTGATTATTTGGCGGCAAATGCCATTACAGCGTTGAAAATTTTATGTTCCGACGTAGCCTGTGGACGTGCATTTGCTCACTTTACCACACATTCTAAACAGCTTTGGTACATGACTGAACAAGGACCTCGTAGATCCTTGGACCAGAACAAGGATGCTCAGATTGCAGCCGTTTTGGTAGTAGGATTTCACCATGCTTATGGCCCTATCTTGGAGTTTTGCTATCCGCCACTTCCCCAGCGTCAGGGTCAGGATCCCCAAACCACACTAGAGAAGATAGAGCTGCCTGAGGAATGGAGTTTTCTTCCATTCTTGGCCCTTCCAGGTAAGGAATGGGACACGATAGGAATATAAGGTACCGTATTGTCTTACTGAGCGCTGGTATCTTACATCATTATAGACGGCGCACACCAAAAGGACGAAGACTTTTCTTATTTTCATCTGCCACCCGTCGCTGGTTGGGAGGTTGCTGAGACAACTTTGTTTGGAATATCGTGTAATCGACAGATAGCATCTAATGTATGTCGCTATTTATTTGTTTGTATCAAAGCTATCTATACTCATCATGGTTCTACAGGATTTACTGGTGAAATCGTCTGATGTCACTCGCTCCATCGTTCAGAAGGCGGTTGTGGTTTTGGCGCGACAACCCATTTTTGGTCCTATTAGGCAGAAACTCGCCGTCATTACCGCTGCCTGGTTCAATGAGAAGGACTTTACCAAGCTTGATATACTATATGTACGTACACTCCTTCAACTAATTGCTTTTCGTTGATCCCCGCTGTTAGAGTTATACTCAACGTTTATTACTTGTCAGAACTTTTATGACAACCTTAATTTAACACATATTGGACCTATTGACGACCCTACCTTGTATATGGGTAAGAACAATCTCGGAATTATTGTTGTGGTGGGTTTCACCTTTATATTGATCCTTTTGTCGTCCAGGAACATCGCTTCGAGAGCTATGCCAAAAATTTCGATCCAAGACTTTGACTTTGATAAAATTGCTTCTACTTGAGAAACGGGTACGTTCATTCAGAGAGAATTCATCGTATAAGTGCAAACTGCTGACTCGTTTTATCAGATATTATTCTATGGATACCCTGTCGAGCAGCTGTGCACATTCCAATATTCTCTCATTTCGTTAATACCAGGTATATGCCATGTTCTTATGACAGGCTTACGTTTTTGCTGGTATTGAGTAACCCTCCTTCCATAGGACTTTTGAGGACTCTTCAAGACTCAGGTGACCCATCATTAGACACCTCAACGGAGAACTTGGAAGTGACGGAAGCCAAGATCCTCTCAAACGGAAATAAAGCAAGTCTTTTGAAATACATGGGGCTTCCACTGCATTTATTTGGAAAGGTATGCGATATTTCGTGCTCAAGACTGGACTTGCATTTTGATATTGACAGGCTTTACCAGGGCTCATTCTTTCAACCGTACCTACCTCTACAACAAATTGATATGCTCTCTGACAAAGATACTCATTCGTATCTAGTTGGCACTACCAATCAACTCTTTTTTCATCAAAAGACAGAGATCAATTTTGATGTGCTCGTCCATGTAAGTTACGTTGCATATATCTAAAAGCAGATTGGCAACAACTCAATCATATGTTGTATATGTAGGTGGAAAATGGAACACTTGAGTTTTTTGACCCACAATTAGCGTCCCTTGTAAGCCATACAACGGCTGATCGACGGTGGATGGATAAACTCACTAAAGTCATTAATGCCACTTGGGATCCAGCAGGTAACTGACATTGCAATGGCTAATTCCCGTCGTAGCACATGATTGAACCTTGGTTTCACCTACAGACCCCACTAGACCTATACAAAATACGTACCTGGGATCGGATGATTATTTAAGAGCACGCTTTGAAGAGTATATTATGTCACTTCTATCCAGCGTCAAGTATGCACAGGCATTTGATCCTAAGAACGCCTTCAAAAGCGAAAGTACTATGGATGAGATCATGAGAGATGAAGAAAAAGGTAGGTTTTCATGATGCACAGGCGCCGCCCGAGGATCAAAGTCTTATGTTTATTTCCATACGATAGAAAAGAATTACTTGCTTGACTATGGAATGAATTGGGTCAATGCGTGGAGAAAGACAAACAATTACCAACTCTGGGATGAGTTCACGGATCACGAGATATACGAAATAGTGGAGCCAGGGTATGTATCTATAACAAATGATGTGAGTAAACTGTTTTGTAACGTTATTCCCATAAGGCACCCCGGACAAGGCAACATGTCACTAGGTGATTTACAGAATTCATTGTCAAAGTAAGTGATTTTTTCTAATCCATCGTTCAATCGAACATGGAAAAGGTAGCTGGTTCCAAACTGGCGCAAGTGGCTATGGAGCATTAATTTTACAACTTGCATAGTCGCATAAGAGACATGAGAATTCGACAAAATCTATCACCGCTGCGGCAGTCGCTGACAAAGGCTGTGTCGACCGGAGGATCGAATATATCGCGGGCTGTATCTAGTGGCGGAATCCGTTTAATGCGAGGGGTGGATGCATTGTGGACCGAGTTTGAAAAAGGTATGCAGGAAGACCCTGAGCACATTCCATCAGACTCGGCGTCAGGACGGAGTGCTTCATCGACGTCGTCTATCCCAGGTATTGCCGCTTGAAAAAAAGTTATGAATGTTTGGATTTGAATCAGAGTGCTTACAATACAATAATAGACGACCAAAAAAAAGGGAGGCAGGGGTACCCACCTGCAGCCCAGCCCAGAAAGTCTCCAGCCTCTGAAAGCTCGTCAGATATGAGCCCTTTTCTCGAGTCGACATCACAGCAAGCCGGCCGCTTATTCACTAACGTGTCTTCTTTCTTATCCCGCAAACAGAAGGAAATTTCAAAAGCGATGGAGGTAATTTTTTTGCAGCACCTAGAACATAGAATAAGGCGAACTGTCTATGGGCTATAAAACTAATACTTTACGTCCAAGGAATCCATGGCTCAAGCTGAAAAACGTAGAGAGGCAAGATCGGAGGTAACAAATGCTCAGCCCCATAAAAATGCTATTGTTGGCAATGAGCCTGCCGTACCAGCGACCTATCCACCGCCACAAACGAATGCGCATAAGCCTTCTATCAAAACAAATCGATCTGGACAACAAGGAATAAGCAGTAGCCTTAGTTCATCTGTAGACAGTCTCGGCAAGAAGAGTGAAGCAAACAATGTTCAAAATAATAGCCTTCGATATGACTAGACAATCATGTATGTTTCAGTACCAAGCACACCACCAAAGTAATATATTTGTCCATTTCTTTTTAAAAATATCAACATTGTCTTAGCCCATGCCAAAATGGGATTGTATACACAAACTATCAAAAGTGCGTTGTCATGACAGCTTCATCCGATGCGACGGATGGAATGACATAAGGTTCTGTGATACTGTTTTCTGTATTCATTTCTATCAGGCTGGTAGAGCAATAAGCCAAGGGCTTTAGTTTAAAAGGGTTTGTTCTCGGAAATCCCGGTATAGCTTTGGGGGGCTTGGAGCTCAGAGGTGTAAATATGGAAACCGCATTTGTGGCGGAACCAGTGTGTTCGACTAGTATATGAGTGCCGTTCTTCCAGCAACTCCCAGAAAATCATTGCGCTCTACTTGATATGAATCGACTATCGAGTTTTCTCGTTTTACTGCTCGCCCTGGCCACGTTATGTGCAGGATTACCACTTGCAAAACGGGATCTCGACTGTAGCAACTCAAACGGTATAAAGAATTTTTCAAAAAGTGACACAGTGGTTTTTGATCAGTCATTAACGTGTTAACCGAGAAATTAGAGTGTATCGATTACGATAACTTATATCATGGAGATTCGTATGCCACAGAATATAGCCACGAAAAGTATCTTCGTATCATCACACCAAATTCGGGAACTGTGTGGCAAGCTGACAGCTATCAATCCGTGACCTGGGCTTTCGATGGCAGCGGTATGAGCATGTCTTATTATAATAATAATATGATAAGAATGGAATGACTAATGCCTAGCCTTCTTCCAAAAAATCTTCAGCTCATCTAGGATATGGTGAAACTGTCAATGTCATTTTGCTCGCCGTTGATAACAATGGACACTGGAAGAAGGTTGATACTCTACAGCCAGGCACCACTGGTAGTGGAATTTCCAACTATCATGTCCGAAAAGACCTTGGCAAGGCTCATGCTTACAAGGTTGTTTTGGAAATCGAAAAAGTACATTTCTCCATCGAAAGCGAGCCATTCAGAATCAAGAGTATCTCTGGACATTCTAACGAAGGCAATTCTTATGATGAAGACTCTTACAGCCATAACGACAAAAGCTATCTTCGTCCCATCACTCCAAACTCCCAAACTGTTTGGGATGCCGACAGTTATCAATCTGCCACATGGTCTTATGATGGAAGCTGTAAGTAAACTACTATAGCATTGCAATATTACTGTAAGTTTAACCATAGAACTTTCTACAGCCAACCTTGGTTATGGAGAAACTGTCGAAGTATTCCTTTTCGCCCGCCAGTCAGATGGATCATGGAAGAAGGTCGATGAGCTTCCATCTGCCACAACTGGAAGCGGGATCTCAAACTACCATGTTCGAAAGGATCTTGGAAAAGCTTCAGCATACATTGTTGTACTCGTGATTGACAAAGTCCACTACCAAGTTGCCACTGAACCATTCAAGATCAAACAAATCTCTGGACATTCTAATGAAGGCGACTCTTATGATGAAGACTCTTACAGCCACGAAGACAAAACCTATCTTCGTCCCATTACTCCAAACTCACAAACTGTTTGGGATGCCGACAGCTATCAATCTGCCACATGGTCCTATGACGGAAGCTGTAAGTAAACTACTATATCATTGCAATATTACTGTAAGTTTAACCATAGAACTTTCTACAGCCAACCTTGGTTATGGAGAAACTGTCGAAGTATTCCTTTTCGCCCGCCAGTCAGATGGATCATGGAAGAAGGTCGATGAGCTTCCATCTGCCACAACTGGAAGCGGAATCTCAAACTACCGTGTTCGAAAGGATCTTGGTAAAGCTTCAGCATACATTGTTGTACTCGTGATTGACAAAGTCCACTACCAAGTTGCCACTGAACCATTCAAGATCAAAAAAATCTCTGGACATTCTAACGAAGGCGATTCTTATGATGAAGACTCTTACAGCCACGAAGACAAAACCTATCTTCGTCCCATTACTCCAAACTCACAAACTGTTTGGGATGCAGACAGCTATCAATCTGCCACTTGGTCTTATGATGGAAGCTGTAAGTAAATTATTAATTCATTGAGTTGTACTGACTTATCTAATCTTCAAATTTCATACAGCTAATCTTGGCTACGGAGAAACTGTCGAAGTATTCCTTTTCGCCCGCCAGTCAGATGGATCATGGAAGAAGGTTGACGAACTTCCATCTGCCACAACTGGAAGCAGAATCTCAAACTACCATGTTCGAAAGGATCTTGGAAAAGCTTCGGCATACATTGTTGTACTCGTGATTGACAAAGTTCACTATCAAGTTGCTACTGAACCATTCAAGATCAAGAGCATATCTAGTCACAGCAATGCAGATGGATCAGACCCAAATTCCTACTCACCCGACGAAAAGCAGTACCTTACATCCATCACACCTAACTACTACACGGTATGGGACGCTGATACCGATCAGTCTGTAACCTGGAAGTATGATGGAAGCAGTAAGTGTTACAACGGCCTGATAAAGTCTACTTCCATGCCTTAACTCACATCATCACATCATAGGCAACCTTGGATATAGTGAACCAGTTTCACTCAGCCTATATGCTCGTAAAGCACCCGGAGATTGGGTGTTCGTGGAAAATCTTCCTTCAGGCACCACAGGCGGAGGAATTTCTAACTACCATGTGCGAAAAGATCTCGGAGAAGCAGACTATTATTTGGTAGTGCTTCAGATTGATAGTATTCATTATACTGTTTCAAGCGGACCGTTTGTTATCAAGAAAATCTCGGATCACCAGAATGGTGAAGACAATGATACCAATGGTAGCGATAACCAAAATAACGGAGATGACTCTTCAAAATATGTCGCCATCACAAGTCCCGATACCCAATCCGTTTGGAAAACTGGATCAGATGTGACCATAAATTGGTCTTATGAAGAGTCTGGTAAGTCCATATCGTTCGTATTTTTCTTAAAATTGCCTTACTCACCTGAGTTTTTCAATCGTATATAGCAATCGTGAAGAGTGACGACAAAGTAAGATTGACTCTTTTCTCCTACGACACCAAGTCAAAATCCGTTAAGGAGGTTGGAGACATTGGTGAATGGGATGTTTCAACTGGATCTGCATCCTATCACGTACCAGATGATGTGGAAATCGCTGACTACTTCGTCATCGTGTTTACGTTCGAGCGTATCCAACACCGTATACACACCGAACCCTTCAAGATTGAACACGCAGAGTAGTTTGAATTTGATTCTAGTAGATCAATGTAATTTTGTTTTTTTTTGCAGTGTAACACATTGTTCTGATGTATCCCGAGTATGAAACATCATCTCGACCGTTGTAGCATATATTTCATTTATAAACATTTTTGCTCGCAGAAGTCAGTTAAGTGTGTGCTTTAATCTAAGTGTTGAGCTATGTCTTAGTATACAGCCAACTTTCTGATGATATCATTGTTGGCCAATTGTTCTGGCCATGTGCAGTAAAAGAAGAACGCTATGTTCATAGATAAGAAAAAGCAAGTGAGTGTTTTGATCCTACCATGCACACTGCGCGTGCCTCGCCGCCAAATTCTACACGAAGCGGGCTCATTTCATGGCCGATCAGCATGCTGTATAGCAAAACCAACTGGTAATCACATGCTTATGTACATCCCTCTGCATGATTCTAACGACTTCTGTGCTTAAGAAAATCTGGTCCGGTGCCGCCGCCATCAAGTGAATAATGTACTCCTATTGTTATTATGGTTGGATTTTCAAATCATATTCATGTTTTGATTGTTTAGAAAGTTGTTTTCTTTTCCTCATAAATACATGCTACATGTACAATATGAGTCGGTAAATTACATCAATGGCATTCTAGGGTATAAGTGCTATTATTACAAACAAAAAGTGGTCGTCTAAAAACTATTCAAAAACACTAAACATGTCTTCGGAGTTGTCATTCACATTGTTTGGCCTTCCAGCAGCTTCCAAGACGTGGACATCACTGACAAAAGGAGGTAACCGACGAAGTCCACAGTTTGTACATTTATCAATGCATTGATAACAGTATTCCTCTGGTTCGCCACAAGCCCAACATTTTGCGCCTTTCCTGATGATACGACGACACTCCACAGGTGACTTCACCTGCCTATTGTTCTCTTCTGCAGTGGCGTCCAAGTCATCGTCTATTATAGGCACAGGTTCTGCGGTATGAGAGCATTGTCGAATGTCCAGCTCAACTGATCCGTTGAGAGCTAATGCATTCAAGGTGGATTGAAATCTTCGCAAAGTGCGTTCTTCAATCATGTATGGGTGATAGAGTTGATATGTCTCCAATTTGAGGGAATGTTGGGATATTTTTCCACTATTGAGGAATTCATGTAACACTTTCGTATCCGTTTCGATGGAGGTAGTGTAGCGTCGATTTCTAGCTGCAATATGGCGAAGGTTGGGGAATTTGACTATCATGACAATGGGTGATATCATTGGGTCATCAAATCCATCCATTGTGACACTTTCTACCAAGGGTCGAAGATGATTGAGGTTGCTATCATCTCTAAATCGTCGCAGGGTGGCGTATATAGTATGTAGGTTCCTTCGATTTGGATCGAATGTGACCTTTTGCCAGATGCTACGAATGCTGAGTAATCTTCGTCGAGCAATGCGCCCTGAGTCAGCAAGAGCAAAAATGGTGAGAATGTCGAGGTCAGAGCATATCTGTATTAGAAGCTCGTCCGGGAGGTATATCAATGGCGATGACTGTGACATGATATTATTAATATTGAATTGGTTGAAGACGTTGGTAATAAGAAAAGATAATGTACAAACTCTATCGAAAAAATCAAAGAATATAATTTTTTCCTTCTTTCTTTTTTGGGAGACAGCGAGTGGATATCTTTTGTGGGAGTTAAGGTTGCCTCAACATGAGAAACGTTCACCGCCGAATCCTGACATTGAGCATTACCGAAATGTCTATTATGACCTTTGACAGCGAGCGGTCAGTATGACTATACAACAATGACATATGAGTATTTTAGTTTTTTGTCCCTGGGTGGCAAGACTATTTCAGTATGAGCTAAAGCCATAACAATGACCATGACCTGCAACATGGTGGATTCCTTGTGGACATACATATTAGCCAGTATAGGCGTCTTGCATAGTTTTGCCAAACGAACGATTTCTCTAGAACCGTCGGCCAATCCATTCAAATATGGATAGGTGTGTGGACCACCACACCTGTCACGCGTCCCTCGTACATGAGTTCTAACTCTCCTCTCAATGTGTATGTATATATTTTTATCATCTTTGCCAAGATTACTGCTTCACCAAAGTTATCATGAAGCCGAGTCCTATACAATCGGGGGCTTGCTGAGCTGGTCGTTTTTGAAACTAGCTTTGCCTCTTTGTTTGCCGAAAGACGGTTTGCTCATCGAAAAGTTCAAGAGACCACGGTTTGTGCCTTTTTGTTTATGACCCTATTGCAGTTGACCTTTGCTTTCCCATCTTCTCGTTAGCCGCACTGTGGCCTCAACTACCCCTAATACTAGAAACCACTACCCCCCCTTTTCGCTTCACCTGGATTTTTTTTCTTCTTACTTTGCAAAACCAATATTATTTTTCAACACGTTTTTATTGTGTGTTGGTCCCGCTATAATCGTCGTTAATTGAATCGCCACATCCTCTTCTATCCCACCTGCTTCCTTGCACATAAGACCTTTCCCTTTTTTGAACTCTCTCTCTCTTTCTCTTTCTTTCTATTTTTCGTGATCGCAGGTGTCCACTTCCATCACATCCTTTCTGTCCAACTGCATTGCAATCTCACTTGGCAGACTATATCGTTTCATCCAGAGGAATTGTGATGGAGCAAAATAATGCTCACCAAACGGATACGTCGAACACACCAATCTACAAAATGCCTACTCCGACCGAAGAGGATATGCAAATGCGGCTGGTCATGATAGACGACTTGAAGCTCTTCCTTGCTACCGCTCCAACAAACTGGAACCAAGATAGTCCCATCAAACAGTTCCCCTTACCAACAGGGGAACATTTGTCTTGCATTCTTTGGGGAAAACTTTTCCATATAACAGGAACGGACATCGTCCGCAGCCTTATGTTTCGCTTCCATGCGTTTGGTCGCCCAGTCAGTAACCTCAAGAAGTTTGAAGAAGGCATATTCAGTGATCTTAGGAACCTTAAGCCGGGCACTGATGCCTGTTTGGAAGAACCAAAGTCTGAATTCTTAGATCTTTTGTATAAGAATCGATGCATACGAACGCAGAAGAAGCAAAAAGTGTTTTACTGGTACTCTGTACCGCACGATAGGCTCTTCCTGGATGCTTTAGAGCGTGACTTGAAGCGAGAAAAAATGGGAATCGAGCCAACCAGTATTGCCGTTGCTCAGCCGGCAAAATCGATTTCTCTCGATACCACTCAAGAACTTTTTGATGATTTGAGAAAGTCACTCTGCCTATCATCTTCAGATGTTTACAATGATACCTTTTATCCTGGTGGTATGTGCGCAGATCCTTCTATGGTTCAGAACAGCCATCCATCTGGTCAACAGGCTGGTACTACCATTCAGACTTGGCCAACGCCTGTCATGCTTGATATGGAAACCAACACAACAGCTCAAGCCAACGACCCCCACCAAGATTCAATTGCTTGGATGGCGGTCTCCCATTCCGAAGATATCAATTCTAATGAGGCATCCCGAAAGGCAGGTATGATAACCTCGTCGGCAATTATTTCGGGTTCGGCTTCTTCGCTGGGTGGAGAAAACCAACAATTCTCGCCACCACAGCCGCCTTTGGTCTTGCCACACTCTTCCAAAACACTCCATAGGGCTACTCAATCCGTCACTTCCGTCCTTTCTGCAGATGAATCAATGGATAGCTTTGACGATGAGGGAAGTACTGGCTCAAGAAATACCATGTCACCACGTACTGACGTACAGCCAGTGATGTTGTCTGTTGCAAGCCAAAATTCCATGATGTTCGATCGATCTTCTGCCATAGATCCTATCGCCAGTGATTTTAACCGGCTTCAATTGGCGAGCAATTCCAGTTTGGACGCTTCTTCCATATTACCGTCAAGGTCTGTGGATACCAACTCTTTACGAAAATCAGCCACTCTTTTTGGCATGTTCTCTTTATTTGAGGGTTCGCCAAGTTATAAACAGCGGCGTAGAAGATCTACATCTATTTCCGTACCCTGCCAACAAAATCGGCCACTGACAGCCAATGATACCCTCTTTACTCGAGCCTACTCGAGACCTGCATATACCCATAATCGTTCTTGTTCACAGCCAAATTTTGGAATGGTATATAACCACCAGCAAGACCAAGGACTTTCCGGCCAGCCAATGTCTTTATATGGCCATCCTGGCACCAACGCTGATATGCTTCAGTCCGGCAATGGGGATGATGCTGGCTCCAACCCGTTAACACGCTCGTATATTTGCCCTATGCCTACTTGTGCGAGACTTTTCAAGAGACTGGAACATCTGAAAAGACATCTAAGAACCCATACCATGGAGCGTCCTTATGTGTGCTCCATATGTGGCAAACGATTTTCTAGATCGGATAATTTGGCTCAACACAAGAAGACACATGAGAGGCGTCGTGAGAGAGGGCTGAATACGGCGGGGACAGTGGATAGCAAAAGTGGTGGCGAAGACGAAGTTAGCGGTCATAACAGGCCTGCAAGCTATAGTGATACCTCTTGTTCAGAAGTCAACGCTGCATCTCCAGAACGGAGCCATTCTGGTAAAAGACGTCGTGGTATATTAGCTCATGACGGACAAACTGGCTGTACATTGGATGCAAAGGCAGAGCAAATAACAGGAATGGATACAGATGATTACCAAACACTTCGATCAGCCAATTATCCTCTCTATCATGGCAAGCAATTCAAAGCAGGTGAGGCATATTTCCTGTATTTGAGGGTGTGGGTTGGCTTTATGAAATAATGACTAAATTCCTATACTTTTAGAAAAGTCTAACGACGGTGGATCCTCCAGCTCTGATACTTCACCCCCGCTCTCTCAAATAAACTTACGCTCACCAAAACACAAGCGATGTTCATCAAGTGGACAGTACATGACACTATTTTCGGCATACAAACCGGAATTTGGGTTTTTGCCGAACAACTCTACACTTATGACCAACATCCCATATGCTTTCCCTACGGCCCATTATAGGTCGAAATCTATGGCTTCGTATCCCGTATACGATCAATACAATATGAATAATCATGTCAGCCAAACCAACACCTGTGACATGGACGGAACGCCTATGGTACTGATATGAACGGATAGCGACAATACCAACTCCGTGCCTCTCCTGCATTTTTTCCCCCACACTTTACGTGTGTTAGTTGTTTCTTCATTTACTACATAATTCATTCCATCGTTTTTGATTCATTAAAGATAATCCCACCCATTGCATGTTTCTGTTGCATTCGAGAACGCCCTGGTCTGCTTAACTATTTGCTTTTGTTTCATGATGTCAACCATATTAATTTTTGAGGGTAGATGTGATCCCTTCTTTGGACATGTGAGTTCCCAAAAAAAAATAAAGAACAAAAAAAATTCGGTGTGACCTGAATTTTTGATTAGCTTTTGCTTGATGATATATTGTTTGATAGCAGCCATTCTAATCTTTCTGTCACCAACAGAAGTCCATTCTGCAGTTAGATATAGCAAAGTCATCATCCTTGGAGCAGGTGCTTCTGGTATAGCCGCAGCAAGGCAATTACAGTCCAACAATATCAATGACTTTGTGATAATCGACGCTTTACCTTTTGTAGGAGGTAGACTTTTAAAAAGTGTTGTCAAAAGTATCGGCTGGTGCAGTGCATCTAACCAAGCTTTAAACCATTGCAGGCAGAGTCCAAAATGCGACGTTTGGCGGTGCTCAAGTTGAATTAGGCGCAAACTGGATATATGGCCACGGCGATAACCCTATTCATAGGTTAGCGGTCAAGCATGGGCTGCAGACTGTGCCATCTGACAAGAGTAACGTGACATACTTCGATCATACTGGCCAGTGTATGGCGGAGAAAGAAGAGAAAGAATTCAACAAGGCACTCAAAGATATCGGCAACCTAGCTAAACTACGCATGCAACGAGGGCTTGTGGACCTTAGTGCAAGGACTGCTCTACAATTAGAGGGCTGGCACGCCAACAGCTCAATACGAGCTGCGATTGAATATTTTGGTTTTGATTGGGAACTGGCTGAACCTCCCGAAGTGACATCTTTGGACTATGCAGCTGCTGCTAATGGTGGTTCCGTGATCAAAGACCAGCCTGACGTAACTCCTGGAGACGACTTTGTTATTGACGAACGTGGGTTTCAGTACATATTGCGCGCAGAATGCGATGCCTTATTAGGCCAAGACACTTCACGCTTGGTCTTATCAACAAAGATAACGGATGTTCATTACGGACAGGATAATGTAACGGTATTTGCCAGTAACGGAGACATCTTTGTAGCTGACGTGGCAATTTGTACCTTTCCCCTGGCCGTTTTACAATCTGGCCATGTCAAATTTCACCCAGGTTTCCCTTCTTGGAAACGTGAGGCACTATTCAATTTTCATGCTACAACCTACACAAAAATCTGGATGCGATTCTCAAAGCGGTTTTGGCCATTGGATACACAATTCTTTGTATATGCAGATGATGTCAGCCGCGGACACTATCCAGTTTGGCAGACCATGCCGCACTTAGATGAGCCAGTATTAATGGCGACCGTTGTATACCATGAAAGTCAACGTGTGGAGCAGATGAGCACCAAGTCATTACAAAAGGAAGTCACTCAAGTATTGAAGAGAATGTTTGGACCAAAAGCGACCGCTCCAGTGGAAATATTAGTTCCTGTGTGGAAAAACAACCCGCTATTCGGAAGCTCCTATTCGAACTGGGGCTTGGGAATGAGTGAAGCGCACCACCGAAACCTTCGTAGACGATTAGGTCGATTATGGTTCGCAGGCGAAGCAATGTCTCGCCAGTACTTTGGATTTCTACACGGCGCATGGATGGATGGTTTGGAAGTCGCTTCAGCAGTAGAGAAATGCCTTCGTACGTCTTGTGAGAAGCAGCCAGATAACGACACCGGCGAGGAAGTGAGCGGATGTGAAGCAGATATGACCTCTCGATTTGTATACCAAGGTCTACATCTTTAATAGCGGATGATCCGAATGATGGTTACAACATCTTCTGTTTGATCTAAAATACGTACCACATGGCCAACTTCGTGAAAAAAAAAGTCCATCTGAGAAGAACACTTTTCCGCATTGGCGAAGATATGGTTTGTATACTGTACTGCATCTACACAAATAAACATATCCGAATTGTAATTTAAAATGAGTACTGTGGCTACCAATAATGACCATGTAGGCGGCTGATTGTCATCCTCACCAACAACTGGGAAATGTGCAGCAGCGTCATATTGCATACTGCAATTTATCGTCATTTATATCGAGCTTGTATTGCTATGTTATTGCAGGTGGGTGTTGCATAACTTTATTTTACCACATCGACTACGAATTTGATGATGGCTATGTTACTAGCGGAGGCATTGGATGTGTGTGAAGTTCAATAGCCCTTGAACGGCTTGTTCTGTAGTGTCAGAGCTGGTTCTGCTTGGAAGGCGTTGCAGACTTCCTGCGCATTCCCAATTCGTTTTGGTGACACTTCACAGCCTCACCGTGTCCACTGCGCCACGCCTGGTTTAGAGTTCTCTACCAAGCAACAGCAAGCACTTTTCTTCTTTACCGAGTAAACTACAGAGCTCTATGTTGCCACCGTGCTTGGGTTACGATAGCAGCAATAATGTGTATCGATTCAACGTTGCTGTCAACGGGACAACGGCGGATATTGAAAAATTGACAGCTTCTTCGAATATCGAATGGCAGAAAGTCTTACCCGCTGTCAACGTGCCTGTTTCAGGGCAATGCTATTTCGATGCGCATTCATACACCTTCGGCATTGTAGCGGAATTGACACCTTCTAGTGATGGAGCTGGTTAGTATATTCAAGTTATGCAATGCATGTGCGAATGACTCTTCTCATGTTGGGCACCTCTTGCAGCCTCGGCCCTGAACGGAGTGTTTTACCGACCTACACAAAATCCTGCAAACGTCTCCGAAGTCGTTTATCTTCCAGCTAGTAATCCCGCTACGCTATCTTATCAAAATAACACCAATTACTTCACCTCAGTGGATGCTGGTTCAAACACACAATGTGTATTTTCATTTGAACCTTTGAAGAGTACAATGGCTTACACTTGTTTCAACCAAACCGAAGATGTAGCCTCCACCACGAGCACCCACAAATGGTTGACATTTACGCTGCCGACAAGTACCAGCTCGTCAGGATTGCGCAACGCTGCCAAACGGCAAGCTGTTCCCGTTGCTGCTGCTGCCTCCACCACCACCATTAATGGTGCAGCTAATGGTGGTGCAGCTGTAGCAAGTACCGAGACACCCAGTCCTACAACATTGGCGGCTTCGAGTTCGACTTCACAAATGTCTCAGGAACAACCCACAAGTAATCCTTTAGCAGCCGCCAACTGCGGATCACAATGCCAGCTAAACGGGGTGCTAGTGGCGACAAATTCACATGTACTCTTGATTGGATGGCCTAATTCTCAAACGGTTTACTACGGAAATGTGGACGATGCGGTATCAGACGCTACGAATACGGCTGGAGGTTTAAAATTTAATCTATCGCCAAGTAACATTTCCTCACCTTTCAGTCCAGGAACAGCTACCGCCATTTCGGATGATACTTTTGCATATCTGTCTTATGGCAGTAATCCAAAGCTATCATTTTATAGTACATCCAAAGAAGGATCGATCAGCACAGCGTCTTCTTCATTCAATCTAACGTCAAGTGGTTCGAATGTGAGCAGCGCAAATATGCTTCTAATTAAACGGTCTACCTCAAACTCGAGCTCTGTCTTTAAGCGCGATGAGCCTTCCTCTTCCTGGCTACTGGCATCCACAATGGGTGCATCTGGTAGCTTGTCTGTAGTAGCAACTAACCCACAGAGCCCATCTACTGTATCTACTTTGAACAGTGGTGATCCTATACCTGCATGGGTTGGCTCTCCAGTAAATTCACCTCCAGTAGCATCATCAACAGGTTCATCAACGAACATTGGCGCCGTAGTCGGAGGTGTCATTGGTGGTGTTGCCTTTGTCGTGATATGCATCGCATTGTTGATCTTCTACCGCCGCCGGGCCCGTCATGAAAAGTTCAGTAAAGGGTCTTCGAAGTCCAGAGGCATTCAAAATGAACAATACAGTGACTATATCGACGAGCGTCCCGGTGTTCATAATAATTCCCCTATTAGCATGATGAAAATTACTCCACCTAGGCTTACGAATGGCAGGTACCGGCAAGATACTTTGGAATCCATCATGTCTCCCGTACAAAATACCTTCTCCCCTGTTGTATCGCAGTCTCACTCCAATACAATTTTGCCAGACGTTACCCAAAACTACTTACAAAACTCGAACATCAATATACATGAATATACCGGCGCTGACAAAAATGACCTACAAATAGATCTGAAAGGTGGTACTCATGTGCTAGGTGACAAGTATGCTTTGACAAGCGAGCCAGCAACGAAGATTACAACATACTACACGATACGAACAGCCAACAAGTTACCTGACAAGATGGATCAAGTGTCTCTTCATTTCTTCAAGGAACCAGCCCTCGGTCTTCAGGTGGCTCAAATCGGGTTTGCTACTGAGCTCGCTGGAAGCACGATCATCAACCATAGCGAATCATACAAATTAACTGGAGGAAATGGCTATGCAGCGTTATCGGTTACGGATGCTTGTTCACCAACCAAGTCACTTTATCGTCTCATACACCCTGCGGCTGGCGATTTGACTCTCGCCGACACCACTGATCAATATTTCCAATTCCTAACCATCAAGTCATTGCTGCAGGCATTGGAAGTGCTGCAAAGACACAAGTTAGCTCATACTAGCCTGTCAACGAATGCGTTTTTCCATATCGGTGGTTGCGTGACGGAATGGAAGCTCGGAAAGCTGGAAGAGTGTAGAGTCTTCGGTGACTATGTTGGCGATTGCGATGTTTCGGAAACCACTCCACCAGAGATATTGAACGGCATTGTGTCTCATATTTCCGCAGAAAGCAACCTCTGGTCTCTTGGTGTTGTCATTTATGAAATCATCACAGGAAAACCGTTGTTCAAATCTGTCAATGATGCCACACAGTTTGCGAAAGCAGGCGCACCAGTCCATCTGCATGCAATCACCAACAGCAAATCTCAAATGCTACTGTCTTGCATGCTTCAAACACAACCAACCCAGCGAAGTAAGGTCGAGGATCTCCTCTTCATTTGGGATGAAGATGGTGCTGGTCGGGTGGATTATGCTGATGATGATGACCTTGATAGCATAGAGGGATACTAGCTTTGCATATATTATACATTTCCTCCATACTAAAACTGTGAAGGCAGCTTTTCCAACTGTAAAAAGTCCACGTATGCAAAAAATGCGGCAGTTTATGGTATAATTGTTGTGCATGCTACATTAAGGTGGAAATATAAAATGATGGATGCTGAGAGAGTTCAAAAATGAAAATACTATACAGTGTTCGATGATCATAATGTACACATTATTTGTCTATGTTGGGGGTTTCCATGGAGGTTTCGTCGCGAGGCATGACAATACCCATACGGTTCATGATATTTCCAATGGGTCCGGGCAGACCTTCCTGGCTCTTGAAACTTTCCAGCATATTTTTCACGAGATTGAGTTCAATATCAACGGGTGCATCTTCATCTTCTTCCATTTCATCCTCAGAAGCTGCTTCATCTCCTTCGCCAGTGGAAGGCTGGAATCTGACTGATTTGTGGAAGGACGCATTGATCTTCTTATGACCCCGCAGTTCCTCATCCATATCATTGTAAAATGATTCCATGGTTGGCTCTTCGTTGGTTTGAAGATTTTTGATGCGTTCCGCTTCTTCATCCGAAATCTCTTGTAAGGACGCTGACTGTGGTTCCGCAATGGAAACTGGCGTCTTGGTAGCTTGCGTAGTAGTCTCCTCGGATGGAATGCCTGAAGATCGAAAAAAAAAGGGTTGGTGGCTCTGTTCTCAAACTGTCCAACACTTTCAACTGAAAATTACCTAGTGTGCTTTTGAGTATGCTCATGAATTGATTTGGATCAAACGATATTTCATCGTTTTCTGATTCGTAGTCTGATCCATCGTCTTCGTCCTCATCACTGAATTCACCCAAGGATTCCCTAAAAGATGGATGATAAAAAAGTGAATATGCTGCATTGTTGTCGCAACCCCCTAAAGCTCAGTACTAACATTGGAAACTCTGCTCCTTCCGCACCACTCTGTTCAAAGTTTACAAAGCTCTCAAATTTCTTCATCATAGCTTCTAAATCCAAATCGCCACCGCTCCCGGGGTTAGAGTCTCCAAAGTCGGCCTCGTCCATGCCAAGACCACCATACTGCTTGAGTAATTCTTCCAGTTGCTGGGGATCGACGTTCATCCATGAATCATCATCTTCAGGCTGAGATTTAGCTGTTTGTAATAGACGTTCCAAATCTGTCTCTGTAAACTTCTTCAGTACTTGTTCCATCTGCTGTCGAGGCGTCCCACTCAAACTACTATTGGCATTTTTTCCGTCCATGCTATTGGATTCTATATCATCGTCAATCTGACCGGTTCCTTGCTGTCGGTTCATGAGGTGCTGTTGTTTAGCAACCGTCTCAAGCTCCCGATATCGAACCGAGCCTTGTAATTCCCCTTTGAAGTACCCGCGGCGCTCCAATCGTTTCTTATATTCGCTCCAAGTGAGGTCATTTTCGAAGTCATACGTATCAGTCGTGGTTTCCTTTGTTGGTGCTTCAACGTTGATTCGTTTGTCAGTGTAAAGCATCTCAAAGGCACAGGCAATCTTCATGCCCAGCTCTGCGGCATTGTACTTTCGAGGATTGGATCGTGACGGCATTCTGAATGCTTTTGGTGCGAAGAACTGTTGTGACGTAAGTTTGGCATAACAGGTTTTGGTCATATCCACCACGGTCGTAACCATCTCGTTAGGAGGAAAGGTTGCCATTCGTGACGCCGCCTTCATACTGCTAGGATCTCGGGTATAGAACGCTTCTACTGCATGTGGTACCAGCTGAGGCTGTTTCAAGAGAACATATGCTAAAGGCGCTGGGACCGTACAGCGCGCTCTATGTCTTTCGTTTAAAGCCTTGGTCGGGAAGTCTTTGATTCGGTGAAACGCTGCATCCTCAATTGCAGCTGATACTTGAGTAGGAACGACATGAGATCGAACAATTTCAATAGCACGAGATCGCATAAGCGTTCCACTAGGTATGTGAATAATTTCAGCAGGTGATTTGGGCAACGGTATGATATGCATGTGTCCTTGATGAATGTAGACTCGGTTCTCACTGTTTGACGGATCTAACCACGGTGGCAATTCCATGGCAGCTTCAATGAGAAGAAACTCCCCGTCATTGTCAAATACGTCAATAACAACATCTTGGTACCGTTTTGATATTTCCTTCAGAATGTAGACTACCAGCCACTCGTCAGTCACACAGTCGCCATACCGGGTTATGCCGTGTAAAAAAGGGTACGAAGGGTCTGTCATGAATTGGATAATGAGAGTTCAGAACAGCTAAACCAGTTCAATTCCTTCATCTACCATGACATATCCATACTTTACCTCGAAGTGAACTTGTTGTTATTGACAATCCAAAGTGATCTTTTTGCCAAATGTAGTTGCCGGTTATTTGCTCTGCTAAAGCACGAATCTCGGCACTAATCTGTTGGAGATCTTCGATTGAGCTTGTCTCCTTGGGAAAGTATATGGAATACCGTACATAGTACTCGAAGTCGACCGCCGATCGGTCAAAAATGCTTTGTATATTGTCTTCCATAAGTGTTTGGACGGAGGTTGACCGCTGCTTCACTCGAAATTATGGTGCACAATAAATGGCAGTCACTTTCGATGTGCTTCATTCAATTTTATGCTGCACCTGAGCGGACGATATGAAAAAGCACTGGCCATATACCAGTTTCATCTATTTGTGGGATACCGTCGCTGGTAATATTACAGGTAGGGAAGGTCGGGAATGACCGCGATAGAGCATGGCTGAGATATTAAAACAATCGACCATGTTTGCCTTTGTGAACAAGGTGATGCATGCTGAGCATCCATCCTTCACAAGATAACAATTATGGCCAATTTTTTTTATAACAAAGATATGTGGGAATACTTTAATTTAGCAACCCATCGTACGCTTTCGCTCAGATTTCAGCAACCAGTGGCCTCAACAATCAATAGATTCAGAAAAGAAGTGCCCTTGTCAAGCAAGAGTACAATACAAAGAAAAAGAGCACATGTTTTAACGGATTATTTAAGAAAGAAAAAAAAAGGTAAAGAGGAACAAGAGATTCGACAATTTTTTTTTTTACTTGACCGATATCAACTTAATGAGTAGCTTTTAACAAATTTGCTGCAACAGCCCATGCAGCCATATCCACGTCTACATTTTCATACTTTTTGATGAATGGGTGCTGCAGTAGCTGGGAATAGGTAGGACGTTGGGTAGAATCTTTCCGAAGACTAGAGGTAGAAGTGATGTTTAGCTTACAAATCCATAGGAAGATATGCATAGATAAGATTGAATGGCACGTACCAATCGGATATAAAGGAATGTGCTTCCTCAGAAAAGTGAGTAGGTAGTTTAGGTGGTTCTTCATCAATGATTGCCTTCAGCTGAGCGAACATATTATCGTTTTCATAGGGATATTTTCCTCCAGCAACCTCAACAAGAGACAGGCCGAGCGACCAAACGTCCGAGGAGACACTATAGGTATTGACAGCTTGAATACGTTCAGGCTGAAGGGGGGCAGGGTTAATGACATAATAGAGGATAGCTTTTAAAAGCAGCAAGCATTATGATGTAACTTACAGCCATATAGCTTTGGCAACCAATGTTTGTTTTTGCTAATGATTTGTCTAGTTGTCCAGATACACCAAAGTCACACAATTTGACTTGACCAGCCTTGTTAACAAGTACATTTGTAGGTTTGACATCTAGAAAAGCATCCGATGTGAGTGATCAGGTTATCGTCTATCGGTTGTGTGTGATGTCTTTACCTCTATGTATAATACTTAGTTCATCCTTGAGAAACTTTAATCCGTGAAGCATCTGCGGTGATGCAAAAAGTGTCAATGAGAATCGAGACTAACCTAAAATAATATTCAATGAACAAAACTTACGCTATTTGCAATCTTGGACAGAACTTCCTCAGGAACACCATCTCCATACAACTTATCAAGGGAACCAGCATCCATGTACTCCATGCAATAATATACACATGATTCGATAAAGAAGGCGCCATAGAATTCCACGATAAATGGACTTGTACTCTTGTGGAGAATATCAAGTTCCATCAAAATTTGATTGAGTTTAGCTTCATCGAGTTCCAATCTAATTTCCTGTTAAAAGGTCAAACGATCGAGTAAGTAAACAGACGCCACTGAGTGTAAGTCAAGGGTTGCAAAACGAAACAAAAAGGATTGAAGGGGAAGCCGAAGTAAAATATTTGCATATCTTACCTTCATTGCCATCACAACATTGGTAGCTTTGTGAAACACCTGTAAAAAAGAAAAGCATGGTTGGATTCTCTTTCGAATAATAACAAAACATTCCACACGTGATGAACCTCTTCACGGCAATACACGTACCTTCTGTACCGTTCCATATTGACCTTTTCCAAGTTCTTCCTTCAGTTCGAGTTCATCCATTTTAATTTTGAAACTACTGCCGTTGCTAAAATCCACACCATCGGCGTGAATGATGGCTTTACCAGCAAAGTTCAATTTTCCAGATGGGTCGCTGCAAAGTAGAGTCTTGGTTAGAGGAAGGTTGGTCTACGTGTCGTATGCACCATGATTTGTCATGGTGACAACAAGAAAAAAAAGGCTATGAAATTTACACATATCGAGAGAAGTTGGCGAAAGGCGTATCAGTAGGCTTTGATTCTAATCCCAGTTGGGCCAGATTGAGTGCGGGTCTCATGCCTCCCCTACCTTCTCGCATAGGTGATGCGTCTTCAAGATTTGGAGTCAATCGTGGTGCATTAGGGCGTGATATGCGAGGCAGAGGGGAACGAGGTTGTCCAGGGCGGGTGATAGGAGGAAGAACAGACCGGTTAATGGGCGAACCTCGAGGTCGCACTGGAGCCTGCGCAGAAGGTAGTCGATCGGAAGCTGATGACACAGTCTTAGGCTGGGAAGCACCCTTCTCCTTTTCGTCCAGTGACAATGTTTCTATTGACTTGTTGAGATCCACTGTGAAAGATTAAAGAACAGAAAGAGTCTGGTAAAACTATTCCAATTTGCCAAATGCAGAAAAATGTTGCAACGCAGCACGTCACTATCCAAATTTGTTCCAACTTCTTCCAATCGAGACGACGTGCTTCTTTACCTTAAAATAACCACCGTGTCTTTCTATATTGAACAATCGATCTCGTACATTGACCTTGAGATATTTTTGAATGCCAAAATTGAAAAAGTGTCGTCGACATCGCCGGATTGTATAGTCTCCCCACATACGGTTCCAAAATATTGGCGTTAGACATCGGTCGACTTTTACTTTAGCGCAGAAATGTAAAGAACGAGCTTCATACTCCGTTCATTGGCACCCCGCCTTGTCTTTGGAAAAGCCTAGAGCTCATTGTAAGGCACGTCCAGAAGTTTCTTAATAGAAACTCTAATCTGAAATACGAGAGTGTAACTCTGCAGCAGGTTTTTAATTATCGTACGATTCTAACCGCTGGTTATGCAGACGAACCAATGTTCATGATGTAATAGGATGGGCAATAGCCAAGAAATTGTACACCAATGTAACCTACATTAGGGTAAGTAGTTATGAACATACTCTGCCTTGCCTGGAAGAAATGCCAGCATGTGCCTGGGCCCTTTTTTTCTTTTCAGCAGAGAGCTGCAGAGAAATCTCCCCACCCCCGAAAAAAAACCCCAGCTCGAATGTAAAAATTTGCAGGCTTGACAGGTCACGATACCGCTAGGGCCACGCTCACATGCAGAGCGTACACCATGGTCATTATGTCAAATCCCTATACAGACGCTTGCTATCCGAGGCAGGATTGTTCTTTGATAGCAGAGCTAGGTATGTGCTTCCGTTCCTGAACTGCAAATCATAAAACCATCCAGAAGCAGCTAAAGCCCGATTAGAACATTCATGGTCAATCGTATAAAACATCGGTTTCGAGAATGTCAACGTCTGAATGACCTGGATAGAATAAAAACTAAAATAATAGAAGGACGAAAGGTAGGGAAAGGTTGTATATGGATAGACTACTTTTCTTGCTGTTCTTAGCCTTTGTCCAGTATTTACATAGTATTGAACGCGCCAACATCAATGATCAAAAATGTGTCATGCGTATCTTGAGAGCAGCATACGGTCGAACCGGGAAAGTGAGACACTATATATTGATGGTTAGTGACTTTGTGTGTGTAGCGTCGCTCAATGCATTGCAGTACTTACCTCTCCGAATAGCCATACATAGAACCCAATCCAGCATCCAGTTTCCGGAACCCCGAACCCTTCTACCCACATATCCCACACACAGCCCCGCCTGCACCTTTGTGCCCGCCACTACAAATATTGATTACCCAGTTACAAAACAAGAAGCTAGAGCCCGAATTACCAGAGCCAAGGTATAAGCCTTTGCATTTGGGCAGAAAGGCGAACTTACTGTGGGCCTGGCGATCCAAGCTATTGTCCAAAGCGCAAGTTCCCCTTCCACTGGAAATTTTGAATGAGTTGGAATCAAACGCCACACTGCCTAACCTCGGGGTAAACCTCACAGTCGACGGAGGTCCGCGCTGGGAAATGATGTATGGACCAAGGCAACGGAAATACCAACGAGAACGTAATGAGCAGTTCATATTCTTGGCCCATTTGGATCCACATGCCCCACTAGTTCCAAGAAACAAGCTCCAACGACGACTTCCCCTACCTATGTCACCTTACTCTAACCCTTTTTCCACCGTGTCGCCGTTTTCAACTGCTTACATGCTTGGCTTGATAGAGGAAAATAACAATGATGAAATAGAGACCAAGCATCTAACTGAGTTGAAGCCACGTCAAATACGTCGATATTACCAACGGCTGCTGTCAGAAATACCCTGTATGACTGGTCTATCATCAAGAGAAATGCTTTGGGACTCCAATCAGAAATATACCCTATTTACGTCATTGGCTTCTGTCAGTTCTCCCCGACGTACACTTTCAGGCGACGAATTACCATGTGAAGACGTGATGGAACAATCGATTGCATCTTCTGGAAATAAGAGGAAACAGTCAAAACATAAAAAGAAGCAGGCACCATGATATAGAAGATGACGATGCGGTGTATTGTGGTGTCTAACGAGCCTCGATACGCTCGGATGTAGAAAAATGAATTATGTTTAACAAAAAAAAACCAATGTGTGTATAAAAGAGCTGACATTATTGCAAATTTAAAAATTTGGATATACAAAAGAACCCGGTAGTTTGATGGCCATTTAGTCAGAGTCATCAAATACAATCTTTTTGTTTCCTAGACCACCTGCACCACTGAGGGCCTTGGCCATAAGATCTTGCTGTTGCTTCTTGGCTTCCCACGATGGATGAAGTTGCTCAGTGCTGGCTTTCGCCTTGGCTGGTTGAGAAGGATTAGATGCATTGGATCTTCTCTTTCCAAGGGAGATATTGTTGCCTCCTGAAGCACTCTTCTTCATTTGTCGTGCTAACTTTCTTTCCTCCTTAGCTTTTTCAGCCTCCAACTGCGCCTTGACGTGATTGGCTTCTTCGCCATACAACTTTTCATACATCCTTCAAAACCGATAAGAATTAGTGGTCCATTTGGTTATCGGATCCAGGCTGTCCCATACTTACTCTCGTCTACGTCTTTGACTTGGTCTATTCTTCTTTTCTTTTCCGTAATACTTGTCAAAGTTTTCATCCACCCAATTATCATCACTAGATTTTTTCTTTTTCTTTGGTTTTTCCTTTTCTCCTTCCTCTTCGCTGTCGCTATAAAGTGTGCTGACAAAAGTTGATGAAGCGTCGGTCTCCTGTTTGCTGACTTTTGGCTTTTTGGCAGTGGAAGTTGCCTTGTCTGAGGAATCTGATTTGGTTTTTCGCTTTGATGGTAAAGTGTCATTTTCCACCTTTTGTTCTTCTTCCTCTTCCTCTTCGACCTCCATCTCATTGTCCTCTGCGTCATTTGTCTTATTTGGAACAGCTTCAGGGACCTGAGATCCAGCTTCCATGACTTTTTCAATGTCCTCTAACAGTTTGCTGAATTCTTCTTTGATGGGCTTAAAGTTGAGCAATCTAGCTTCAATATTGTGCTGCAACTTTGCATCCTCTAGCGATATCTCATTTGTATTTTTAGCTGCCTCATCAGTTGAAAATTCGAGCATCGACAAGATGTTGCTGTGTTTTATGGATTTGTGCTTGCTGATCTTGTTTCTAGTTGCTGTGGTTGCGATGAGATCGAGATCCATTGACTGTGCGATGAAACAATGAGACATCAGATATTGAAAGCTTTTACAATGCTTCTTTAACTACTTTTGTGTATGACAGCTTTACCTTTAGCATAGCCAACTCTTCGTCAATTTTGCTTTCCGAATCCTTGGTATCTTCCTTTCCTTCAATCTTCTCGTTACTAATACGAAAAATGTCAGTCATTACAACGGTAATCGTTATGGTTGTCTTTACCCTAATGACATACCTCTCCTGCGCAGATTTAGCAGCCTTCGATTTTTTAACCAGTCGCTGTATTTCGCTATTCTTTGCTTTCTTCATCAACTTCTTGACTTCCTTAATTACATGGAACTAGTCAAGCGGTCCCAAGTTAATGTTATGATCCAGGAAGTTGGCAGTCTCAGTTACGACTTACGAGCTTCATGTTGATCTTTTGGGCTTTCAATTCCAGTAGCTGTTTCTTGATAGCCTCTTCATCGATGTTTGAGTTTTCTCCATCCTTTACAAGTGATTTGGCTGCAAGGTTTGCCCGAGATATGCGTGACTTTCCACCGAGCTGAAAGACGAGGTGGGTTAAACAACGCTACATTGAGGCACATTGGTTACGCATCTTACCTGAGCGGCCAATAAATTGATTTTCCAAGTAAGATTCTCCTTTTGTTTGATTTGGCTACCCATGGTGGCTTTTGCGACTGATTGTGTTGGCATGAATGGCGACGTACGGTACAGCAGTGAGCTCTTTTTTTTTTTTTTTGAACGCCTATAGCAAAATTCAGCCAGTCTTCAATCTGGCGCAAGTCACGTACACGTGATCGTTTAAGCATGTTAATTTTTTTTGGCAACATCGTAACGTCAAACCATGAAGCTCAACCAGAGTTATTTCGGTTAACATTTCAATTATTGATTAATAGATTTTTTTTTTCTTCAATTGAATTTAAATTGAAAGGTTATACGTTAATGAGTAGTGTTGCTATTTAGCGCGCCGTACACTTCGCGCTGATTTTCGATAGATTTACGCTTATATGTGAGCGTAGAGAGATTGCTTTACGACCTTTCGTTGTGTTCTTTCTTGCTTCAACAAGTGATTCAATGCAAATGCAATACGTTTGTACCTGGAACCTGCATTAACTGTTTTTATTTGTCTAAATTCATACAATATGTCTCGCCTTGATCTTCAATATCGTACAACCTCTTCTACTTAGGCACTTCGTTTAGTCGCAGTACTTTCAATAACAAAAAGTCATAGGCTGAACGTCTGTTTCCGTGGAAAAGTCTCAAGTGTACGCAAATTATGAAATGGGCACTTGCCAAAAAAAAAAATCCACGAAATGCAAATGGCAAGAAAACTCGTGACTTTGGAGGAGGATGCGAATGAAAGTCAGCGGAAGCTCGGGCGAAATGCTTTAACACCGTACTCGTCTCCTCTCCTTCATATGGGTAGCTGTTGTAGCAAGCAGAATCACGATGGTGTAAGTTGTGGCCTAGATCACTGGGTGCTTTTTATTATCCAAGACTGCCGTTGTGGAATCTTCGATCCCAGTAATCAGAGTACTACTCGTGCTGAGTGAATCCGTTCGCATGACCATTTATAACCGCAGCGATCACGCTCGACTTCCAACCATGTACTAATTCTTGCCAATTATGCCTTAGGAACATCCGCCGCTCCTTCACGATGGAGAAAACGGAAACTATGGGTAAGCGGTGTCAAGCCACCTGAGACACTTATGACCAACAGTTCTAACCAACAAACCCTCTTCACTTTAGCTCGACACAAACCCAACAACAGCTACTATATCCTCCTGCACCAGCGATAGATCATATCAAAGAACAGGAATTTTGGAATCACGTTGTAGAGAGGACTGAGCAGTGAGTTTTAAGTCATACTGTGCAAACTTTTGATCTACATTGACGAACACTAACGCTTGGCATCAGACAATTGATAGATATATCTAGCGCACAAACCGACTTACTACAAAACCAAGATGCACAAGAGAGATCAGAAAAATATCAGTCAGTATACATCTGTTGATTAACAGTAACTTGAGCACGGAACTCAAAGATTGATGTTATTTAGGGATATTTTGAATCAAATTCAATATGACATACTGTGGCCAAGTGCTACGAACTTAAAGCTTCCAAAAGGACAGCTAACAGCAGCAGCAGCCTGCGATCAATTGTGCTCAGCTGCACCTAATGGAGGTCTTGGAGAAGAAGATATGGAATGGGTAAGGCTTCGTATCTTATTTGTACAGATCAGACGCTATGGACTCATTTACCGTTCAATAGTTATATCAAACCATGGACGACATTCAAGACGCTGTCGGAAACATCAATGTTCGACCCGTAGGTGACATAGTTGTCAATCTAACCTTCTCGGAAAATTGAATTCAACTGTAGTTTGTCTGCTCGGACAGCCAAGCCCATTGCATCCATATTCTCAAACCCGCTCGTTCATTCATTCACTCTCACGCCTTGTACAGTATCAGCTTACTTTTACCTTTAAAAAAAAATGATCCTCTTTCCCCTTGTCATGCTCTATACCATGACACTAGTCATCTATGCTTTTAAGATTTTATCCCCGCCTCCATCCGTACGTTCAGTCCAACCCTTGTCATAAAAAATTTCAATTTCTCTTTTACTTTCATATTTTACATAAAATGCCTCGATACGGTCTAGATAGTCGTTATTGTTCCGATTAGAAGTGTAAGGGTTATATCTTGATCAAATCGACTCTTGCTCTTTCCCAGATTTTGCCTTCGACGCCAACACTGCCATCGCTGGTAAGTTGAAGGGGATGAATCGTCGCCCGAGCGAACGTGCCACCCGACTGCTTTTTGGACAGATACCCAGGGTTAATGCATACTACGCTGTCCACAATCTGTGCAAGCCGATTAGATGCGTAAGTACAAGCTCTCTTTCAATGAGACCACAGGTTATCCATCCACCTACCTTTGCAAATGATTTTAATCGAGACGGTAAAATGAGGATGTCAGGTGTGACATCCATCTGGATGTGAGGCATTTGAAGAAGATCAAGGTTGTCACCAAGTGCAGGAGGGAACATAGGATAAAAGCTGTAACAAAGGAAATTCTCATGTGTGAGAAGCCTGATATGCAAAATATGGTCTCGAACCTCATGCTTTCAATTACCTTCTTTGCTGCAGGATATGTCTGGTCAACCTGGCCAATCTATCGGACGCCTCTTTCGATCTTGAAATCTCCTCCAAGCCAAGGTTGAACAGAATATCAATGTTTCCTATGCCGACGACCATTTCATTGATGCGAATCATGGATGGATTGCTCAGCATCACTATTCCCTTTGGCAGACCCAGTTCTTTGGATGGCATGGCTGGTTGTGGGAACACGGCGTATTCGTGAATGAGATCGTCACAGTGGGGTACTAGTAAGATCCTCGTTGCCGGGCTTTGTTGAATGAATCGCTGCAACCGAGCTGATACCTGTGAGCGGAAAACATCTACCGGAGATGCATCAACTTCACCATTTTGTAATAATGGATGCGATCCAGGCACAAATGGACCTAGCTGCGAGCGTGGTAACAATTTCATCATCAGAATGAGCAATGTACAAATCGGTACGCAGCTTCATCAGAATACCCACCAACATCAATATGTCAGGCTGCTCTGAAGCCATTGTTTGCAGCAAATCTTCCAATGGAAGGTATGATAAATCGTCGTCTAGTGTATATGGGCCAGCAGCGATACACATGTCAATTGGTTTTCCTTGCATCTTTTCGCCATAATTGTATTCATACAACTCAGCAGCATCATGGACAGCAAGCGAGGGTAGTGGTATGGGCAAAACTTCGGATACTGTGAGCAGTTTGCCGGAATTGTTGACTCCATTCAATGTCACAATCTGATGGTGATAGTTTCCATGTTACCAAAGGTGTAAGTGCGCTATTCATATTTCTATATGAAATCGTGCTTACCTGACCAGGAAAGACAGAATACTCAGGTAGGTTGCCGAGCATGAGTTTGACACGTTTGCCCATACCCATAGATCTTGAAGTCTCCAATACGACAGATTGTTCATTAAGCTTACCAGCAGCATCTTCACAACAAATGCGCCCTACTGCCATGATATTGCTCTAGTGAAAATTAGTTACATCAGTTAGCTAAGAAGACAGATAACCATTCATAATTATCCTCGGTGCCTACTTGATTTGCCCGTGTTGGATTTGCAAATTCTTGGATATTATGATGCTCCATGACGACCTCCGCGAAATATTCGATTCGATCATCAATGACTGGTAAAGCAGCGTTAGTTTGCGCTTACATATGGCGAGGTCCAAGGACGTTAAATACTCTCTACATACTTTCTGCTCTCTCTGAGATTTTTTCAAACATGTATCTGTATCGGTCGGTTTGCTCCTGAGCTAAGCTGATCTCGCATCGTGACTGGTCTCTAAATTCCTCACCCATGGCTGTTTTCCTGCTGAGATGGCCATTGAGGCTTTCCTCCACCTTGTTCCTGACTGATCTCTCAGAAAATCTTTGTGTTGTTTTAGACCTAAATTCAAACGTAACGTTACCATCTGATCAAGCTTCTTTTTCAAATATCAGGTTCTTCATCTTACGTAACGGTGGTCCCTAATTCTGACACTACTATAGGGATACGCTCGATGGGAGTGTTGAGAGACTGTACTCCAGAAAGTTCGCTCATACTATAAAGAGGAGTTTGTCAGGATCTAATCGATATCTTCAATGATGAAAGTCAAAACTCCAACTTACAGATCTTGTATAGGATCTTTGGTAAAATTGTTGTTGGAACGAAGTAGGCCGCTGGAGTCACCTGCACGAGTTTGAAGGCGAGACTTATTTACGCTTGGCTTCGTTTTGTTCTGGACTGCGTTCTCGAAATCCCTTTGGATTTCACCATTCAACTGTCGAAGTAAATCAGAAGTGGGAACCGATACATTGCGCTCCATGTTGACAGGTCGTAACGCAAATGCTTCCCACTTTAGCACCAAGTCGCGTGCCTTGAGATTGTACTGTCTGCAAATAGCGACGGCTGGGCAAGAGTGAGTCCAGGTTCCTCATGGTGGGTATGGTCAAAGTAATGCTTACTCACCATCATTTATCACTTGTGGATCCTGTAAATGGAGACCCTGAGCGAGCTCTTCACGTAATGCGGACATGGCGAGTAACCAAAAAAAATCGAACAAATACAACGCGACCCGAAAAAAAGGTCGCGACGTGCAGTGACTTCTCAAGTGTTCCACGTGACCCTATGTTTTTGGGTTGAGATTCAATGTTGATAAAAGAGAGATAACCAAATTACCTTCGCATAAACCCTTCCTTCTTCTCTATTTCCAATACTTCATGTCTGGGCTATCACATTTGCTTTTGACAACTGCCGATAGAAAGCTTTATGAAAGTACCATCGAGTTCTATAAAGCTCTTGGCTTCGAGCCTCTCACTCACAGTGATAGTCAAATTTATTTGAAGTTGACTGCAAAGGCCCCCGCCCAAGATCTTACTATCAAAGTCAAGTTGGTAGGCGATCGGGCTGTCGATACACTAGAGAAGAATACAGCAACCATTGTGATTGCGTCTGATAACCTCGAGGTCAGCAGCGGATTTACATGATCAGTATGATGTCAGGAGACCTTTAGACTAACTTGCCTCAATGCCCGCACCGTATCGCCTAATGTTATAATCACAGACCGTTGCATCCATTATCCAAGGCAGACATATGGATTTCAAGAAGGAGAAGGAGTCTTATGGAGGATTTGTGATTAAGACCAAGGATCCTTTGGGCAATGCCCTAGAGTTTACAGACGAAGATTTTCGCGTCAAGATCACCCCGGACCCCAATTTGCCCATCGATGCATCCAACAAGCGTAAGATTGCTGTTTTGACGTCAGGTGGAGATTCAGCTGGTATGAATGCTGCTGTAAGAGCAGTTGTACGCGCTGGTATTGCACGTGGCTGCGACGTATTTGCTGTTTACGAAGGTTACCAAGGTATGAGAGAAAAAAAATGGCTTCTATGCGTGAGCTGGCTGGAAATTTTTGCCCGCCGTCACACAGAGATTGATCTCCCTCTCAAAATGAATAATAGGTCTTGTTGATGGAGGTAATCTGATTAAGAAGATGTCTTGGAACGATGTTCGTGGGTTCCTTGAAGTGGTATGTATTGTTTTGAAATTGGAAATTGATCCGCGGAAGCCATCCATTTCGTTTTGGGGGGAGTGTGATTTTGGGATAGATGTTATCAAAAAATTTGGGCACGCACCGGGAAATTCTGGGGCGGGTCGGGAATCCGATTCATGCTAGCGTACTGACATAATTTTTCTATGTAACAGGGCGGCACATCAATCGGAACAGCAAGATGTATGCCTTTTAAGCAAAGACCTGGTCGTCTCCAAGCAGCTGAGCACTTGGTCTCCCGCGGTATTGATTCTATCGTGGTGTGTGGTGGTGACGGCTCCTTGACTGGCGCTGATGTGTTCAGATCTGAGTGGCCTGGATTGCTAGATGAACTGTTGGCAAACAAGCGTATCACTGAAGAGCAACATAAGAGTCATCGCTATCTGACAATTGTTGGTCTTGTCGGCTCTATTGATAACGACATGTCCAGCACTGACATCACGATCGGTGCCTATACCAGTTTGGCTCGTATTTGCGAAAGCGTAGACTCCATCGCCAGTACTGCCATCAGTCACTCTCGCGCTTTCGTCGTCGAGGTCATGGGAAGACATTGTGGTTGGCTCGCCTTGATGGCTGCTATCAGGTAATAAGATTGAAAAAGTGACTTGTTTCAAGATGACATACAATATCTAACAGTTCATTTTTTCAGCACCGGTGCCGATTTTGTCTTCTTGCCTGAGAAGCCTCCGTCCGATGATGACTGGCAAACTGCCATGTGCGACCGATTGACCAGAGTATTTATCAGAAATGTTGACTTTACCATCATAACGTTTATGCTTACACATGTTTGCTTCGTCATTAGAGAAGAGCTCTTGGAAAGCGTAACACACTGGTTATCGTCGCAGAAGGTGCATTGGATAAGAACCTAAACCCCATTAAGCCTGAGCAGATCAAGGATATTTTGTCCGATAGAATGGGACTTGATACCCGTGTCACTACCCTTGGACACGTTCAAAGAGGTGGATCCCCTGTTGCATATGATAGATATTTGGTAAGTAGCAGGAGTCAATGTTTTTATATGGGCTAAAGCGTTATCTTACTGTTTCATATCAGGCCACTGTACAAGGTGTGGAAGCTGTTGAGGCTGTTTTGCGTGCCACTCCCGAGACTCCTTCTCCCATGATTGGCATGTCGCAAAACAAGGTTACTTGGAGACCATTGATGAAGGCAGTTGAACTGGTGAGTGACGAGCCTGTGGCAGTCAATTTGCCGCGAGTGTAAGCTGACTTGCATGAACTATTTACTTAGACGCACGCAGTCGCAACTGCTATTGGCAATAAGGATTTTGAGAAAGCCACCGAGCTGCGAGACTCTGAATTCAAGCTCGATTATGAGGCCTACAAAGCGACCACTGTGGTTGATGACCCTAGAATGAAGGTCGAAGCTCACCAAAAGCTCCGTGTAGGTATCATCCATGTCGGTGCTCCCGCCGGTGGAATGAATGCTGCAACCAGAACTGCTGTTTTGTACTGTTTAAACCGTGGTCATACCCCCGTCGGTATTTTCAATGGTTTCCCTGGTCTGTTCCAAGGAGCTGTTCAAGAGCTCGACTGGCTTACTGTTGATCAATGGTCGTCTCGTGGAGGTTCTGAGCTTGGTACTAACCGTAGCCAACCTGATGCTGATTTCGGCATGACCGCACACAGCTTGCAAAAACATAAGATTGATGCTTTGCTTATGGTGGGAGGTTTCGAGGCATTCACTGCTCTTATGCAATTGGATAACAACAGAGACAAATACCCCATGTTCCGAATTCCCATGGTGCATCTTCCCGCTACTATTTCCAACAACGTTCCAGGAACCGATTTCTCCTTGGGAAGTGACACTGGTCTTAATGCCATTGTTAACGCATGTGACGCCTTGGTGCAGAGCGCCAGTGCCTCAAGAAGACGTGTATTTGTTGTCGAAGTACAGGGTGGCCGTACTGGTTACTTGGCTGTCATGGCTGGTCTTGCCGTAAGTGGTTGTCTGGGAGACTTTTGAGATGTATCTCAGGTACTAATTTTTCCATCATTGATATGTCGATGTAGACCGGTGCCACCACTGTGTATATCCCTGAGGAAGGTATCACCCTCGATAGATTGCAGCGTGATGTCAAGGATCTTGTCCGACTTTACAGAGAGGATGACCCCAACCACAGTGAAGGACGAATCATCTTGAGGTATGTCCCATCCCATTTCTGATCTTTTTTTATTGTTGTTTTTATGATTGAACCACACTAACCCACAAATCCTTTCGCATAGAAACGAGAAAGTGTCCAAGACTTATAGCACAGATGTCATTTCAGAGATCATCAAAACCGAGGGCAACGAATTGTTTGACTCTCGTACTGCTGTCCTTGGCCACACTCAGCAAGGTGGTACTCCATCCCCTATGGATCGTATCCGTGCTAGTCGTCTTGCCGTCAAATGTATTCAATTTATTGAACAACAAGCATTCCCTGCGCTGGATGCAGCACATGCTAAAGGCGCTTCTCGTCCTGTCGATATCATCAACACTCCTGAATCTGCCTGTGTAATTGGCATTGTTGGTACCGATGTTTTGTTCAGCCCTGTCAAATCATTACTGGGCGAAACTGATATGAAGGAACGTAAGAGCAGCAAAGCATGGTGGATGCCCATGACCGGGTTGATTCATCTTCTATCTATTCAAGGTAATTATGATCGTATGTTTGCCGGAACGAACAGATTGCACCATGATAATAACACATGAATGATTGGTAGATTCGAAAGAAAGAGCCTCTATGGTCTTGGACAACCTTGAGCGTGAGGTAGACCTTTAGACGAAACATTATAGAACATTGATTTTTACATAAATTGGACACATTATATTTATCCACTACCTAATGAAAGAGGGTTAAGCGAAGTTAGTGGGACGCATGAGGTAGCTGATGTGGTAATAATGGCAGTCTGAAATTGAATGAAAAAACGACGAGACGTTTGACTGAGCTACCACTGCTATCTTTATCTGTTCGTACCAGGTCATATCTGCCTCGAATGTGGTATGCAAAGATCTACGATCCCATAAAGGTGGGATCTATAGATGGCACGGACACGGAACCGCACGATGCTGCAGTGGTGCGAGCATTGAATGCAGAATGTAGGTATCGCCATGCTGCCATTGCTGGCTTTACTTGTGCATAATGCTCACTTCCTTTCATAACAGATAAGCCACCGAGAATCAAGGAGACAGACCCGTTGAAGACACTGTTCGTTGGAAGACTTGATCCAGACACAACTGAAGGTAGTGCTTCATATCACTGTAGAAAATGTCGATCATTTCCGACTAACGCACTTTTCAGATACGCTTAAGCGTGTGTTTGGCGAATATGGAGCATTACAGTGCGTTCGACTCATGTGTAATTTTGTCACTGGAGTGTCAAATGGGTACGCCTTTGTGACATATGAACGATCAGCGGCTGCGGAAGATGCATATCGACGAGCCAACGGCATGTATGTGGATGGTCGGCGAATCCTTGTTGATTATGAGCGTAGCCGCGTTATGAAGGGCTGGGTCCCTCGTCGACTTGGCGGTGGATTTTCAGGGAAAAAGGAGAGTGGACAGCTACGATTTGGTGCGCGAGACCGAGCGTTCCGCGACCCGATGTAAGTGTTTACAGAGAAAAGAGTATCGTATCAAGTAAGTTCTAACTCTGTGGAAATGCGCAGAAATCACGCCCGGCGTGAGCAGCAATCAGTTGAGATACCTCCTGAACAGCGCCGTGATGATAACTGGAGATATGACATGCTCCCTCGCTCGCATAGGCCGAGAGAGCACAGTCCACACCACCATAGACGAGAAAGAGATTCATACAAGAGAGTGAGATCACGATCGCGAGATCGACACCGTTCTCCAAGCCCGTATCATAAGCGAAGACGCTGAACATTCATTCGAAACACCAAATACTAGTAAATAATCTTTTTCTATTATTACAAAAGGCGGAAAATCGAAACTATTTTGAAACACAATGTGGAAGACGGTATATACTGACGCGGAAAAGACTGGCTTTTTTCTCCATAATTAGTCGTCCATTGCCAGTCGTTCTTCTCGCGTAAGACGTCTAGCACTACGAATCCATCGTCGTCGACGAGTCAAATCTCGCTTGCTGCCATCGCCACCATCCTTCTTCTTAAAAAGTGGTTCCCATTCTGAATTGCTATATACCCAACCCCCTTCATCTGGATCAACATGCATCTATGATAGAGATAGAAAGTCAGAACCTCGCCCAATAAACCTATAGATTGCTCATACAACGCTGTAATGGATACTTACTTCTAAAGTGTGACAATGCGATGGCAAATTGTCATGAAAGCGTTTTGTCAATAAGTGATTGTTCAGTTTGATGATCAAACAATTGATAGCTTAGCTTACCAACTCCAAGAAAATTTTGCTTCCATGGTCCTGTCCTATCAAGCGTCCAATCACTATCCTCCCATTTGTATCCAGCAGGCGGCTTGTATTCATACTTGGTAGGTAAAGGTATAGTGCCGGAGATATCCGACCAAGGGCCACGTTCCATTCGAAGCATTTGAGGAGTGAAACCACTACCGGGCCACCAGCGCTGATTCTCATAAAGCGAGGCTTCCTTGAACTCTCCTTGCTCCGCTGCAGTTTCCTCCAAGCTACGGTACCATACACCCAATGTCTTGACAAATTGCTCTGAATGACGAGCTAGATCTGGCCCAATATCACGCAAGACCAATTGCACGAACTTGGTATTGTAGAAGAACACCGATAGTCCGCCAAACATGAAAACGAGTCTCCACGGGATGACCCATATGCCAACTGCAAGTGCAAACATGGAGATCAAAATGGCTTGTAACAGGTACATGGTCTCGGTCTCGGAAGACCAATCAAAGTGACTGGCATTGCCCATGACCAAGTCATATCCATCGCTGAATTCACCCATCATGTTCTGAAGGTTTTTCAAGTTGCTTAGATATTCTGGAGAAGCATCATCTGAAGCGAATAAAACAGATGACAATCCAAATCCGCTCAAAGTTCGTTTGCTTGACGGTCGCTGCTGAATGGGTGAAGCTTGAGCGCTGTTTGTAGCAGAGGACTTGACATTCATTTTTTCGTCTGATTCGGGCTCGTCGGTGAGTGGTTCACCACTATCATACTTTCCGTATTTTATATAGAATTTCGCAATTATCAAACGTAAGAGCAGTAACTGAGGTCCGAAGACGACGAGCACAGGATAAAAGCCTGATGAAGATAGGTTGAATTTCAGCTGGACGATTGGGGGAAAAAACAATAGACCCATTTCATTACTTACAAATTACACACCAAACGACCATTGCCAGCAACGTGTCAGCAGTATTCTCCCAGCTTATGAGGCGAATGATAGCATCTCGAAACGCAAAGATGGCTCCGCATTTAGATGCGAACCGGGTAAAATTTCGCGTAGTCGTCTGCGCATTTAGAGGTGGCTGGGACTTCAGATACAACATGGCAGGTGCGTATATGTCCTCTGAGCTTGCATTGACGGCGCTTGACATGATAACATCTTTGAGGTGGTGAGTAAAGTCGGGTGATGGCTCAGGGGTACTTGAAGCGGCGGGTGATTTATTTACTTCATCTTTATGCGAATCATGTAAAGAGGAGTCGGAATCGAAACCTGATTGCGAAGAAACCGATCTAACGGACGCGTTAGATTTGTGCTTGCTTATCTTCCCCCGTTGCTGGTCAGCGTTTTGTATCTGGCGAAGCGAGTTGGCAGCTGGTGAGTCGGTCATAGTCGGACTCTTGGGAGCCTTGGGCGTCGGTGAATCCCCACCGTTGGGTCGTGAAGGTGGATTTGCTTTGACGGATTGGCAGCTGGGAGCGGAAGCAGCGCATTTATTATGGCAAACGTAATGACATTCTGAAATTGGGGTTTTGGTTATGACTAGTTAGTAGACGATTGGTGTAAACCAGTTTTTGGTGACTTGAAAGGTACGCATACCTGAGCATTCAAGACCCTGCTTTGCCAGACCCCATAATAGCTTTGAGCAGTTATCGCAATAGGTTAAATTCGCAAAGGTATTCTCCTCAAAGTGGTGATTGGAGGAAGACATTGCATGGGATAAAGGAGCCACGTGAAGATTCTGCCGTTTTTGAGGAATCGTGACAAACTGGCTCGTCCCAAATGCGGAAGGTGATTCAATTTGGTTGAGCTAACACTTTGGAAATGAGTCCACCGCTATAAACCTTGCAACAAAGTAATCAGAGAATGTAGAATTTATTTGTATGGAGCTTCAGTAAACATTCTATGGCTGTAGAGTCATAGTCCATAAGAATATAGCCGTTTATCATTTCAGTTCAGACACTTCTCGCGTAACAGCAGTCATGGTGGTCGGAGATTCAATGGAAAAAACGTATATAAATCTCTAAAATTTTTCCAACATGAAATCTTTACGTCTCACAAACGATAAAAGATCCGTGAATTATGTCCTTTGGTTCTTCATCAGAATGGGCATCCAGACAATGGATCAAGACAAAGTCACTATAAAACCGTCGCCTGAAGTATTCGTACAATGAAATGGTGATGACCAAACGTGACTACAGTCTCTGAACAAACCCAACTCTTTTATTACAAAAATTGAATATAAACAAAATAGAGCATCGATAGCTAGTATCCAATAGAGAATGTCGAGCTGACTGCTCTCATAAACGATCTCGCTTGCAAATCAATGATCGCATGAATGTTGGTTTGGTTACTGTGATTGTGATAGATTGACAACTAGATCTTGGCTGAAGTGTGTATCACTTGCAAGGAAGCCTGCAAGATTCTCGGTGGTGAAGGCTCGCAGCTGAATGTAAAAGTTTACGCTACAGGCTACCACCACTTGCTACGTACTAGATGGCTCAACTATTTTGTTTTCTTTTTCATGTTTTTTCATTCTCGTTAACACTGCCGCTATTTGGGTTACTGAGGCTCGACAAGCCACAAGTCGAATCTACGGCACAGTATCTAAGTTTGCCATATGCGGATGATATGAGAGAGTTTGCGAAACAATATGCCTTACTACAGTTGTTTGCGTGCGATTGCTGCTAGAGCCACCTCACTGAAAGTAGTATATCTATGGCCATGAGTGAGACATTTCTGATATAGACGCCGTATATTTACAGTTATACAAATCGAAAAAGGGTAGTTACGGAGTATGCAGACGATCAGCTTGACAAGTACAAGAATTCATCATGTTCTATTGATGTTCTGTATGATACTTGTACAGTGAAGGTAGTCAGGCAACACCTTAGTGAACCGAAGTCATTCAGTAATTTTTTCTTCAGCCACCTGCAAGTCACCCTCGCAAATGAGCCATTTGCCCAAATTCTAAAACTCAGTTTCTGTTCGACTTCAATAAGTCCCCTAGTTGCCTACCTCGACGCGTTTGTGATTCATGAGTGCCCCAGCCGAATCAACTTCTCCAGAGAAGCAAGAATCTGGTGTCGCTAATCCCTATCTGAAATACCAAGGTGACTCGAATGCAGCGGACTCAGCGCCTCGGCACCAGCGGATACAACTTTCTAGCGATCGTAGTAAAGAGCCACAATCTGTCTTGGGCAAGCGACCTAGTACGGCGGCCGGCTCAGCTTCTCAGTCGTCAAAACACCAACAACGCGAAAAATTCCATCCAAACGTATACGGAAACTACAAGGCTTACTACAGGTAATTAGGACTGCTATTGCGAACACGCACATACATTCAAAGCTGACAATACCTGGCTTAATATGAATATCAGTTCCCGTCGGGATAAAGGCCAGAAGGATGACCCACGGATGAACGTGTTGGATTCATCCCTTATCACTGACAAAACAGTACTCGACATTGGATGTAACTCTGGCAATTTAACCATCGTATTAGGTAAATCAATGTTGCTAGAAGAATAACACAGCGAATCCTCCCCGTGACTGACCTGTGTCTTCGCAGCAATGAAGTATAAACCTGCTCATGTCGTTGGAATAGACATAGATCCCAATTTGATTCATTCGGCAAGAACACATCTGAAATTGGCTTACTCGTTGCGTAACCCGGACAGTGACGAAGTCGACCTCGACATCGGCTTCAAATATCACTATTTCCCTCATTCAATGTCCACCATGTTTGGCTTCCTGCCCACACTTCCCGCTAGAAGCTCTCCTAAAGGATTTCCATACAATGTTGAATTTAAAGCGGATGACTGGTTGAAGACACCGACTGAAAAGGAGACATACGACACTATCCTTGCGTAAGCAGTTGATATTTGACTACAGTTGTTCAAAAAAACCATGCTAATTCAAAATTATAGCTTAAGCATTACAAAATGGATACATCTACACAACGGTGACGAAGGAATGAAGGAATTCTTTCACAAAGCTTATCAATCACTCAAACCTGGAGGCATCTTTGTAGTGGAACCACAGGCATACGAATCTTACGCCAGACGACGTCGGGATTCTGAGGTTTGTGCATTATCTTTGACTGCATCACTTCTTTATCATCGACTTAATTTTTAACCTTTTCATAGCATATCAAAGCCATGTATGACAGCATCAAATTTCTACCTGATCAATTCAAAGATTTCTTGCTCAATGATGTCCACTTCGCAAGTTATGAGATCGCTGGCGATTCAGAAAATGAACAAAACGGTATGGCTTGGTTTCTGTTACTTTTTTGGTTGAATGCGTATTCTAATTGCAGTTGAATCATTACCATTTTGTAGGTTATGACCGGGCAATATATCTGTTCAAAAAATGATGATAGAGATACAGTAATTGGATATGCGTGTAGCTCACGCTTTCATTCATGCTGTCATTAGAGATTGTAACAACCTACAACCACTATTCTATTGCGATACGCTACTCAACAGAAGAATAACGTGAAGAAGTTAGTCAGTACACGCCACTGTGTCCACTTGTTTACATTCTCATAACGTTCTATACCAATTGTAAATACATGATTTAATTAAAGGAGATGTGTGTCGATTAGTGATTAGCATGGAATATTAGTGTAGTGTGTAGGCACGATTGAATCGTAACGTGTATTCTATTTGTCTTTGATTGGACGCTCCCATCGGACTCGATAGCGTGATGTAGCTTTATAAATACTGACGCAACTGTCATAAATGAGAAGAGCAGGAACCTAGTGATCGGAGACTTTGATGAGTATCAAATGCATGAAAAAAATATATAAACCACGTTGGATAACACCTACTATTATCCAAGGGCTATTAAATCCAACAAAATACACCCAAAAGTAAATAGGATTAGGGTCACAGCTGCTGAACCCTTTGAATGAGTCCAAGATGTAGTACAATGAACAGGAAAAGATGTGGAAAACAGAGATGATCAGTTGGTAGAGATGTCGAGAAGGCGAGTTTCTGTACAGAGCAATCATAGCCAGAACGCATAATGGTCCAATGATGGTCTAATGCAATGAAGTTGAATAATAAGATTTGGGGACAAGGTTTCGTCGGGTTGCTCGCTCGCTCTAGCTTACCACTGTCATGATTTCCAAGGTCAACACCAGTGGGTCAGAGACCATGTATCGCGAGTCCGAGTGGGCATATTCTCGCCACAATTCCGCTAAAAAGTCTTTCCTAGAAGCCACCGTCTTGCTAAAACACACCCAGTACACTTCGAAAAAGCAGTGTGTAAGGGCACATATACTGAACCAGCAGAAAATAAGACGATCTTTCCCTGGCTTCATATGCACTGCAGTGCCTGAGATTATATACATTGTGGTTAACCATGTCACGACAGTGGCTATAACCCAAGCCAGTAGCACCATGGTCGGTAGTGAATTTGGCACATAGTTGTCAATTTGTAAATCCGGGGGATAATAAGGATGGGGCAGCATGCTGGCACAAGGACGGACTGACAGGCAAGGCATTTAACAAAAGCAGTGAAATGAAACTCAAAAATTCCACGTTAGTGACTGCGGACCAAAAGTATAGAGTTTCTTCTTCACGCTTTCTATTACCTTCTCTTTCCTCTTCCCTTTGCACTACAAAATGTCCCAAAATACCATCAATTTGATCCTTCTCAAGGATGAATTCACCTTGTATCAGTTCCCTAAGAGCACCAAAGTACCAGCCTCTGTACTGGAACAAGATTGGTTCACCGTCTCAAAGACCACCGATGAATTGTCCATCATTCTCCCTTCACAAGTACCTCTTGAAGGCGCTACAAAGAAAGATGATCAGTGGAGATGCTTCAAGGTTGATGCGCAAATGGAATTCGAACTTGTCGGCATTTTGGTCCGCATCGTCACTCCTCTCAAAGACAACAAAATCTCCGTTTTCGCCGTTAGCACTTATGACACTGACTATGTTCTTGTCAAGAGCGACCACGTCGAAAAGGCATTCAAAATTCTCGGCGAGGAACCCAACATGGCTGTTCGCCAGGGTGAATCGGTTCTCCAGTAAGTGTCTCCCTCTCATAAATGGAGCACAATCAAATCGCTTTCGCTGCTGGTACGGCGTTAATTGGTATCATAGAAACAGCTAGGGTAGCTTCCATTATCATAGAACCATGTACACCATCCATTAAAAATATCTATGTTTGCATTTCTTTTCTTTATATGGTATTCAGTCTACTTTTTGTTAAAATGGAGGTCGACGGTTACATTGTTTTACATAGCATCATTGATTATAGTGAACGCTTTTTTGTACAAATCTAACATAGCGTTGCACTTGTCACGTTCTTGGGCAAGGTTTTCATCTTCGTGTAAAAGTTCTCCAAACAGATCTTCCTTGTACAATGCAGCGACCAGTCGGTTTTGCACAGATTCACGTGAGTTATTGACAAGTAGATGCATGATTGCTTTGGGAACAAGATCGTGAATGGTTTGGCGAGTAATTTCAAAATACGATGTAATCAAAGAACCTAATGAAATAGAAGATTTAGCACTCTTGACTGGGATAAGTGTCCGCAGAGAAAAAAAGACTCACGAATCAATCGAACTTCAAGCTCGTCCCTGTCCAGACTTTGAGACGGTGGTTGTTGTTGATCTTTGATGGATAGTTTCTCGCCTAGCTGTCTCTCCATCTCGGCTTCCACAACCTTACTAATGGAAGGTGGAGAAACAGATACAGAGTTATGTGGGCCATCCATGGCTCCAAGAGCTGGGCGGTCGTTCTTATTGGCACCGCCAAAGAAGTAATTCAAGAAAGAATCGTTCTTGGGAGATCCACCAAGAGCACTAGTTTGATGTTGCTGCTGCTGTGGCATTTGAATTGCGTCGACATGTTCGACGCGTCCGTTCATCTGAGCTACTTTGGCAGCTCTCTTTCGTTCCAGTGCCCTATGCTTCTTGGTTTGACTTTCCAATTGTGCCATGGCTCCTGCAGCCCCAAGGAAATCCGCATGGTTGGTATTGATGTAAGCTCTCTCAATGGCGATCAAGCTTTCCACATAAGATGACGTTGGTCCAAGTCGCTCCTGAAGAAGATCCGAGACCACCTCAACGAGGCGAGCATAGAGTCGAGGAAACCGTTGAATTTCCTGGTTGGATTGGAATTGGAAAAAAATAAAGAGTTGAGATGAGTAAAGTTCATACCTGACATATTCAACAGTACTAAAACACAAATATGAGTCTTACCTTACTGCCACAGTTATGGCATATTCGCATCAGTTCCTCATAAACCAGCTCAACACATCTGAGACTAGGCGTTTCTAACAATGAGATTTGAGGCTTGACGAGCAGATCAAATGCAATTTCAGGAACAAACAAGGATGGTCTAGGACCAGTGGAATTGCGAATGGCGGTTCGTATGTCGTGGTCTGACAAATTAGCACACGGAGCGATGGACTCTAGAGCTTGGCCAAACACGTTATTGAAAATAAAATAGATTCGAGCACCACCACACCTAATGGATGAATCAATGTTTAGAACCAGTTGCAGTGGTTGTGAAAGCCTTTGTAGACGCATCACTTACAGCTCCTTAGTGGAAATATCCGACAGGGTACCATCAATGGAAGCAACAAAGTCATTGGCAAACTTGGTCAGCAGTTGTAAAATCAACGAACCCTATTCTCAAAGCAAAAGTAAGCGGCTGATCACTACCACGACTATTGACCACTGATCCCTTACCCTATGCATCTTGCCCGTCAATCCCATATCACCATACTGAGCCAACTCGTGCTGTGTTTGCCCAATCATACTGCTAAGTTTCGATCGAATATCAGGGAGTTTTTCGCGGATATGGTTCATTAATATCTGAAAAGGTACAAGAACATTAGATATGCTGCCTTGCACCTGACTTCAACTATTCTTTTTTTCTTACGGTGTTCAATTGCTTAGAAAGATACGCAGTACCGCATCTATGAGCTATTGATCGGTAGGATGGGTGGTTGAGGAAGAAATCCCTCTCGGACTGGATAGCATCCGTCATAGGCTTGTTGGTTAGGATATCCTGCTGACTACGGTTAACCAAACCAATAAAACCAAGTTTCAACGGATACGCTCTTCCAGTCAAAGTATCCAGAGCGTTTGTTCCAGCGTCCATCAAATCCAACTTGGTCAATACGCCAATGGTTCGCTTTCCTTCCGGATCGACTTGACGGGCCAACTTCAGACTGTCGGAGTTCACCAAGTCTGCATTAGCAGGAGTAACAGCCAGGATGATACTGTTATGATTTGTTTGTGTGGTCAGATTTTTACGTTGACCTTGCCAAAAAAAAAAAAACTGACATGGCAAGATGGTTTACCTGTTGGGTTTAGATATGTAATCGACAATCAAATTTCTAGTCTGCTTCTCTATGTCAGTGGGTTGGTCACCTAGTCATAACGGAAAAAAGAGGCACACATGGTTAGACATGATGAAACCGACCACTGGTCAGAAAAGGTGGATCCAGTTACCTATTGGGATCTGTAACCAAATGGTAAGTCATCTCTTTTTCTTAATTAGGAGACATATGATCTGGTGTATTACCTTTGTTAATCCAGGCAAATCAACCATAGTCAGATTGAGAACCTTGGGAGAATATATCTTGAGATGGATAGGTTGACGAGAGATACCCTTGTTCGTACCAGCAATACGAGCTGTATCATCCTCAATCTCTTTCCGAACTTCAGAAAAGTCGTAAAACTTCTTGTTAGGAATGTGCAGAAACTCTGCATATTCCTGAACTTCAGGGCCGTTCAAGGTAACTAACTGCAACACAAGAGGTCTTCGGGTGACAACACCACTTCCTCTTGGCAAGAAATCGCGCTGCACAATGTTTTCAATTACAGACGATTTGCCAGATGATTGAGAGCCGACGGATATGATTTGCGGCAAGTCTAGGCTGTCGTTCCCGCCAATGGTGGAAAACACATCTTGGACCTTGTTAATGAGTTCTATGACGTTCTCCATTGCAGTACTATTCAAGTTGTCGAAAGCTGCGGAAAAGGTCAAAGGAAAAGAGCGAGGTTTTATGAAAATGGAGGGAGGGGAGAAGGCAGCGATCGGGAACGCAGCTCTGACTTTTGACTCAAAGTCACAACAGCTAGCAAATCAGTCAGCCGCCACCTTGTCCGCACCCACACAGTCCAGCCATGCCTACCAGTGATTAAAATGTACAAGATCTTTATTCTAAATTTATGCTACTTTCAAGCGATTGGTATTGTTTTCGGCACATCTGATTCGAAGGATTAGAAGAAAAAAATAATCGATTAGTATGATCTATCATCCCCCCCCCCCTGTCCCAATAGCCTGTGCCTTGCTCACCTGAAACCACCTGACGTGTTCGTCCTCCTTTACTCGGGTTTCCACAATGGTGATCAAAGAGAGTGCGGACGCAACAAAAGAAGCTATATAATCCTTGAGATTGGCGTCTTCTTCATAGAACGATGACGCAACGATGTCAATTTGATCGCTGACAGTAGACCCAGCACGGGACAAATCGTCCAGCCAAATGTTGGTTTCAGCGTCATTGGATGCTGTAGCAATAAATCGCAATTGTACTTTCTTCAAGACCATGCTCGTCATTTTGATCATATTGAACGTCTTCTTGCATGCTTCCAATTGCTCCGGTGTCATTTTAGTACCATTTTCCATGATATCTCCCCATCCATCGTCTTCTTCCTCTTCTTCATTATCATCTGCATTTTGCTCGGCAATAAAATCTTGTAGTTCTTCTTGTGCATCAGCAACCATTTCGGAGACGCCTTTCCATTGCTTCTCCACAGCCTCACGGTTGTTGCTAGCAACTTGGGATTCGAATGATTTGCAAACATCCCAGACCGATCCAGTAGTCTTCAATATTTGATCAATCTTGCTGGCATCTTCGGCTTCGGCTAAACTTTTACATAAACTGATGGAGGCTGTGAATGCTGAACGAGCAAGTTTCTGAATGTGCTCCAAGTAGGTCCTTCCAGATGTGGGTGGAATGGTGTCGACAAATCCGCTGATCCGCTTGACGGTTTCTTGCATACCTTTGATGGATAATCCGATGAATACTCTATAAAACTTTTTCCTTCTCGGTCTTAATTTTATGAGATTCATTACCTTTCACCATCGGCTTCATATCGCTCGTCTTGCAAGGAGGCTTGCAGGCCAATGTCAATTTCGTGGCATCGGATGAAAGGATTTTACCTAGTCCAGCTAATAGAATGTTTAGTATTAGTATTCTCGACGATTCAATCAATCCTTGGAGTATATAGTATTGCCAGCCATACCCATGATGGCCTTGAACTTGATAGAGTCAAAGTTTGGGTCCCATACTGCTTTGTCTACGGCAAGTTGTTGCACAGCATTCTGGAGGTCGTTTTCCAAAAGCTTGAGCGTCTCTGGAGGATCGCAATTGTTTGAATCAATTTGGCAAGACTATGGTGATGCAGCTTGTAAATCGACATTACCTTGACCTTCTTTGTCCATTGAATGTTTAGGCCCAGTGAATCAATCAAGCTTGCAATCTCAACTTTTTTTTTTTTTTGGGCCGAAAAAGTTGTTGATAATTTTGGCAGTCCGAACCCCTTCAGTGGCAGCTCTCACTCACTTCGTTATACTCGATCAAAACTATTTATTTAGTGAGGCACTCCATAAATCCTCCCATTCTTCATCCTTCCAGTTTATTCTGTAGCTCGTTCCATATTTCATACATATTCTTTTCAGACTGTGCTTGTATCTGGGTAAAATTACGATGTAAAATAAGAGCATACGATTCTTGATCCTGAAGATACCGAATTTCTTCTTTGATAGATTTCGCTATATATTGTCGACGCTTCTTCTCTTTGACAATAGCCTCGTTGTCCTTGAAAATTCAATAACGTTAGTAGGCAGCCTTACTTTTCTATGTTTTCCGAAGCGCAATCGAACGCAATTCTCACCTGACGAAGTAGAACATCCAGCTTTTGCACTTCGTTTTCCATACCAGGTATACCTCTGTTTTGGTTTGCCTTTATCCTATTGTTGTTGACTCGCTTCTCCAATACCTCCAATATATTACCCCAGTAGCGATTCTTCCTGTTACAAAGGTCCTGGCGAATGGCCGACTGTTAGATTATGCTGGTGCCACCTGCAAATATGGACAGTGAGGTTTACCTTAAATGACAAACATAAGTCTCTCTGCCGTTTCAGTTGTTCCAATGTGGTAGAATATATGACGTCTGACGAATTCTGTAGCTGTACTCGTGCCTTTTGAAGGTGTTTGGCTACCAATTCCGAATCAAGACGCACTTGTCGACATCGACGCTGACAAGCCTCTGAATAGCAAAAGTTCTCAAGCTCACTCAGTGAGCTACGCAATGATTCAAAGTCAGTATGCAATACTGGCTAAAAGGTTCATTTTTTCATGTTACTGAACCTTAAACAAGTTCCATAACGCATGTAATCCTTTGCTTGGTTCGACTGTCTCTTGGCCATGCGCTCCATGGCAATACACATTTCGGTATAGGTCTTGACGGCCACTTCATTTCTTTGAGTAGCCTTCTCAAATCGTTCCTCCCAGTCCTGTGTTGCGTTGGCGGATTCCTCTCCAATTTGAAGACGGAAAAATTCGTCCTCTAGCGATGGAGCATTTTGCTTTTTCCAAGCCCCCAGTTCCTGTATCAACATGCAAGTAGGTTGGAGTAAGTACACAGTGTTGGTACCTCAATAGAACAATGATTTTCTTTCATATTACCGATGGCTCCGTGAAAAAGACATGCACAATTTCGTCGTTCCTCAGAATGGGATGTCGTAGTAGAGCGTTTAAGAAGCGGGAAAGCGCTTTTCTTCTCTTTTCCAAAAATGCGTCGGTTCCTGGTAAAATGATTAGGACATGCAATTCAATATACTCTACTGATTTTTCGTTTACTTACTTCCTCCAAGATTTTTCGGTGGCAAATTTGGAATCATGCGGCTTGGATACCGTCTTATTATTGTTTCGACTAACCACGAAAAGTCGTTGTATCTCCTCAGTACTCTAGACTTGATGTCATTGTTTTGTACGATATATTTGACATGCTTGAATATATATCCCTCTTTTTCCGGCGCAATTTGGACCGTCACTGTATCAGGCTTATCGATATTGACGAAGGTCTCAAAGGATTCATTTGAACCCGTTGATGGTTGCGTGTTGGTATTGTGCTGGTCTAAAAAACCATGCAAGGTGAGTGCCTTCTCCATCACCAGACATTCTCATCATCACTTACTTTGTATGACGCCGTCCTCCTCCTCACTGTCTTCCTGATTCATATCAAGTCGAGGTACTGGAGGATCTATATGCGAGATGAGACAAGGATGATGAGCTACAAGTCATATCTCAACCCCTTTTTCCAAACTACAAAGCACATACCAAACCTGCAGGCGTTTATATTGATAATCGTTATATCTGTTCAAACAAGCTTTAGCATTCCCCTCTTTTCTTCTTTCAGTTCCTACCAACATGTATACCTTCATTCCTTTGAGCAAGAGCCACGCATACAAGGAATCCGTAGAACTCGCGTTCCGAGAGTAGTTGGGCTTTGCCAATCAGGTTTAGAATCTAAATCGGAGGTTAAATCTTTGGGTCCGTGCGCTGGTGGTATGACTTCATCCGCATAGCTCAATACCTGTTGTCCTTGCGTGTTCGATATTCCAGAAGCAAAAATGACCTTATGCAGCGAGCTCATATCAACAGCATTGCCATTGTATAAATTTTTGTACAGTCGCTGATAGAAGGGAGGGATAGTGACAAGATCTGGATGAGAGTGAGCGATTGGCTCCGAAACGAATGCATATTATGATTAATGGTTTGCCTTAAGTAAAGCTGCAACTTACCAAATGCTACATCCGACACCTCAGCCTCTTTCTTTCCGTTATATGGGTCACTTAGAGTAGACGGTTGGGACGTGGTCGCTTTATCAGTGCTGGGGAAATCTCCCCAGGGATCCTCGTCCTCGTCGAATTGTGTGGTATAAACCGATGTTGCGACGGATCGAGATGACGGCGGGCGTATGAAGGACGAGCTCGAGCTAGCTAGGCTAGGAGTTGAGTTCATGCGATTGTCTTCGTGCAGCATTCGGTCTGCGACAGAAAAGAGTAATGGCGAAACCCTCCGGGGCCCTGCAAGCTCGGATGAAGCTGCTTGACAGCAGTCACAGACTCTCCCAAACCCACCCATTTTGGTACCATAACGATGTTATTGTGGGACAAGCTCGGGATGCTGTGGAATACCTCCAGCATGTCGTATTTGCAGAAATGACATAGAATCATCATCAAATGGTGCGCTAACTAACATGCCAAGTACCCATTCGCAAGGGCATTGGAGATAGAATCCATGGGGTTGAAGAAAAAAAAGACTATATATTGATGCCAATTGCAATCAATAGGATGCATGTAATTGGTATTGGATGAAAGCATTGATTGTAAAGCTCTTATGTTTGACGTTCTCGCCATGTCATAATGAACCATGCATTGCCTGCCAAACAAATGTGTGTGGCGGTGTGACTGCTAAAGGACAATAACAGAATTTGCCGCATTGAGGTTTTTGACATATTCAACTCTCCAACAAAATCATTTCAAATGGACCCCATAGAAAATCAACATACTCAAGCTCAAGTTGTAAAGAAGAACAAGAAGAAGAAGAAGCCAACTGCTAGCGGTGAAATTTCTCAACAATGTCGTGACCTTTTGTCGGCATTCCCAGTGGAGCTCCAAAATACTCGCGCAAAAGGTCGTCATGCTGTTGCCAGCGAATCTCTTGAACCGGGCACCACAGTGTGCAGAGAACAGGCTACCTCCTACATTGTTCGATCTCCCTACCTTGATAAGCAATGTCACGTCTGTCTGAACAGCTTGGACCATGGTGACATTTCCCACTCATTCACGTGCGATGCCTGCAATCGAGTTTATTATTGTAGCGAGGAATGCAGAGACCATGACAGGGCCATGCACGATAGTATGTGCAGTATTATTAACCGCCTTGATGGTATTGCATCTGAATGTAGTGTAGATGTGGATCTGCTTAGACTCATGTTGGGTCTTCTGGCTCGTCATGCTCAGGATCCTCAGGATGGACAGACTAGTACACCCACTCCATTTGAATATGTTCTTAAGTTGGTTCACAATCGTGAAAAAATCAGTTCTGATTTTATTCAAGTTATAACCCAGGCTTGTGAGTATACCATTCATTTAAGCCTAGTTGCATTTTTCGAATTGGGTACTTACTTTGGGTAAAATTCTTTCTTTCTTCACAGCTACCATGCTAAATGATATAGTGCCGGAAAACATGAAAATGGACGTCAAAGAATTAGTACTGTTAGCTTGTCGGTAGGTACACTTTGGTTAGATATGTTCTTCTATTTAGGCGTTACAAGAATCTCCTTTGATCTCATCTTCGCAAAGCATCAATTCCAACGCTCATGGATTAGGTGATGTGCAATCCCGTAACACGGACAGTGCACTTGGTCTCTTTCCCCTTGGCGCCATGTTCTTCAACCATTCATGTGAGCCAAATTGTAATTTTGTTGGCCTTCGCGATGGCAAGCTGGAGTTTCGTACATTGAAGAAAGTCGTAAAGGGCGATGAACTTTGCGTATCGTACATTGATTTATTTGCACCAAGAAACGAGAGACGCGGCAACTTGTTATATACCAAACAATTTTGGTGCAAATGTCGAAGGTGTTCCACCCCTATGGAAAAAAGCGTTGACCGGTTCCTCAATGGTGTCATGTGTCGCCAATGCCACAAAGATGTGTATGTGATCCCTCCTGCTCAGATTGATGGTAAAACTAGCGCCAAGGACGATGAAAGTGTGGCAACTTATTCGTGCGCACAATGTCACCATGCCGCCCCCCACAGCATGGTAGCTGGTACTATCGAGCGTGCTGATCATCAATACAATCAAGCCATTGGCATGATTAGACAACGCAAGTACGGACGAGCCAAGGATATTTTTAACACTCTCATTAAAGCACAAGACAACACCAAAACCGGCAATTTCACTCTACATAACTTCAATGCCATTCTCATGAACTCTTGTGTCCCTCTCATGAACTGCTACACGTTTGAAGATAACCACATGGCCGCTATCCATGTGAACCGCCAAATCATATCCAAACTTCGAGACTCCGGAGCCGTGCCTGAGAACTCCCCGGAAATAGGTGATTTCTTGATGAATCTGGGTGAGCTTTGTCTGAATGTTGCCAAGGAAAGTCATGGTAAAGCCTTGGTAGAGGAACGCTGGAAGCAAGAGGCAGAAACAGCGTTGAAGGAGTGTGTCAAGCTGCGCGAAATTGCATTCGGTCCTTCACATGGTAAAACCATCGCCGCACAAGAACTTTTACAGTCTTGCACATAACGTTAGTTAGTGAACTTTATGATGGTTACTTTTTCTTTTTTTATCTTTATAATGAATGTCTATGTGTATTTTTTTATTTTGAAAACTGTTTCGGCGTAGAGGACAATTTTTGGTAGTTAAATGGTAAAAGGTAACTGGGCGGGGGGAAAAAACAAAACGATGAAAAAGGAGTAAATTACATTGGGTTGACTGCAACCCACAGTGCTTTTTTGTTTAAAAGGTGTCTAAGCTTCAGTCTTGGTTTCATCCTTGGCTTCTGCCTCAATGTCCTTCAAAAGCTGGGCAGCAATTTCCTTGACCTGGGTCTCCTTGTCCTCACCATTAGACACAGGTGCGGATCTTTGCAACTTCTTTGCCTTCTCAACCATGGTCTTTCCAACGCCAACATTTTCAAATTCCCAGGTGGTGGCTCGCATACCGATTCCAGCGGGTGCGTTCATCTTGAGATAATGTAACCACCGCTGCACGACTTCAGGGTTTGTATCCTTAATCTGAAGCAATCGCTTGTGTGTCTTTCGCTCGAAATTCTCCTGTGACTTCTTGTGAACGAAGGGTGATTTGATCACAGTCCAGCGGCTGGTCTGAGTAGGAAGGTAAACAGGGCCAGAACATGGCATTTTCAAAGCAAAAGCAGCACGACGAGCAAAATCAACGTAGAAGTCGAGATGTTGTGGAAGATAACCACGGAAGTGCAAGTTGCAGACCGGGATTCCGTGGGTGGGTTGAACTCTCTCTGGAACTGTGAGTAGGTATGCGTTAGGAGAACGAGAAGGGGATAATAAGGCAGAGAATGTCAACGGCGAATGTACCTTGGAAAACATCGTCAAATCCTTCTGCGGGCTCGTGAACGGCAGGGAGGTCGATTTTGCTTTTTATTTCTGCGCTTCCACTACGTGTGCTGGATCTGTCAACCATAAATTAGTCTTCAACAGGCTACTTATGAGCCAAAACAAAAGCTTTGCTTACACAAATGTTCGAGTCAACGAGACCTTGGCGATGCTAGAAAAGCCAGCTAGTGATTTCGTTATCTTCATAGTTGGGTAAGTTATAAGACTTTAAAAAGGGGAGCAGCGACAGTTCAGACATTCACCTTTAGCATGCCGAAAAAAGTTGATTCAAAAAAAGTATGTATTTGTTTTCAAAGTTGTTAAGAGCTGTCATTGAAAACTTCAGGAAAAGTCACGTGCCACAATATCTTTGCAGATTAATGTCTCGAATCCATAAAAAAAGAAAGAGGTGAATAATGAGGAGGGTAAAATAAAAGGTTTAACGTAAGCTTTCATAATACATCTAAAGTACAAGGTCCTGGAGGCTATGAACAGTTTTCAAAGATGCTTTCATTTAGTCCAGTTTGACCTTTACAATCCTGCTGCTTTTACTAAATTGCTCAACTGAAGACAATCTGCCTGCCTACATTCATCCAAGTAATATCTGATTATCCATATTATTTTCATAAAGGCTTCATCACGGCATATTTACTCTACCAATAAAACACTTTTGCTGCAGTCGGTAAAAGGCATCATTTATGCCTGGGACTGCGAATCGAATAAAGTGAAATTTCCCCATTTTTCGAAAAATGAGTTACACCCTATTATCTTGCCTGAACATTCGTCTCGACGACCCTAGATCATCAAGCTAAGCTGCAAATGCCATCCTCACCTTCTCGTAATGCTTCGATAGAAGGTAGGACTGTCTTCGACTATTGAGCTGTATGGCTTTGACTTGAACTTCCTGTACTAAGTCATGCCAACACAATTCACCGGCACAGATACTACGAGAGCTGAAGACCAGGAGCCAATGATTTTAGGAGCTTCCCGTTCAGACGGTTACAGTCTCTTGGGAGGACCTAGTGATGAGTCGCACTTTACGGTATGTAGCTGGCAACCTAAGTCGTCTTATCCAACGTCGCACTTTGCTGACAAATGTAATGGTGTCATAAGATAAGAGCTGTATTATGTGGTCTTCTCATTGGTACGGTGATGTGCTTCTCCAACATGTACTTTGGATTGCAAACTGGATGGATTTCAATGATGTCGCTCCAATCATCCTTGTTGGGCTATGCCATGTTCAAACCTTTCAAAGGCAAACTTCGCCGAGCATTCGGACCTATTGAAAACGTCGTACTTCAAACTACGGCGGTGGCCACTGCGACTATGCCATTGGCTGCAGGTACGGTAATCCTTCATTTTAGTGTTTGAGATGGAAGCTATCTCATCACGTTCGTAATTGGTATCTCTCTTTCACTCACTCAATGCAGGATTTGTGGGCATTATTCCGGCTTTGCAATCGATGACCGAAGAGGACCATCCTGGCGGTGGACTTCAATTTAGCTCATTGCAGCTTATTGTATGGTCACTTGGCGTTGCGTTCTTCGGCGTATTTTTTGCTATTCCTCTGCGAACACAGACTATCATTCGTGAAAAGCTCCGATTTCCATCGGGAACAGCTACGGCTCAAATGATTAGCATTTTGCATCAACGACAAGATCCAACCGAACGCAAGGTTCAGTTGCGTTTAGTGAACGGAAACCAATTGAGACATCGAACCAGCCCACACCAGGAAGACCGACCCCTCCTGTCTGATCCTGCCGTCAACCGCTCTTACTCTCCACCAGCTGCATCGGTATCTCCTCCCGTGGATATGAGCGACGAAACAGAAGAGGAATTCGAGGCGAAATGGGCACTAAAATGGCGTGCTCTTTTGGCGTCTTTTTCCATTTCATCCGCATACACGGTTACCACGTATTTCTTCCCCATTGCCTACGCTTTACCCATTTTCAACTGGTTGTCCTTCGGCCTGATCGATTTCAAAGCTTGGGACTGGTATTTCACGCCTAGCTTGAGCTATGTTGGACAAGGTATCATCATGGGTCTGCCAACGACCCTTAGCATGCTGCTTGGATGTGTTGTCGGTTGGGGTATTTTGTCTCCCATAGCGCATTTCGCCGGATGGGCTCCTGGACCTGTTGATGACTGGAAGGATGGAAGTAAAGGCTGGATCCTATGGATATCGCTTGGTGTCATGATTGCCGAAAGTTTTGTCTCGCTGACGGTCGTGTTTATTCGGTCGACCGTCAAGAGCTTCCGCGACGCGAAACCTTCCAAGCAACAACATGTGCAGATCGCCACAGGTAGCGAGGCCGAAACTGCCGAGGCTGACATTGTATATGAACTCGATGAGAGCGCTGGATTACGCGACAACGAAGAAGAGGAGGAAGAAGATGCATCGCCGGACCAGTTGGTCAGTCCAATCGTTACGGTTATTGGCCTGATACTTTCCACTCTCCTCTGCCTTGTAGGCGTCGCTTATGTTTTCGGTACTGACCTATTACCTCTGCATATGACGTTCATTGCGGTTGTTTTGGCTATGATCCTCAGTGTACTTGGCGTCAGAGCGCTGGGAGAGACAGATTTGAACCCCGTCAGTGGATTAGGCAAGATCTCTCAAGTTTGTTTCGCTGCCATGATGCCGGGCGGAATTGTCGCCAATTTGGTAGCTGGTGGGATTGCTGAGGCTGGAGCACAACAAGCGGGCGATCTTATGCAAGGTAAGAAAAACAAGCAAATGATCCCGGGCTGACCGATCGAATTAGCACGCATTGACTCACTAAACCGACTTTGCATGCTCAGACCTGAAGACTGGTCATCTTTTACGCGCATCACCGAAAGCCCAATTTTATGGCCAAATGATTGGCTCCTTTTTCAGCGTATTTGTTTCGACTGGTACGTGTTTTGTACCCTACCACTGCAAGCTATTTTCCCTTTACTGACCCAGGTTCTGTTATAGCGGCTTATAAATTATATACCTCTATCTATGAAGTGCCGGGAAAAGAGTTCCCTGCCCCAACCGCTGCTGTATGGTTGGACATGTCGCGACTTGTGAATGGAAGACCCCTACCTCCTCATGTCCTGGAATTCGTACTAGCATTCTCCTGCCTTTTTGGCATTCTGGTGCTGATTAAGGAAACAACTCACTACAAGTGGCGCAAGTATATTCCCCAAGGCATTGCATTCGCTATCGGTATCTACAATCCTCCCAACTTCACACTAGCTAGAGTCATTGGAGGCTGGGCAGGATACGCGTGGGATCGGTACTGCGATGGCCCGGCCACTCCTAATGACAACAACAAAGGAGGACTGGTTGGTCTGTGCAGGCGATACCGAGAAGCTGGAAAAGTCTTGATCATTGTCATTGCCAGTGGATTTGTTCTCGGTGAAGGGACCTTTGCACTTTTCAACTTATGCTTGCGAGCACTTGGCGTACCTCATTTCTAAAATAAATGGGATGGGATTGTATAATAAAAAAGCATGTTGGACCCCATTTTTCGAAGGACCATAGTAAAAATCACGCCATTCGGCATGGTGGTGGGTACCTCGCCCGCTGCTTTATCCAGTTATGGAGATGTTTTCCCCTGATTGATCAAAGAGTTACTATAAATTCAGGGGGGCCAGCCACTTATCTCGCACTTCCAAAACCATCGTGTTTGCAGGCAAGCATGCAACAAGACGATCCCGGTCGTGAATTTGGCACCACTTTGTGCGTTGCACCAAAATGGATAGATGAATAAGGCATTCTTTGGGTTGAGAGTCTCCTCAATTTTTTTTTTTAAAACGTCGCTGTGATTATTTTGTTTTTTCTGTTATTTTTTTGGTGTGGATAACGGTAGGGGGTTTTGGATTAGATATTATACAAGAAACGAGATGGCCACGGTCGGAAACCACACGTGGCGCCATCTGTGATCGAAGTAAACGGAAAGGAAAAGAAGGAAGTACATGAGTGCTGTTGCGTGCGTTCACCCCATTTAAAGAAATATTGAGAAGGGGACGAACCAAATCAAATCAAATCAAATCAAAGGCTGGCCGACAAGAAAAACAAAATAAAATGGAGAGAGAGAAAAAACGATTGATACTTTTTGGTGTAGGAAGGATATCCTCCTTCAGTGCCATGTACAAATTTTTGTAAGCAAGTCTTTTCGAACGGGGTTGTCTCATTTGTAGGTGTCCCATGGATTGAACGAAACTTCCGGCACATGGAAATTAGACCCCATTGGTACATTATTAAATTGATCATGACCGTGGCCCCTAGGATCTGGAGTCGAAGGTTGATATGGAGCACTTGGCATTCGCATGCTGTTATGTTCTAGAAGTCCGTGGTGCATCGTGCTTCCACCACCTCCTCTATACGCTTCATCGAATTGGGCTAATGGAGGGATATCCGTTGATTCAGACGTACCAGGTTCATGTATCTGTTCATTGCCCCCACCACCTGAGTAGGTATTCATCATGGATGTTTGCTGCATGATGGGAGGGAGATGGGTGTTTGAGTAAGGCGCTCCCATGTTGACTTCGTTATGTCTGGGGTCACTATGGTGCCGATGATGATTTTGAAAGTTGGTTCTTGGAGTATGAGATGGGAAGGAAAAAGACGTTTCGTAAGGCCCTGCCGTGGTAGGGAGACGTGGGTCTGCTCGATAGCTATTCCAATTCATTGAGCCGTAGGATGCATCATTGGCTGGCGTGCTAGGATTCGGCGGCGGAGGCATACCTTGACCCTCCAATCCTCTACCCGAATACTGACCACCATGATGTGCCGACATGGTGGTGTAAGCATGACGGTTGGGGTGAGCTCCCATCGACATGGAATCCGGTGTCGTTGTGGGGCCTCTATTCTGATACATCAAAGCTGGATCTGAAGATTTACGCATCCGATAGTCTGATGATGGAGACGGAATTGGCGTATTTGGCATGGACACAGGGGGGTAATTCACAGGTGCAGCATGGTTATCGAGATAGGGATGTTGTGGTGAGAATCTAGGAGCATTGTAACCTAATGGCGATTGTTGAGGTTGCCGCATATACGGTTGTAAGTAATTATGTGTGTCTATAGTTGATGATTCGGTGGACATAACATCACTCGAAGTGGAAGCTTGGCTTTCTCTTCTATGAGCATCATAGTAAACTTTGCATACATAGGGGGTAATGTGAGACATCGTTCTGTTATCATGCTTCATTACGTCGTTAGACTCACCTGTGGACAGCGTGGGAGAGGTTGAGGTCCGATCAGTTATAACTCCACTCGTTTCTACATGTAACGGAATGCGAAAGTTTTGTCGCTGTAAAAACTCTGGTGATACTTCTAAGTTGGCGAGCATGGGAATGGATCTAGGCGAATGTAATCTTCCAGATGCCACGTCTTCTTTGTTGTAGTAACTGATCATATGTTGTGTACTCCCATTGACGACAATGCTCATGGTCTTTTTGATCAATCCGTTCCTTTTAAATTTATATGAATTGGTGAGAGAACCAACCAGTGCGCGTTCCTTCAATCGTTCGGCTGTACTGGTGGGCGCGCTTGGGTCGACGGATTGTTGGCGTTTGTCAACGATAGGGCTGCGCTTATCAATTTCTCGGTACACTAAGAAATTTCCTAGTATTCTAGATGGACTCCATAAGAGACCGTCTGTCCAGCGTTTAATTCCTTTCAATGCAAGGAGGTAAGTTAAAAAAAATTGAAACGAGAGAAATCACAGAAGAGGGGTGAGAATCCATTTGCCCAAATAAAAAAAAATAATAACAAGCAAACCAGCTTACCAGATTCTCTCTCGTCGAAAATGAAAACAGTGCCGGATACGACTAAATCTTTCCGCTCTCTATCCTGTAAGCGTCTGGTGACTTTGGGCAAGAGACCTTGCCGACAGGCTTCAAACAGCAACAGAGTATCCATTGTGGTTTCAACGAATCCATGGAAGGTAGGGTCCAACGACATTGAGGTGGTATGGATGCGTTTAGGGAGACCGAGTTTAAAGGGAGGGGTAGATAGAGATTAAAAATATACGTTTAGGTGGGGAGAAGCAAACGGTGGGTATTCAAGCAGAGACGGAAGTAAAGCGGGTGAACCAAAGAGGGAAATTATCTTGCGCTTGATCGGACAACTCCTTTTACACCAATTTTCTTGCTTTCTTTATGATAAAACGGTAATGGGTGCACGCGTAGGGTCCATATAATTGAACAGAAAGTTATATAGGACGAAGGGTACAGAATGCGAACAAATAAAAACTAGTGTGGCGTCGCGGTAGTGGGGGGGCAGATATGGCTTCCGGAGTGGTGTTTATGTACGATGCGTTACCGATGGAAGGGCGTGGAGAAAGTTGGTACGTAACGTCGTTGACGTGAAAATAAAGAGAAAAGAGAAGAGAGAAAAGAAAACCGAAGGTGAGCACACAAGCAGAAGAAAGAAAAAAGGAAATGGTGAATTGAGAATCTGCGTATGTCGTTCTTTATTTCGGATTTGCTTTTGAGTCTTTCTTGGGGGAAGAATAAGGTGTGTGACTCTCATCAAAATGATTGACGAACAGTTCCTTTTCTTTCTCCTAACCCATCACACCTTCATCACCAAAGTCCCATTTTTCACTGTATCTCTCGTTTCTACCGTTTTGTTTTATCATGTCCAAGGTAACGGTTGTCTTTTCTCTTGGGATTTCTCAACATCGTCGCACACTCGGCTTCACTTTTTACCTTAAAAATTGGTAGTCACTTTTTATGGCTCAGTAGATGGTCTCCCATAGACCTCCAGCCATTATGGCCCAATGCCTGACTATAGTCGGAAATCACACGAGACGGAGGGTAAATAAGTTATATGCAATCTAGATGGACTCAGTTAGTCATGCTGATTTTTTTAACCAACCCAGGATTTGAAGCCCCTTCGAGATGGCGTGTGCGGTTCCCACATCAGCTTGACGGATAGCATCTCAGTTTAAAATAGAAAGGTGTTTATAGAAGCAGCTCGGACTAATAAATTTCCGTGCTGTTAAGTTCGTGGGAGGCCGTTCAAAAGGGACAATGGCACAGAAAGAAACGGCGATCATGATAAAGAATAATTCGGTTTGAAACAAGGTATAAAACAAAAAGGAAATTGGCGCGAACACCCTTCGTCTTGACGGTACATGCGTAAAAAGAAGCTCATTGTGCTGGCTTCATAACCTCTTTGGGATTTCAGGGTCTTTTTTGGCCATTTCCATACTCGGCCACGCCCGAAGGCCAATGCGGAACTCCGTCTTTTCATTCCAGCCTCCATGGAAAGAGAAGTAACAGGCTGGGAAAAGGCATAGTCATAGACATGGCAAGCAAAGTAAAGATGTTAGGACGGGTGTTATGACATGAAGTGCGCCCGTTCGGCACCTCACCCCCCATCCGCGGTTGGATTATACAACCTAGCTGGGATTTAATCCGGCGGTATTTTTACACTATTCAGCAAGGGGAGGTGTAGTAGGTAGTGGAAGGAACGTGGGTGGATTACAAGCTGAACATGCTACTAAACCACCTCATGTCTCCGTTTCAAATAACTTCAAACTCATCCATCCCCCTCATTCTCATCATCTTCTTTTCAACTTATCTAGGCAATAACAACGCGCTCGCCAGTACAAAAGGCCAAGAGAAAAGCGAACGCCGGTTGGGTCCCCTCCTCCTCGTTACGCGTTACACCAATACAAAATATCGGTCGGTTGCATGACACACACCGAGCGCCAGAAGGTTCGGATATCCGCGTACAGAGACTCGGTGGCTTAGTTGCTCTCCTTTTCTCTTAGAAAGAAGGCCACTTGCTATGGAAGGGACCATGGCTTTATTAACAACATGATCGAGCTGCAGTGCTGTCAGCCATCTATGCAAGCAGCGGTCCGTGCGCATTCGGAACAAGGTATCACCCATGAGGCGCAAATAATAAAGCAACAACGCCAGACTTCCTCCAAAGTGTTCTTTATGCCCCCCAAGGTTAGTCAGAACGGTAAAAATAGCAACTCCGGTCAAACAATGCGTTCGCCCCCCGCCTACCCTCGTGCCGCCTCTTCCACAACCACGCGCTGGCTTCACAAATGGAGATGCAAAAAATCAATGTCACAACGACGCATTTGTGTTATGTTATGTTACTTTGTCTATGGTATGGTACAAGGTGTGTGGCATATTGAAAAAATACCATGATTAAACTAAGTTGCCTTTTTGTTGTGGTTGACATACCCTATTCCAACGCAAGCCATCAAGATAGTTTGGGACGATGCTTCTGGCTTGATTTTGAAAGATACGCCAAAGCATTGCTTCAGGTCTCTCAAGAATTGTACACTGTGGGATGAAGGAGTTTTAATACTTAGTGTGTATGGGGCAGGCAGATCTCCCCAAACGTTCTACTTACGTGAACGCAGTCATCTTGCCGATCCTTATCTTGCCCACATCTTCTGGCGCGAGAACCATGAGAAGCAAATTCAACCATTGACTAGGACTATCAACACATCCGCCTTTACGAATTTCGTTCAACAGCATTTTGGACGCGATCAAACCAACATCTTCTGGAGTCTGACCTTTTTCAGCGGCCTTTTCCGCCGAAATAAGCACATCAGAAGTTGACTCAGCGACCAAGGATAATGCGAAGCCAGGTGATCTATGTAAACCGAGGGGTTAAAAACAACTCATGATAGCAGCCTATGGCGTACTAATACTTACTTTCCACTTTCTGCTCCTTTATAAACATCAGTATAGATGTAGACGTCGGGAATATATCGATTCAATACCGATCTGGCTGATTCCACGATACGATTAGCTGTTTGTGGTGAAACGCGTGTACAGTACGCAATGCCTCGAATGCGCTTGATTCTGCCTTCATCTGTGAATTGGACCGGCTTCAACTGACGAACATTGGGGCAACTAAATATCACTTCTCCGCCACCCAATGGGGGTGCTCCTCTCTTTGTGATCTGTTGAAAAAGGCAATACAAAAAAAAACAATATGTACTTAGAGGTTATACGGTATAAAGTTGTTATGGCTGGCAAATTTATCCTTTTTTACCTTCAATTCCAAATTCTCGGAAATACCAAACCGTTTTAGTTGTGGTAATATGACAGTACGAATGGTATCGACCTGAAGCGAGAGAAGGAATCATATTGGAAATGAGAATGCATACAACGAGAAAAGTGTTGCCTCGAAGATATAGGAAACTCCACTTACCGACAAATCAACGTTGTCAGTAGTAATGCCTTGAAGGACGAGAACGGTCGGTGTCTTCGAGAATGGAGTCAATGCAACAAGTGGCTCCAGAAAATACCCGATACTACGAGCTGTGCCACAGTCATGCTCAATACGACCTCCAATAATGATACCAGGCTTGTATACCACCGAAGTACCTACGATCCGAACAAGAATCCGTCAGCCCAATGTTACATACCGGACTGCTGATAGGCAGTCAAAACATAATTCGAAAAACCGTTCCATACCAGTATAACTAATCTCGACAGTTGAACCGTTTGTCAACTTTTCAAGCAATCGCAGAAAGCTTGCTTCGTAATCTATATTGAGTTGGATGCATTGAGTCAATAAAGTGATCAGCGAGTCATTTCGAGGGACGTTGCTAGTTGAATCCCGTACCTCGTAGACCAGGATTTTCGTCGTTGGAGCGAATTTTATCTATCCGAATGATTCTTCCGCTAAGTGCTGATAGAATCAAGCGTTGCCGGAAATACTGATGGCCTTCAAACTTTATGATCCTGCTCATGCTGTATAGTTGTGATAGTATATGGGTTGGCCCAAAGAAAAAAAAAAAAGAATCCTTCATGGCAGCAAGCAGTCACACTTGAAATTTTTGAATTTCCGACTCCTGATTCTTGGCTCCAAACTCTGTATCAGCTTTGACAGACTGAGCTCTCATCTAATGTTTAAATCTCGTTGCTATTAAGCTAGAAGGTGATGAATTTTTCAATGCATTATACGCATTCTCCTTGAAAGCTCTCTCCCTCAATTGTACTCTTTACCGGATTTTTTCCCAATCATACTTCCTCATATAGGGTCACGAGACCAGTCACGTTGACCCCACCTCAGAATATAGCCTGGCAGTCGCTATTTTCCCGTCCACAACTGAACTCTTCTTTTTTCGAACACCATGTCTTCTTCATTCTTGTCATTGCAGCCAAGTGCGCTTGGAACAACAGCGCCGGAGAACAACCTTCAAAACACGGCAGCGTATTCTTCGGCGTTTCCTCCTCTGCACTCCATTCCGCTCGCCGTCACACCGTCCAATAAGCATAAACCCTGGCAGTCATTTTATCCGCCAAAGCCATCGCTGTTGCCACCAAAGTACCCACTTTACCTCAAAAATACCAATTATGCCAAGCTCGCAGATGAACAGTATCATCAGCAGTGTAGAATCAAAAAGGCGACCAAACCAATGGGCACCATATCGTCTCTGTTTCACAAGTCCGAACCAGCCGTACAATATGATGCTGCTCTTGAACAACTGGATCTAAGGCTCCCATGCTTTTGGAACCCTAACGACAAGAGTTCTCTGTTGGATATTTCTTCTGACGGGGTCGACGCTAGTTATTGTGGTATGCCCATCTGAATTTTTTGTATATTTGTGCCATGCCCCCCATTTTGTTTTTTTCCCCACACACTACGTGCAACCGACAAAAAAAGGAAATTCGCCCATCCCATCTATTTACTTTAGCCGCAAGCCTGGCTCAGAAGATAACCTTAATGTCAATCAACGTGAGGATATCAATTCTAACACATCTTCCTTTGGTTTCAGGTTCTGGAAGAAACGATCATGACGCTGCTGCTGTACGCTCAACATTTACAGCTAAACCTCAGTGTGGCATCTTCTATTTCGAAATTGAGATTGTGTCCAAAGGCCGTGATGGTTATATCAGTATTGGCTTTTGTGATGCAGACGCATCCATGGACAAACTTCCAGGTAAACATATCAAATTGTTTGACAGGAACATCCGAAGGCGTTCTTCGATGTGAAAAAAAATTTCCGTACTTAATTGACTAAATGTTGCTCATCACCTGGTTTTATCTTATTTAGGTTGGGAAGTTAGCAGCTACGGTTTACATGCCAATGATGGAAACTGCTACAATGGAGTACCTAAAGGAAAATCCTATGGCCCTACATTTTCCACTGGCGATGTCGTTGGTTGTGGCATCAACTTTAGCAGCAAGAACGCCTTTTTCACCAAAAATGGCGTGTACATGGGCACTGCCTTTAGCAATGTCAACCCTGCCGTCCCTCTTTACCCTTGCGTTGGTCTTCGTACGCCAGGAGAGCATATTAGGGCCAACTTTGGCTTCAAGACTTTTCAATTTGACATTGTTCAATACATGAATGTAAGTATGGACGTATCCTCTCCGGTATGTGCATCATTTTTTCTAAAACCTTTTTTTTTCGAAATTATTAGGAGGAAAAATGCCAGCTACATTCAACCATTTCTCAAATGCAGATATCCCCTTCACCCCCTACACAACATACATCGCCTGCTGTGAAAGCCGCATGGATGAAACAGGTTGGTCGATCACCTGAACCTGTCACCCCTCCAAAAACATCCCAACAAGTCGCCGCCAGCTCAGAGATTATAGATCAGCTAGTCTACTCTTTCCTTCTTCATCACGGATACAGCCGCACGGCTGAAGTGCTTCTCAAGAACGTGAAGGACACCAAAGATGCTGATCTGGTATCTGAAGAATCTATAGAGGATAGCAATGACCAAATATTTGATAGCAAGTCTGACCTAGTCCATAGACAAGGTAAAGCGTCACTCGACTCATCCATATGGTTGTATGACCTTGTTAACCCTTGTTTCTTTCAGATATTCGCACTGCCATTATCGCTGGCGATATAGATTGCGCAATTAAATTAACTCAAGCTCATTTCCCTCAAGTATTAGTTCATGACGAACTTATGCTTTTTCGACTTCAGAAACGCAAATTCATAGAAATGCTTCGTCTTGCCAATGAAAGTTGCAATCATTCGTTTTGCGACGCTGCGTTCAACTACGGATTCCAACCTCTTACTACCACCGCTGAAGAGATAGATTCTACCCATCCCCATGACCTTAGTACCGAAAAGTCATCGCCGACTGTTTTTGGCACACCTCGTAAAATGTCGGTGCCGGCGGCACCTATTAGTACTGCTCCGGCATCCGATATCCCTCAACCTACTCGTCGCGTCAGCTACGCTTCCATCACCGCTACACCGTCTTCCGCCTCGCCTCCTCATGGCAGCTATTTTGGCGGACGCAGTCTCGATGAAAGCTTAGATGAGCCTATTAGCCCTACCAGCACCTTTTCGCATACCAGAAGAAGAAGACGTAGCAGCAGCCATATTTCTTTCACCAGTCTTAGCTCATTTGAAGAAGACGATGATGACATCAAGTCGGATATGCGAGAAGCCATTCGCTTCGGTCATCTACTTCAAGAACAATATGGTAGAGATCAGCGAACCATGGTCAAATCAGGCATGGCAGACATTCACTCTTTGATCAATGAAGTCGAAACCTACCACAGTCTATGCGTTGCCGTCAAGGCTCTCGACATCGCTGGTCGAGACACTTTAGCGAGTGAACTCAACACCGCTATATTAGGTATGGGGCGGCGTTGATTTGTTTGTTAACACGATCGATATGATAAGATTATTAACGTACGGACCATTTTGTATTGCCAGTGTCACAACGAAAGCCTGCCGCGCCACCGTTAGAGCTGGTGTATCGCCAATCTGTAGCCACCATCAAAGAACTCGTTCGCAATGGACATGGTCAAGCTGCCCTTGTGTCCGTCGACGACAGCCTTCCGTAACCTACCTACTTATACCTTGTAATATACTAACGTAATTCATCGCAAAAAAAAAAACACCCACTCCGTAAACCCCCCCCCTTTTCCAGAAAAATCATCCTTTTTTCAGCATACGTAGCAGGTCAACCATCTTGACCTCACCGTTCTACATCATTTGTGTAAAAACATTCAAAAAATCCTACTCACACCAAAAAAAATCAAAAAGACCAAATGGTTCAACGTCAGACGTAGACCGGAAAATCGAAAAATCCTCTTTAAAAAAAAAAAGTAATAAATCACTTCACTTCCTTTCTTGCATTTCGTGGCCAGCCAAAGTAACATAGAGATCGGGACAGCTCAGGAGAGTTTGAGTGAGGTAGAGCAAATTCGGGCAGGGTGAGAATGAATGACACTGGGAGAAATTGGCACGATCAATCAATTACATTTCGTGACCAGTTCAAGCAACATGAAGATTGGATGAAGTAGAGAGATGGATTGAGATAAATTTATTTTTCAAGGCATGAATAAACAATTCCGACGTTAAGAGCGGTTTTATCGGTTAGGTATAATGCAACGACGAATGAGAAAGATTTGTACATTTATGGGGCGGGGGACATTCAAGTTTACACAAGGAAGAGTAGAAAATATAAGCAAAGTAAGAAAAAATGAGAGAGTATATGCTAGAGACATGTGTGAACAGAAATTTTTTTTTTTTTTCATCCACGTAATTTCTTTTGTCTAAACGTTGTTCAATGCGCCAGGATTGTGACGGGGTTGAAGCTCGCCAGACATATGAGGTGATGAAACTTGTTCAACATGATGCACACGCTCATTTCCATGTTCGTCGACATTAATAACGGAAGCAAACTTAGCAGAACCAACGGTACTGTCAGCGCCTTGGATAGCTTCACCGTTAGGGCGAATTTGCTGATGAATTTCTTCAACAAGTTTGGGTTCGTGGGTTTCAGGATCGATGCGGATAACCTTTTCAACATGGTAATAAGCCATTTCACCGATTTCGCCATGATCCAGTCCCTGAAGTTCAACATCGGGGTGGACACGGAGAGAAAGACCAGGGATGCGGTCCATGATAATCAGGATGATAAAGGTGACACCGAATGACCAAGCGGCTCCTGCGCATGCATCGGCGAGTTGATAGGCAAGTTGAATCCAATTGTGATTGATCCAACCTCCAGCAATGGTAGATCCGTCGAGTGCAGCAATGTATTGCTCAGCAAAGAGACCAGTCATGAGGTTACCGACAATACCACCAATACCGTGGACAGCAAAGACGTCAAGAGCATCATCAAAGTTCATTCGATGCTTGAGCTTAACGGCAAGGTTACAGGCAATAGCGCCGACGAAGCCAATGGCAACAGAAGCAGCAGGCCCTACATAGCCAGATGCAGGTGTAATAGCGACAAGACCGGATACAGCACCGGAACAAAAACCTAGGGCGGAGAACTTGCGTTCGTAACGGTAGTCCAGTAACATCCAAGTGATGGCAGCGGTGGAAGCAGCCAAGTTGGTAACAACACAAGCCATGGCAGCACGCATACTACCAGCCAAAGCTGAACCTCCATTGAAGCCAAACCAGCCGAACCAAAGCAAAGCGGTACCCAGAACAACGTTGCTCATGTTATGAGGCTTGAATTCTTCCTTTCCATGGCCTTGGCGTTTGCCCAAGATAACACAGTAAGCCAAACTGGCGAATCCAGAAGAAATGTGGACAGGCGTACCACCAGCGAAATCGAGACCACCCATTTGGAAGGACCAACCAGCTGGATTCCATGTCCAGCAGGCAATGGGGTCGTATACAATGGTAGACCAGATGAAAATGAAGATGATCATAGGAAGGATGCGAGCTCGTTCAGCAGCTGAACCAATGGCTAAGGCAGGCGTGATAGCTGCGAACATGCATTGAAAGATGCAGAACACAAGGTCGGGAATATTGGGAGTAGCGATGGAAGGACCGCCAAGGACTCCTCGAAGGAAGGCATTGTCCAAATTGCCAATGAAGCGGTTCGCCCCTCGGCTGAAAGTGAGTGAATAACCCCATAGCCACCACTGCAAGGGGAATAATAAAAAGAAAGAAAGGGTCAATAAAATGGCTCAAAATGTATATAAAAAAAATTCATCCCTCTCACCAAGAGAGTCTGCCCTAACTAATTCTAATCTATTTGGCACCTCCCAAAAATCTTTCTTACCTGAAAAGAAACTACGGCAATAGAGATGACGCTGACCATGATCAACGACAATGCGTTTTTGCTTCTAGCCATGCCAGAGTAGAAGTATCCCAACCCTGGGATCATCAACCACACAAGAGCTGTGGACATCAGCGTCCAAGCAATGTCTCCGGATTTGTACGTTGGGTCTGAAGGAGCAGTATCGGACATTTTTTTAAAATATGATTGTGTTCTTCAGAAAACTGATTTGAGTTTGGTATAGAAAAAAAATAGGGCGTGCGAAGGAAGAGGGGGAAGAGAAGAGAGAGGAAGTAAGTGAGAATGTCTAGGATATTTTGTTCATGGTATTTATATTATTTTACGGCAAAAGCATCCAGCATTACGTTGGATTGCCTATCAATTTTTTCATTTGGTTGGTGTGGGTGGGTTTTGGCACCGTCGGACTTGAAAGTCAACGCTGATAAGGATGAGAGATGCATTGGAGGTAGGCGCAAAACGATAGGCAAATTGCTAATTTAGGCTTCTCCGCTAACTTACCATGACAATCAATAGATCTCCCATAAACTGATGCGATGGTCTTTACTTGCGCCAACCAGATAATGACGTGCTGAAGGTAAAGCGCAAAATGCCACAGAGTACACGCTTTCGCGATGATAAGTTAGAACGGCCAAAGGCTTGAGCGTTTTAGCGGAAAAGATTCGAATTCTGTGAGACCAAAAGCAATCCGAGGAAAAAAACGCAAGATTATTATTATCTCCAGTATACGTACGGTCATGCCCTACGGTCATTCTCACCTGCTGTCCCACCCTGCGGTTGCGATAATCTTTGCATCGCTTCGAATGCATATTTGCTCCAAGCCTCGTTTGGACTGATTAGTGATGGGATGGTCGGTTGGGTCGTCTAGCTTAGAACGAACGATCAGACCATCACTACAGCCGCTGAACACTAAATCGGAGAGAACACTAGCCGATAGAACTATTCAATGGAAAACTAAGATTCCGCTACTAGAAAAGCTCTTAACATGTATCAAATCGTTTATATCAACTTGCCTGGAGCGGTGTGTGCTTGTGTTGCCCAGATAGTGTCAGTCTTATCTCCCGAGATAATCCGCAACACTAATCGTCCACTTTCATACCCCGCCAATAAATGCACGTGAGTCCCTCGCTCGAACATGGAAAGACACATTGCAGTGTCCCGACTATCAGCAGTGACGATTTCCTCTTGCCCGATATCCGCCACTTGTCTCCACTGTGAAAATAGATCGTATATATCAATCTATTTAACCAACCCATTTTTAGCTATGCATTCCCTTGTTGAATCGTCATTACCTCTGTTAACACTTACCAAGCCAGGATCCATGTGGGATGGAACCGCTATCAAGGTGTGATCATCTAGGAGACAAGAAGGTTTCAGCTTAATTGTCCGCTTCGAACTGAGTGGTATTGGTCCTGCTTTATTGGTAACGCGCTAGGTTACGTACCATGGCTGCACAGGGCAACTTTACAAAAGGTCACGGAATTGTAAAGTAAGGTTGAGTGAGGCGTAGGGCTAGAACTCGTCAAGGTTTCCAATTTCCATGTGTGGATACGGTTATCTCTTCCTTGGCTGAAATGCAAGCCGTTATCAACCAAGCAAAAAAAAAAAAAATACACCACCAGGTGGGCCCACATCGCTCTGGCTGGTTGATGGAGGTCAATTTGTATTATTTCGCTTGAAAATTTTGACCTTACCTTACTAGCGTGGTTGCGTCGATGGCTTGAATAGATAGTACACTCTCTGTATGAGCACGCCATTGCTGCTTCGGCCTGCGAGTTTCAACGTCCCATAGAATCATGTTGCCCTCTAGATCACTAGATCGCGTCTAAGTCAGCTATGTGAAACCCGGAATGTGGTGTGGCCGAGGCATGTGTATGACTGGGAAATTGCGACCTACCCGGAACAAAAATACTTGTCACCGTCGAGCCAGCATAGCGTGTTGACTTGGCTATTATGCCCTCGAAAGATATAGATTGGAGCAGGCACTTCGCATTGAGACATGCTAGGTGAGCGGGTCAATTACTTGACGGGTGAGGACAGGCTTCAGCAAGAACGCTGCAGCGGAGCTGGTAATTCACGTGAGAGCTTAACGAGCTCCATGCCGAAACTCATATGAAAGAAAATAAGGGTGTATGAGAGGTAGAATGTGAATAAAAAAAGTATGAAGCAAAAAGCTAGAAACACAAAAAAAAAGTGGGGTGCCTTGATCGGGAAGACAGTTATTGTTGTTCAATGAATTGTAGTGTAGCTTTTTAGGTTGCATGTAGAATTTTTTTTCCTTATGCTAGACTTACATCATTTCTGGCACTTTTTAGCTTTCTAAATGTGAGGATATGGACAGCAGTATCCAACTAACAGCCTATTTACTTTTTTTTTGTTCGATCTCAAGAGTGTGCGTATATTAGTGTGACTCCACTGCCAGAAAGACCTCTAGTCAAATATAATAAAATCTCCGCATGTACGCATCCCCCATTGCCATGGAGCTTGGGAGACTTAATAAACCCAAACTTTGATGAAAAGTGGACGAAGAAGACTTGTATTTGCAGACCTGGGTGCGAAAGCGACCTAAAGTAGAAAAAAGTTTGGGGAAGCTTTACTCCTGCTAGTCAAAACTTAAATACATACTGTAATCCTCACAACTGCATCCACAGTAAGTGTGTAATTACATCCAAAATAAGGTTGAACTTCCTTTGTAACGTTGATTACAGTTGAATCACCTTTTCGATTGCTAAATTTGCATTGCAACTAACTTGTAGTCGCGCACTCTAAGGGTCCTTTGACTCTCTCTGTTACAAATGTAAATATTTTGGGATCAGTTCATGAAACATGGCACATATTTGGTCGTACTTGTAGTTCTTTGTACACTGATCACTTCTTTGGTGATGATGTCTTGATAAGCGAAGCAAAAAATACGAACCTGGAGCCCCATTTTTTTTTGGGGTAGGACAAGAACCTTCGGCGCAGAGAAGGACTACTGTCATTTGTTTTCTTTTTGTAGTTTCGCGCTTGCAGGCGTTGCCCATACACAGATAGTTGACGATATTTGGAAATGGGCTTTTCTGAAGACCATTCATTCCAACATGGAGAACAGTTCCTTCTTTTTTATATAATTTATTTTACACAAACTGTAGACACATCATCTGAAGGTTCAGTCAGAAAAATGATCAGTGAAATGCATCCGCCCAAGCTATTGTTTCAGTCTGATTTGCAGGTTATGTAGAGGATTTTTTTAATACCAGTGGCAAAATGCTGAAGCGCTTGACTCTCTTTCATTACATTTTTCATGTGTCCCAAGTTGTGAGTAGGTCTTAAGAAAAGTGGCGCACCCTTCATCCGAAAGGCTACGGAGCCACCAAAAAATCGTATCCAGTGCCAAGCCAAGTCATCACCAACATCTTGGATAACTCATTGGAACTAAGGTTGATTATCCAGACCTGCTGTGTGAGATTACATATATTGCTATTGACTAGCATTCACTCGGTATTGGCCCCCATCTCCGGTTTTCTTGCCTATTCTATACGGTCTACCCCTTTGATACAAATGTCTATTGTTTATCTGTTTGAGAGGACAACCACCACGGATTTTCCTTTCCTTTGTTTGTTACGCGAAACAAATCAAAGTTTGGGGGAGATGTGTACAGTCCTGGGTGAGCAGGAGTCTCTTTTAATAGCGGAAGGAGAAAAAATTCTACCTATCGTACTGTTATGGTCTTGTAGGCAAACTTCACGGATTATGGTAAAGAGATAAAGCACATCACTCATTAATAGCGTTAGTCGCATTGAGCTTTTGAAGTAATTTGCACTAATTTCTTCTCTTTCAGCGAACTTCGTAAAGAAGAAACCATGTTCACGTTTTGAAGGAAATTGTCTGAGCACCTCAGTCTTGGTAAACAAAGGCAAAAGTTCGTGATGAACAGAAAATAGCGGTGCCACTTTTGAGAGGTAGTGCCGCGAGGTAAATTTTTTTTTTTTTTGAGAGAATAACTCTAAGCTGAAAATGGAAATGGAAATGGGGATGCGTGGCTGATCCGTACCTTTTGGAGAGACGACTTAGTTACGCATTTCCAGTTATTCCCCAGTTATTCCACTCTGCGCACCCTGCGACATGCAACACTGTCGGACCTTGAAAAGGTATATAATGAAACATTTCCTCAAGCCCATCGTTCTCTTCATCCTTTTCACTCTCAGTTGTCAGGGGGCATAGCAGTAAAGAAGGAATATTGCTTACTCTCCATCTTGGAATTGCACTTGAGATCTGTAAGTAGCCTTTGCCTGCCCTATGACATACTAGCTTTCCAAATTAAAATGGCTGACATGTTGCAGTTCACTTCAGTTCAACTATCTAAACAACATGGACCATGAATTAGGAGAGTTAGCTCAATTAGCCATTATGGCTCTCGATAGAGTCCCTAAAGCCGTGCACGCTCTTAAGCGATACTGTCAAGCTACAACGTGGACTGACTGGCCAGACCATATCCGAGCGAATTCTCGCGACTGGATGAAAGACATCCTAGCTAGGGTCTTCGAAACAAGTACTGGGGGCGTTGTGCCTGTAGATCTGTTCATAATCGATCATCGACATTGGGGGCGAAAACATGGTTGCGCATTGGCTTTGAGCGCTCATGCCGGAAACAGCACTAAGCAGTACCTGAATTGCGTGATTGTATTATTGGCCGCTCTTCGTGAGACAGATCGACAAGAATATTTGGCTATCGTTCGAGATCATCTCAAACGAGGGGATGCTCATGTCGAACGTCACTTTTCGGACAAGCCTCCAGCTAAAAGGGACCAGGCTCATCGAGAGTATATAGCTTGGCGTGATGCTCTTTGTGACGGGGTTCTACGTGCTTCTGGTCTATTACACTTGGGCAGCCATGGTCGTGCTGTACCGACCAAGGATGTGAAACGGTGTCTTAAAGGACTTTTGTGTGGCACGAGTGTTGAAACCAAGGATACCCTCTTGCTCATTAAAAAGTTTAAACTTGAGCCAATGCTCAAGTGTGGCTACTAATCCAACTGAACTTCTTTGCTGATGCTAGAGGAGGCGAGCCTCAATCGACTTATTGTGGGTTTCTTTCATTTCGTCAGTTTCTTTTTCTTTCTCTGGAAACTCCTTAATTTGCGTTTCTCGGGGACGAACACTCCAATTTTTTTATGCTGTCTAGCTATCAGTATATGGCCCTTTCTCATTTTCCTTTTCTTGCTGTGATCCATTCATCATCCGTTATTTCATTTGTAGTCCATTCCCATCCCCTTTCTCTAATAAAATGCATGCGCTCATCCGTAATTTTATTTGTAGTTCCCTTCCATTCCCATTTTCTTGCTGTAATCTATTCACTACCCATAATTTTATATTAGCCCCTCCCGTTCCTTTTCTTTTACTTTTCAATATAAATTAAAAAAATTATTTTGCGTCAATGCCATGTGTATGCGTCATTTGACATTCCAAATTAGGACAGCATTACCAGAATAGTCAGCCTGAAATTATTATCGCAATCATCAATACTTTGAACATGGCGTTGCAGATAAAATAGTGAAGATATAGGTGTATTTGAAAGGCAGTCGTCAAATAATGAATCTTAACATGGAAATGCAAAAAAGTACAAGACTGTACATACTTGCTAGTGTTATGAAATCCAGCAATGGCTTCTAAGTATGTCTCACACTCAACTTTGATAAGTATGGTACCAAGCTCATGTTTTAGCCCAGGGAAGAAGGTAATAATCGCAATTTTTTCTCATCATTTGAGTCGAAATGTTCGACATCCAGGCGTCCGTTTGATTCGCTATATATACATATCATTGTTAAGCTATTGTTTTGCTTGGGAAGATGGAAAGTAAGAAAAAATGATGGGTTGCTCGAGATACGACATATAAAAGTTGATTTAACCATGTAAAAATGACATTGGTGAGCAAAGAGGATGAGTGAAAATTTCGCACATCGGCGGAAATACAACTGACTTCGCCAGTTGATTTTAAGTCATTGCTTATAGACCAAAAAGCAGTCTGCGCAGATTTAGATAGGCAGAGGCGCATATCGAGAGAAAATACTGTATATCGGAAGATGTATTTTTGGAAGATATATTGAAAGATGAACATACTGTTTTACTCACAGTTTTACTTCTTTTTGAAGAGTTCAACATTTGATGCAGAGCCTTAACTTGTATGATAAAGGTGCAAATATAGTTCTCGACGATCTGTATCTTACTCTTAGTGATTCAATTCCTATGATCGGTGTGCGATCTATGTTTTTTTTTAACCTTGACTTGAAGATCTTTGTAAAACATGAAGTACATTAGTGTTTGCGTCACTAACATTGTCTGTCTGAAAGGGTATCGTAGTGTGGTAGAAAAAGTAAGTGCAATTTGTTGACATAACCAATCACTGAAGTATAAGTGATATAGAGAAAAGTGAATAAACCGCAGGGAATTTTTCACTAAAAATTGGTTAGTTGTATAGGCCCTGGTGGGTCATATCACTCTGGCTGGCTGGCTTGACCATTTGTAGAAGTCGTTTTAAAATTTGACTTTTACCATACTAGCGTGGCGCATCGATGGCTTGAATAAATAGCACGCTTTCCGAATGAGCACGCCATTGTCACTTCGGCCTGAGACTTTCAACTTTCCATAGAATAAAGTTGCCCTCCATAATACTAGACAGCGTCTAAGTTAGATGTGTATGTGTGCAACTCGGAATGTTGCATGCCCTAGCCGTGTGTGTGATTGAGAAACTGTGATCTACCCGGAACAGAAGTACTTGTCATCGTCAAGCCAGCATAGAGTGTTGACTTGGCTCTTATGCCCTCGAAAAATAAAGAGTGGTGCAGGCACTTCGATATGCGACATGCTAGGTGAGCGGGTGAATTACTTGACAAGTGAGGACAGGCTTCAGCAATAACGCTAGAGCGGAGCTGGTAATTCACGTGAGGCATAGCGAGCTCCTTGCTGCTTCTTCATAGTGTGTCGGATGAAGTAGTTCGATGGCTCCATACTCAAGAAAGCCATTGTTATCAGTCGACTTTAGTTGTTAATACTAGAAGTAGAGACCAAAATGTAAACGAAAATATGATGACTCCTTATAAGTAAACTCTCAAGTCGCGCTTCCATCTTATCTCGTTAAAGGAGTTGGCGTTTTTTATGCTGCGTACTTAATATAGTCTCAACCATTCGACATTGGAATAAACTGAGACATATCTCAAGAACCAGTTCCTTTATCCTTATATCCGTACGATCCCAACATCATGGCTTCGGTTACGAGTTTCAATGTCCCATAGAATCAAGTTGCCCTCCAGATCACTAGACCGCTTATACGTTAGCTATGTATGTGTACAGTTCGGAACGTTGCGTGCCTAAGACGTGTGTATAATTGAGAAATCGCGACCTATCAAGTAATACTTGTCGCCTTCCAGCCAGCATAGTATATAACCTTGCTCTTCTGCCCTCGAAGGATATAATGGGAGTAGGTAATGCGACATGCCACGCGACGGAGTCCATGCTTGACAGGCATGATATGCTTTTGAACTAATGCGGCAACAAAACTAGTGTTCCACTTCAAACATGACGGGAGATACATGCCAATTCCTTACGGTAGTTCCTTATCTAAGTAAGCCATTGCTTGACGCGGTCATAGATAAAGGAAAAATTACGGCATAAAATTGAAAAATTATAAGGTAGACCATGAAAGTATTCTTTCGTTAAAGCAAAAATAGCTACTTGTCAGAGCTCGTGCCACCCACGCTGCTTGAAAATGATTGGCATTATCTCGGGAGGATTCCGGTCCGTTAAGTCAAACTGATGGCGTTCGTGTCACCCATGCTGTTAAGAAAACGTTACATTAGTACTCGAAATTTTCCTTCCGTCCGTCAAAGTCTTTCATTCGAGACTTTACCATGGCCCAAAAAGTTTGCCTTCGTTTCATATCTTATTGAAAAGAAACTAAAAGAAAATCTCATTAGAGCGATTCAAACTTGCCTAAAATCCTTTCAAGGATATCCGCTAAAATGAGACTAAGTACCCCAAAGACAGTAAAATGGGATCTAAATCACGCTATGAAAAAAATTCCCATTCGCACAAACAATACATAATGGAGATTAAGAGTCAGAGAAGTATCACACTCTGGAGAAAGCAAGGTAAACAGAGCCGAGCCGATGGATCTACAAATAAAGATCAGCACCTTGGTACTAGGTAGTATTGTGGCGACGCCATTGTTGAATTTTTTCCTTGACATGCGGTCGTTCATTGAGTTGAGTGAGACGGTGTAGATGATCAAACGCTTCAAACTCGGACTGACTTTGATGTTGATGAACTTCTCTAGTCCAATGCCATCAGCTTTTTTTTTTTTAAAATTGTGCAAGTGCTACATTTGAAAAATCTGGTCTACATCAACTCGCCCTTTACGCCTTATCGCCATACGAGATGTTTCATTACATAAAGATTATCCACCAGCCTTTAATTTGAGGGCCTACGATATAAGTTGCTGCGAGCCAATCTAGACATTTTCCACGCGTAATGTATTGTTGTATCATTTTCACCATCGCTTTCTCCAGGATTGAATGCCCGATTTGGGCGGCGTGGCATAATGTGGTTTGAGTGGATTAGGTGCAAACTTTCCAGATATGGGACCGAAGAACCAGGTGTCTCAGCAGACTGCGAGTGAAAACCCCCATTCGCCCGGAAATAGAAAGATTTACTTGTGACAAGAGTGCAGCTGGAGGACCTCAAGAGAAAGTCTATGCATAGGTACTTCGCCATTTTCAGCTGGGGATGGACGGGCATATCAATACTTGTAAACTGTCAACTTTTTGGATCCATCCTCATTTTAGCCGATAGTTTAAATTTTTAGCTATGAAGAATTTCTTCATATCATAGACAGCTGTCAACCACCTCGTAAAAGGAATAGATCAGCGGCTGTAAATCTTGTACTTCCACAAGGTTGAATTGGTCTTTGACAAACAGTGTACTATTGCTTTGATACATGTGAGCAGTAAGCCATTAGCATCAAACTTAGAAGAAAAGTATAAAATAGGTTGAGATCGCAAGCTCATCTTTCTCTTCATCCTTTTCACTTTCAGTTGTTAGTGGGCATAGCAAGCAAGACACATTGCCATCTTTTGCTTTGGGATTGAGCTTGAGACATGTAAGTAGCTTTTGCCTCCCGTGTGTCATACTAGCTTTTCAATCTGACATGACCCACATGTTGCGATCCTCTTCAGTTCAAATATCATAACAACATGGAGCATGCACCAGGTGTGATAGCTCAGGCTATCATTTTGATTCTCGATAGAGTCCCCAAAGCCATTCACAGTCTTAAGCGATTCTGTCAAGCTACAACGTGGACTGACTGGCCTGACCATATCCGAGCAAATATCCGCGACTGGGTGAAAGATATCCTAGCTAGGGTCTTCGAAACAACCGAAGGAAACGTTGTGCCTGGACTCCTTCTCAGAACTGATGGTAACCAATGGGGACGAAGACAAGGTTGCGCATTGACATTAAGCGCTCATGCCGGACACAGTACTGAGCAATACCTGACTTGCGTGATCGTGCTATTGGCTACTCTTCCTCAGGCCCAGCGATCCATGAGATTGGATAGAATTCGAAACCATCTTGACCATGGAATAGTTCATGTCCAACGTCAGTTTTCGGACCAACCGCGAGCTGAAAGAAATCGAGCTCGTCGAGAGTACGCAATTTGGCGTGATGCTCTTTGTGAGGGTATTCTACGTGCTTCTGGTCAATTAAACTTGGGTAACAATGCGCTTACTGTTCCAGTCCCGGAAGTAGATGACTGTCTTAGAGGGCTTTTGAATGGCACTACCGTTATGACCGAGGATACCTTCAGGCTCATTAATGAATATAGACTTGAGCCAACGCTCAGGCGTGGCTACCTATACAACTGAGCGTCCTTTGTTACTAGAGGAAGCGAACACAATCGACTACTAATGTCGGCTTTTTTCATTTCATAAGTTCCTTCTTCTTTCTCTTGGGTATTTCTTGCTTTGCCTTTCTCTGGACATTGCTGCGAGCGTCTAACAAACTCAGCATTGGATACCCACTTTTCCAGAGATGATACTGTAATGCAGTATCCTGCCTACTTTTTTTCTTGCTGTCCATCCATCCGTATTTTATTTGTGGCCCGCTTCTCATTCCTTTTTTCTTATCTTCATACTTTCACCTATCCGTATTTTTATTTGTAGTCCCTTCCCATTCCCTTTCTTTATCCCTTCCTTTACTTCAATATACACTTCAATATACCCTGATTTAAAAAATTATTTTGCGTCAATGCCATGTGTGTATGCGTCATCTGACATTTCAAATCAAGACCACCTTACCAGAGAAGTCAGCCTGACATTATTCTTGCAAGTATCAGTAGCTTAATGTGTGGCAGGATTGATATATTAAATCATATAATGTTGCAGATAAAACAGTAAGAGACGTCAGTGCATTTGAAAGGCAATCGTTAAATAATAAGTGTTAGATGAAAATGCAAAACGAAGAAGACTACACATACTTACTAGTTTTTGAAATTTAGCAATGGCTTCTAAGTATGTCTCACGATCAACTTTGGTAAGTATATGGTTGATCAAGCTCATGCTGTAGACCGGGGAAGAGTATCATATTCGCAACCATTTCTCCTCATTTGAGTGGAAATGTTCGACATCCAGGCGTCCGTTTAATTCGCTCTCTATATATACCATTGTTAAGCTATTGTTGTGCTTGGAAAGATGGAATGTAAGACAAATTGATGGACTGCTGGAGTTACGACATATGAAAGTTGATTTAATGATGTAGAAATTTGACAATGATAAACAAAGAGGAAGAGTGCTGATTTTCGCACATAACCGGAAATACAACTGACTACACCAATCAGTGATTTTATGTCATTGCTTATTGATCAATAAACAGTCAGCGCAGATTTAGATCAGCAGAGGAGCATATTCGAAAAAAACCACTGTATATTAGAAGATGT